GAGCGCAAAGCGCCGTAAGGCGCGCGCGAGAGAGGCGGCAGTGTCGTTCGGTGGTGGTGTTAGACAGGCGTGTAAGAGTCGCGATGTTACCCTACCCTAAGCAAGTCACGGGCCCAATAGCAAACACTCACGGGCCCAATAGCAATTCTCCCAGAACCTTGCGCACTCGAAGGTCAAATGCTCGGATGCACAAGGTCATGGCCTATAGCACGTCAAGATACACTCTCCGGACCAATTGCAGACGAAGCTTCGGATGCAAGCCTCGTTGAACGTCCGCTATATGGCCAAGCGACATAAGCGTCCACATCAAGCGAAAAGGTGCGTACTCCCTGCAACCCACATGCTTCTGCCCGAGGCTGCTGTGCTGTAGAAGTAGCTAGTTATAAGACGTATCCAGGTGGGTGTCGTGGTCATCCAGGACGCATCTCACTACATACACTCCTTTCCTTACATTTCCGCGTTTCCCATTCGAGATGAAACTGACACCAGCCGTCGTCGGCACTTTTGCTCTCGCTGTATCTGGTGCCGTGCTGTAAGCATTGATCTCAGAAGGTTTGCAATACGAGCAGAGCTGAACGAGCGACAGGAACGGACACAGCAGCAACGAGCTATCTTCACGACAGAGCGGCAACACTTCATCGATCAACGACAGCGAGTACGAGTATGTGATTGTAGGGTCAGGTGCCGGTGGCGGGCCTTTAGCTGCACGCTTAGCATTGGCTGGCCACAGCGTGTTACTGATCGAGGCCGGCGATAACCAAACGACGACTCGAGAGTATGAAGTCCCGGCTCTCCATGCTGTTGCGAGCGAGTTCGAGAAGACCCGATGGGACTACTGGATCCGGCACTACGATTCCGACGAGCAATCAAAGCGAGACTCCAAGCTCACATACACATTGCCAGACGGATCTGACTACACGGGTTTGAACCCACCACAAGACGCGAAGATCAAAGGCGTACTTTATCCTCGTGCCGGCACGCTCGGTGGCTGTACCGCTCATAATGCGCTAATAACCATCTATCCGAACGAAGTAGACTGGGAACATCTTGTCGAGGCTACCGGAGACAGCAGCTGGGCACCAGACAACATGCGAGGGTACTTCACAAAGCTTGAGCACAACAAGTACTTACCTACTAGCATCGTTGGTCATGGGTACTCCGGATGGCTCCCGACCTCGCTCACTTCATTGACCCTCATTCTGCAAGATGTCAAAATCATATCTCTGGTCGTGGCGGCAGCAACGGCGACAGGTCAGACTCTGCTTTCATCCGTGCTTACCACCGTGACTGAAGTTGCTCACGTGCTCCTGACCGATATCAATGCACCCGGAAAAGAGCGTGATGGAAGTGAAGGGGTCTACCAGGTTCCACTTGCTATGCAGGTGCCTGAGTACAAACGCGCTGGCCCAGTCGACCTTCTGAATCAAGTTATTTCCGCTACAAACCCGGACGGCAGTCGAAAGTACAAACTCGACATCGCACTGAACACGCTTGTCACAAAGATCAATCTGGATGAGAGTGGAACTACGCCAAAAGCAACAGGTGTCGATTTTCTCGCTGGACAATATCTCTACAAGGCTGATCCGCGCCGTCAGTCTGGCACCGCCACCGACTCTGGCACTCCAGGCACCGTCAAGGCAACTCGCGAAGTGATCGTCTCCGCAGGCGCTTTCAACACACCGCAGCTTCTGAAACTCTCTGGCATCGGCCCACGTGCTGAACTCGAGAGCTATGGTATCGACGTCAAGGTTAATCTTCCAGGAGTGGGCAAGAACCTCCAGGACCGATACGAGGTTGCCGTAGCAGGTCGCGCACCAACACCTATCAACCTGATCAAAGACTGCACGTTCCTTGAGAGCTCACCAGACCCTTGTCTTGTGAACTGGGAGAGTCGCGCAATTGAAAAAGGAGTCTACAGCACGAATGGCGTTGCCCTTGCTGTCTTGAAGAAGAGTAGTGTGGCAGAGAACGACACCAGCGACCTCTTCATCGCAGGCTGGCCCGCTCGCTTCGTTGGCTACTACCCGAACTACTTCCAAGAAGCAGTCGAAGGCCGTAACGCCTGGTCGTGGGTTCCGCTCAAGGCGCACACTCGTAACTCCAACGTCGGAACCGTCCTTCTGAACTCCGCCGATCCTACTGACATGCCCTCAATCAACTTCCGCTACTTCGAGAACGGTGCAGATGAGGACCTGCAGGCTCTCGTGGAAGGACAAAAGTACGGACGCAAGGTCTTCGAAGATCTCATTCCTTTGGACGGAAAATTCACCGAGGACTGGCCGGGTGAGAAGGTCCAGACCGACGAGGAATGGAAGCAGTTTATCAAGGACGAAGCTTGGGGTCACCATGCTTGCTGTACAGCGAAGATTGGCAGTGACAACGACTCAGATGCTGTGCTGGACTCGAACTTCAAGGTCAGAGGTGTAGACGGCTTGAGGGTTGTTGATGCCAGTGTGTTTCCGAAGATTCCTGGATATTTCATTGCGGCCCCGATCTACATGATCAGCGAGAAGGCGGCAGAGGTCATCATTGCTGACGCGAGATAAGCGCGACGCATCATTTGGTTTTACGTCCCAAGAGCGAGCATCGAGACAGAAGAAAGTTGCAAACAGAGAGAAAACGCAGGACATCGTAAGTTTCGAGCGAATGACATTCCAGTTATGGATATACGTAATTTATAAAAGTCACTCATAGTTTCGAAACTATGCTCTTCAAATTACTGTCCCCACCCATAACGATCTCCTCGCTCTTGTAGTAAGGATTGAATGTAATCTCATTCAAAGGATTTTGTCGATGCGCACGATCAAACAACTCCTCATAAACCTTACCATCATACCTGCCCAATGCAGAATCAAGCAAGAAATCCGGAATCTTCCAAGCGTCGACAAGGCGCACCGCATGTGGTCGGATCTTCGCCATGAGCTCTTGGATTTTCTCCGGAACGCGATCGAGGTCATCATCCGACACGGCGTTGGCTTTGACGAAATCTCGCGCCTCGTTGTCCAGTGTAAAGAACGCGAAGAGTCGGAATTGGTCGGTCAAGTGCTTCCTGAGTGTGGGAGAAATGTTTGAGGACGTGAGTGCTTCGTAGAAATTGGTGACCAAGATCGACTGCGACTCTGCCACGCTGATCTTTCGGAGCTGGATCAGCATGTCATTCCAGCTTCGCTTCTTTTCTACTCGGTCGACGTATGCTCGATATGTGAGATATCTTGAGCGTCGGTGGAATGCCTTGACCAAATCCTCGTCGCGGTCAAAGATACGGAAGTGTTGAGGCTTTTTGTGGTGCTCGTTCTGCAGCCAGTCGCGACACGCTGCCTCGATTGCGTCCTGTGGCTTGCCTTTCCGAGCGACGGCAGCTTCCATGCGCTTGATCAGGTAGCTTGCGGTCTGCTGTGTAATCATCCAATTGTCGCCTTCCACGGTTGGCTTCGATAGATAGTCGTTGTTGAATTGCACGAAACCGCTGGAATACATAAAGCCATGACCGCCCATGGCTCTCCGGCAAGTTTCGATACTGTTTGCTGCGAGCTCAGTGCATAGACTTTTGAGTCCAGAAGACTGCGCGTGTAGTATCGCGAGTTGCTTGAAGTCACCTTGATCGATCTCGGCTCTGGTGCTTGAGTACAGGTTGTACATTGCTTCTCCGGTGAAATGGAGTGCGAAAGCTGTCGCCAAGAGTGGCAAAATTCTGATCTGAACAGTCGGATAGTCTAGCACAGAGAGTTCGGGTGCTGACTTGTCTTTACTATCCCGGTCTTGGAACTGGTGGCGGACCGTGGTGTATCGAACGGCAATTGTGACTGCACGCGCCATGATTAGGCGAGCATGCATGATGATCTGTGCTCGGACGTAGGTCAGACTACCATAGACCACTGCCGGGTTCGCTGGCTTCGAGTATGTGCAGGTGTTTGGATCTACACGAGAATAATTCGAGAGCATGGCAGAGTGCGGCACTTTGAAGTGGTTGAAGAGCATGTAACCGTTGTCCATCGGAGCATAGCCATACTTCGGTCCAATGTCGCCCACGATGATGCCGTCTAGCGGCTTATGCGTCTTGAGATCTCTGATCTGAACAACGAAAGGGTGCGGGCCACGATTGACCAGCTTCGATGATTCTGCTGATTCCGGAACATACAGTTGAGCAACGACAATAGCGTGATTGGCTGTTCTGCCCATGGTGCCATTCCACCATTTGCTCGCTGTTAGGGTGGGACTGTGGATGTCAAATTTCTTTTCCTTCGGGTCCCATGTTGCTCGACACTCCAGTCCACGAACGTTCGACCCATGGCCTAGTTCAGTCTGTGCGTAACATCCAATTGCTTCCCAGTTGCGAATCTTCGGTAGCCAGTACTCCCTCTGCTTCTCATCACCCTGCTCCCTCACAGTGGTTTCAAACATGGAGCTATGCACCATGTAAGGGCTGACATCGTCGCAGAGATAGCTAGACATGTTCTGATCTTCGGCGTCCCAGCCATGTTGGTCTGCTAGCCGGCGTAGCTTCTTCGCTCTCGCAAGTCCAAGTTGATATCGATCGGGCCTGGATAAGTTCGGCTGCTTGACCTTCTTGAAAAGTGGATCCTTTTGTAATATTGGCAATATCTTCTGCTGCCTCGACAAAAACTCGTTTCGTGATAGCAACAGATTGGCTAGCTCGTCAATCTCGACATCTGACTGTCCTCTCTCCTTTGCCAAGATTTCGGGCCCTGCTGGTGAAGCAGGCTTCAGATGATCTGCAAAGTCCGGCATGATTGGTCTTGGAAGGCTACAGGATGTGTAACTTCGTCAGGATGATTACTGGGAGCATGGAAACGTCCACCAAATATTGGACGAAGTCGTCGCCGATCGTGTGTCGCAGATGCAGACGTCGTTGACAATACCCGAGGACGAAGCTGTGCCGACTTACCGATCGACTTCCCCAAACTCAATCTTGACAAACCGCGGGGCACCCCGCATATTGGCGAGGAACGACTGTTGCCATTGCTCACAGGTCGTCTTTGGCGGCATTGCACGATGCGACTCAATAGTTTTCGCATCACGGCCTGTCCGACTCTTCAAAGATCATCACAGCGGCAGCCCCATGCCTCGGACTCGACCTACTGTCCAAACAATATTTCGCGAGCTTGAACGCATCTCAGTCAACTCGAGCAGAACATATGAGGCACCGCCTGGTGCGCCAGATCCAGCGAAAGTACTGCCACTGTCTATCTTGTTGAACCAACACTGGAAAATGGAGATACAAGGCGAAGATCGGACACTTCATGTGCCAGGTCATCTTTCCTTGGATTCACTTTCCTCGAACTCGGATTGCCACATATTTCCTTGCCATCCACTGTTCAACAAGCTGGTCAGATATGCACATCAGCAACCACCACGATTATGCATTCGAGATGACAACACGGGCGTTGAAGCGACGCATATACAATTACTGACAGATGTTCTGGCCTTTCGGAAGCGAGTGTGGGCAAGTCTTGCAACAGACGCTCGGAAGGCACTGAATGACAGAGACGAGGTGTACATCGCGATACTGGCACCAGGAGGATACGAGTTCACGGTAGCAATCCTGGCAGCCCTGGCGCTAGGAGCTGCTGTAGTTCCAATGACAACAGCTTTACCGCCACAGGAAGCGTTGTACTTTGTCTCAAAATCCAGAGCCGCAGCAATCCTGGTATCGGAAGGGGCGTTGCGTCTTGGCCTGTCCGTGGAAAAGCTTGTCAAGGACGACAATCCCCAGAGCTGTTTTGTATGCGTGCCTGTCGCGCCCTCGTTATCGAACCCGCCGCTCCGACCGGGACAGATCATAGTCTCGTCGGACACCTTCCTAGACGACAATGCTGCAGGAGTGGTGATATTCACTTCGGGAACTACAGGGCCCCCTAAAGGCGCCGTCATGCGTCGTGCCTTTGTCCACGACGAAGCCATGGGAGTCGTGGATCATTACCATATCACGAAGGACGATGTGTTGTTACATCTTCTACCAGTCCATCATGCAACAGGGATTGGCATGATGTTCTTTCCGTTCCTGATCGGCGGAGCATTGCTTGAGTTCAAGAGCGGCTCTTTCAGTCCCGAGTGGCTGTGGGACCGTTGGCGACGGGGAGGCATAACATTCTTCTCTGGTGTCCCAACCATATACATGAGACTTATGAGACATTTCCAGCAGAGCATAGCATCGCGACCCGACGCGCAACAGTATATCGACGGTGCTCGAGCGCTACGTGCCTGTATCTGCGGGACCTCCGCCCTGCCCAAAAACATTGCAGACTTCTGGACAGAGCTTCTAGGTCGCCAGATCCTCTTGAGATACGGCATGACCGAAACGGGCGCGGTGTTCAGAGTTCGCATGGGGGACGACAACGTGCCAGATGGCTCCGTCGGCAACATTTTTCCAGGCTGCGATGTCCGACTGTCTGAAGGTGGCCAAGGAGAGATCCTGGCCAAAAGCCCAGGAATGTTCAGCAAATTCCTGTTCGATGCAGAGGCCACGAAAGCTGCACATGACGCCGATGGATATTACAAAACAGGTGATATAGCCAGGAGAGAGGGTGACTACTACTTCATCCTTGGGCGAGCGTCCGTGGACATCATCAAAAGCGGTGGCTACAAAATCAGCGCTCTCGACATCGAGCGAGAGCTTCTGGCGTTGCCGTACGTCGCTGAAGCGATGGTAGTCGGTGTTGATGATCAAGAATTTGGCCAGCGAGTCGCGGCTGCGATAGTGCTCAAGCAGGCAGCTGACATCTCGCCCCAAGGAATCGCAGACACGTCCAGGCTTGACATCGAGAGATTGCGTAACGATCTCAGGGAGAGAATGGCCGGCTACAAGCTGCCAACAGTGCTTAGGGTGCTCAACGAAGAGCTGCCGAAGTCTGCGACTGGCAAGGTAGTGAAGAAGACGCTCGGCCCACACTTCTTCCCGCCGGAGAAATATCACGAAATGTCTGCTGTGCAAATATGGAGATCGAAACGGACCACCAAGTTGTAATCGATGGTCTGCATCAACCTCGGCCAGCTCAGCGACATAAGGGCACCGCGACTTTGCGGTCGTTCATACTCAGCGATTTCACACGGTCCTGGAGAAATTTTAAAAAGCAGACCGCTAGAACTTGTAGAAAAGCGCTCCAAGCGCGTTTGATCGATACATCGTCCTAGAACCAGAGGTGCGCATGTGGGCTGCTTGATTCCGAGCGCGGTCCAAATCTCGCGGTGTAATCCGTTCTAGTTACCGCACTTAAGCTGCAAACTTTGCCTTCCGAGCGTTGGCTGCCGCGATATCCTTCTCCGTCATCCAGCTCGGATACCCGTTGCTTGACTTCTCGGTCTTTGCCTTCTCTCCACCCTGCTTCTTTGCAGGAGGGGCGACCCTGCCTTTGCTCTTCTTTCGCACCCCACTGTCGCTCTCATTCGCCTCTCGGCCTCGCTTCTTCTGCTTTCTGTCCTCTGATGCTGGTAGAGCTTTGTTCAAGTCTGCCAACCCTGCCAATGTCGCAGTTCCAAACCGCTTGGCCCGCTCCAGCCTCTTCAGCTCTTCATCATCTTCAGTGATGCCGAACCTTGCCCTTCGCGCCTTTCTCTTTTCAATCTCCTGGTCTAGCGTGCTTTCGTCCAAGCCGGCGCGGAACTTGGCGTCCTCTTCTTCCTTGCGCTTCTTCTGTGCTTCGGCGTCGGCTGCTGAATCGTCGGCTGTGGCTGCTGGCTGTTCTGAAGTTGTTGGCTCTGCTGTTTCTGTATCATTTCCCTTTGCAGGAGCTTCAACGGTGCTTTGATCGGCGACAGCTGCACTCGCAGCAGTGGCTTGAGTCGTGGTAGACTTTGTAGTATCTGCGGCAGGCTCATCGTCCCAATCGATTTCGTCTTCGTTGACGGCAGGCTTCTCAGCAGGTGCCTCGGGTGCTGAACTCTCCTTGGCGTCGTGTTCTTCGAGGCGCTTCACAAGATCCGCTTTCTTTCCGCTGTGTGGCAGGTTGCGGGCTTTGCACAGCGCCGCGAGCTCATCGTTCTTCTTCTTGCTGTAGTCGACCATTTTGGAAGTGCGCGGCGGGCAGAGGATTTGTCGCAAGCGCAGTTGACTGATTCGTGTCGCGGAGGTGATTCGATGCGACTCGTGATTCGAGGAGTGAGATGGTGTTCGATGATGAATGCGGTTAAATGCAGCAGGTGTCAATCAACGGACACGGCGACGCGAAGCGCGACTTCCCTGTTCGGAATGCACAGGGTCCGTGCGTGATTGCCAAGCTTCCGCCTTGTTGGGCCGCTATGACCGCTTGCAGCGCTATATCGAATTGATCATATCTTCGCTTTTGCCGGACTGCCCACCCTTGTGCCGTGAATGTACGATATGTCCCTGAAGGCCTTCGCCGCATCACCGTACAGCTCATTTCGCAGCAGACTGAATACCCCCATCTTCGCCTTTGGCGCTAAGCGCCTGGCGAGGGCCAGAGCTACATCGAGCATCTTTTCTGGCTCTGCAATCTCGTCGACAATGCCATCCTCCAGCGCTTGCTCTCCTGTCCATTTATGAGCTTCGAGCAGCATCTTGCGTGCTACCTGTACGAGTGTCAGCGTACATTGCAATATCCAAACGAGAGATGTCTTTCGCACGACTTACCTGAGGTCTAAGCTTTAGTCTGGGAAGAGCTCCAATGCCGGGGAAATGCAAGCCCAAGTTCACCGGAGGCATAGAAATGAAGCCTCGCTTGCTGTTCATGACACGATAGTCATGGCTCAATGCAAAAGGTCCTGCACCACCGAAAGTGTGTCCTGTGATAAGAGCTATGGTCGGAAATGGAAAGTCGACAATGGTGGCAAGTAGTGGGTAGAATCCCTCAGAGTTGGCGTATGGATTGCCATCAGCTTCATCAAGTTCCAGACCTGTGCACCAGAACTTCGCATCGTTGCCTTTCGTGATAACTGCGCCCTCAGCATCCTCGCCTAATAGCTTTCGCACCGCGTTGTATGCAGAAATCAGCTTCTGTGCATATGCACTGTTGATTCGATTTTCGGGCGCCTTCCGCATAGTAAGAACGAAGACATTATCGTAGCGCTCGAGGAGCAAGTCTTTCTCGTCGATCACAGTCTCGGGCATGATGATGGTATAGCGAATAATCAGTTGTCACAAGGTATGTTCCAAGACATTCGTTCCAATATGTCGTAGGTTGGGAAGTAGCTGTCGAGCGACCTCGGCTGTCAAGAGTGGAGGGTAGAATGATCTCCAAACGTCGCAAAGCCTGACACTGATCAGCAACCACGAAACGACTGCGACATTTGTGCGACTTGAAAGTGTACTTTGAAGCCAATGTGAACGACCATGCATCATACAATCTATGCAATGGTGAAGTCAAGGCCAAGACTACGGTCGAGGACTCGGCACATTGCGTGAGAGGGAGATATTGACATTACTGGAAGATGCTCCTTCCCAATCATTGCAGCAGATACTGCAAAATTTGTCAGGATCCTGTTCACAAGGAGTTCAAATAATCTTGCAGCATAAGCCTGTCCACAATAACGGCCACGAGAGTGCCCATCTCTGTTGCTGACAATAATATACATGAATGTGTTTCGTGTCAAGAGACACAAAGCGTACGGTTTCACTTCTCCACTTTTGAATCAGCAGCACTCAACATCCACACACTGAATGGCCGGTCTGATTCATGTCTGCAAGGAGCCCGAATGCGGTCCCTAGCTTGAAGTTCGACCGAGTGATCAGGGCCTTGACAGGACAGTTTGGAGGCCGGCACTGCGTTCAAAGGTCAAGGTCGAAACATTTCGGCTCTCGCATGAGCAATTTTCACCGGATCCTATGCATCATCGCTTTGACTCTGGATGACCAACTGAGCCTCTGCTCACAGCGTCTGCAAGCAGCGGTGGTGGACATCGTAATCGTGGCTTTGTGACCATAGTCAACATGTGCAGTACATGTACTGGTCACACAGCGTAGGCTCATCTTTCGGAGAGCGGGCAGAGTCGAAGGTATCCATATTGAGAATTTGAATGATTGTTGATGCACGCGGTACAGCTCTCAGCGGAACGATCGTCAGTAGTTGTCTGACAAAGGCCGGAGCAGCGACAGAGGTCTTGCAATAGTCTCGAAACGGCCGCGTGACGGCTCGAGACTCCTCGAAAGATCCAGTGCATCCAGCCCACCACAGAGAATATAGCCAACAGGCGTTTGTGCGAATTCCCATCTACCGTGTTCCACTCACATCAGGAATTTGGGACTCGACTTTGCATTTTTGTCCTGTGCTGTTTGGTTGCTGTGTTCTCGCTCTTCCTCTCTTGATTGCGCCTGCTCAGCTTTCTCTGCACGCTTCGCATCTCGTTTCTTTCGGTTTTGCCAGAGCATGTCGGTTCTTTCCAGCTCCTGAATCACCTCCTCCCACTCTCTTTCCTGCTCCGGATCTCCTGTGCCGAGCGCTTTCTTCACGTTCACGTCTTCGCCTCTTTTCACCCGTTCTACCACCTCACGGAGCAGTTCTAATTTGGCGTCGGTCTGGCGTGAGAAGTTCAGCATCTCGCGCTTCAGGCCGATAATGTTGATCGCATTGGAACCAACGAGGATGCCAAGCAGCAAGAAAATAAGTCCTGTTCGCTTCTCCTCTGCGACAGTATCCCGTCTCGTTGCGCGCGCCGCTGCCTCTGCCTCTGTTGTTGGCTTCCGCAGGAAACGGGGGATCAGCGATGTCCAGAATGACGGGCTGGCCACGGTAGGAAGTCTCGACTGGTCGGCATACAGCCTACTGGCCGTGACCATGTATGATCTGCGCGACGCTGCATGCACCAGGACCCCAGCAGCAGCCATGCGCTGTAATGTTAATGCTCTTGAGGGCGCCATGATCAGTCGATTGAATAATGTGACGGCCGTGCTGCCGCCAGCGGAATATCCAGAATTCGAGATGCTCTCGGCAGCTCGTTGCTGTGGGAACAGATCTCCAGGTCCGAGCGCTCGTGCACACGCTTCGCCGCAATGAGTAGTGAGCATTAGAGCCTGCAGCATGCGATAGCACCTAGGATAGACCAGGCATGGCGGCCACGGAGAGCATTCTGGATCGTGTGAAGAAGGAGATATCATCGGGCAAGGCTACATCGTCTACAGTCGCAACCTTACAGGGTTTGTTTGGCACAACATCAAAAACAGAGGCAGCCACAACAGGACCGCAAGCACGGGCACAGAAACCTACGAACACCAAAGCAGTAGCATTGAAATCGACAAGACCCACCACGCCGGCATCCAAGGCATCAAAGAAGGTCGCGTTCGTGCCGGTACTCGAGGACGAATCCAAGACTCTTTCTCCGAAAGAGCGATATGCTCTCGCCACAGATGTTGTCAACACAACTCTCAAGGTCCTTCAAAATGCTGTGAAAAACGACCGGTCGTTACCAAATCAGTGCGATGGAGAACTCGACAGCACACCCAAACGGACAAGTCCCAAGGATTCGAGGGCACTCCACGAGCGATCAAGCAATACAAGCCCTGCGAAAGCTTCGCAGACAAAGCTTGTCAATGGCAAATGCGCAGCAGTGAGCGCTGTAAACAAAGAGCCACCTTCACCTGAAACGAGACCTTGGACTGCGACGGCAGAATGCGCGAGGCTGGCCTTCTCGCAGCTCAGAGCTGCCGACCGAGAGCGACTAAGTGTGCGATCACTACCCAAGTACCAACTCGAGACAGGAATGCTTGCCCTAGTAAGCAGGATGATTGGACTTGGCCTCGACAATCTTGCAGCCAAAGAGTTATGCGCGGTCAAGAAGCGGTTGCAAAGCGCGCGTACAGATGCTGTTGCTGACCAGCAGAGAGGCAAGAAGGCAGGCACAGGGAGAGTGCCCGGACACGAGACGCTGGCCAGCCTCTTGCAACTCGAAGTTGATCTGGCAGAGCATTCAAACATAGCTCCGCTTGCTATGACCTACTGGTCGTATGTGTTGGCCCTGCTCGCGACTGCGAACAAGCCCGCAACGATTGAGGATGCTCTGCCCCATCTTGAACTGGAAAGCGAGCGGTCAGTGGTGTTGTGCATCGTCAAATATGCTACATCCTTGAGTGACAGCACTAAGGCAGCGAAACAGCTCGACGCCCTGTTTCAGGCCCTCATGCGCCTCTGTCCTTCGGTCAGCGCTAGAACAGACGAGATGGCAAAGGACAGCGCTCGGTGCATACGACCAGAATCTGCATTCAAAATCAACATGATCGCACTCTCTGTGCGATTGAAGATGATCAAACTGACGGCGCAGCCCATGGATATCGCTCAAAATGTTCTTGAGCCAGTGTCCCGATCTATGAGCGCGCTACTCAGAAGGCTCCCAGCTGGAGCGATCAACAAAAATGTACTCAGAATTTGCCAAAAAGCTCGCGCATCACTGGAGCTTTCAAGTCAGGAAGTCAGCGAGTGTGCGAGTGCAAGCTTCACAATAAGTCGCACTATGTCTGTGCTCGCAGAGAGAGCAGGTGATGCTGAAGAAGCACATTCATACTCCAACATTGCGGTGCAGCAATGTGCTGCTCTTGAAGCGAATCATGCACGTCGAGTCGCCGCCCTGTGCAGGCAACATGCATGCGCTTTGAGGTTCATAGACACGACTGGCGATCAATCAGTGCCTGGGCTTGATAATCTAGAGCTACTCCGACAGGCTTTGCAGCAGAGTGTGTCGGGAAGTGCTTCAGATTACGAAACATTGCTTGTGGAATTGGATCATCTTTTCGAGAGCTTTAATGGACAGCATCACGGTGTCAGCATGACCGGCCGCGAAGGGCTGATACGATCGGCGGCAGCTTTTGCGTCTCGTTATGCTCGACTGAGTGCAGGAAACCAGAGGGAATCAACAAAGAGTATCATTGAGAAGGCTGTGGCAATCAGCAGACAGATCGAATCCCTCGTAACATGGATCAATAAGGACACAGCTCAAGCACTTGTTCAAACGGGCCTTCTCGATATGATTGCTGAAAATTCAGCGCACACGTCGCTTGCACAAGCTTGGTCAAGCACCCGGTCCGCCATCATACTGAGCAGAGTTTTCAGAGGTCTAGTGAACAAGGCGGTGGCCAGCGTTCCTGAGAAATGCTTGGAAATACTCTATGATGACTCTGCTCTGCCATCAGAGCAACGTGGAGCTGTGCTCGAGTGGCAGCTGCAGATTACATGCGAGATAGTGCAGAAGTCAAAGATACGACAAGCTCAAGGGAGGGTTGTGCGGGAGCTTGTCCACCGATTATTGCAGATTTACGCTTCTACCGAATTTCCGGTGCGACGAGCGCGGGTCTCTGCAATGGCTATGCGGTATCAGACGGTCTGCCCGGACACATTTCAACACAAGCTATTGGAGGATTTGTCTCACGTAGAAATGGTGGATCCTAAACAACCAGGCCGTGATGGAGACCTTGTGCCGTACCTAGAAGAGTTGCGTGCTTCGTTAGTCATCTCGCGGAGCTTTGATAATAAGTCACTTGATGTCGATGTGCTCGAAAAGCAGATTCTGGTCTGGCACAGACTCCTGGACCAAAGCCATGACATGGAGAGCTTACAACGGGTCATCGACAACCCTTCGGCCTTCGCACAGCAATTGTCCTGCCTTTGCGATTACTTCACCATGCTAGGAGAGCACAAGTCGCAACTTCACCTTTTGCAGTTACTGCATCGAGTTCAGAAGATCTCGGACGACAAGGAACAGCTGTGCACAACAGACTTGTGTCTGGTCCGATGCTACCTTCTGCACGGATATGCGGAAGCAGCTGTAATCTACCTTGATGAGGCGCGGAAGCTGCTGGAGACAGTAGGGCAGTCAAGTCTTGCTGCCCTTGACTATCACATCACAAGCGCGCAGTACTTCCTTTGTGTTGACAAGCTCGATGAGAGTGCACAAGCTCTTCAATCAGCTGCAGAGGTGCGGTCCCGCTTGAATATGGAGTCTGCCCCATCGCAGCAACGCAAGTCCTTCAGGCTCCACCACGTTCGAGGCTGGTTGGCTCACTCTCAACATTTGTTTGCATCGGGCAATGCTCATGGGGCACTGCAAGCTGCTAAGCGATCTGTGCAAGTAGCCAACAGTATTTGGGCTGGCATTGAAAAGTCATGTCCAGCTGCGAATGAGCCTAATATTGATCGAAGTGGCGAAGCTAGCACCAGACCTGTCGATACCTTGATCAGGGGTGTCAGCAAATTGAACCTCAAACCAGCACATGACAAGTCGACACAGCCAACAAGTCCATCGTCGAGTACTGGGGTGGCGTTGTGGACAGTCCTCCCGTTGATGTGCCAGGCGTTGATGCATTTGTCAAACATCTATGCACACCACGGTTCCTTTGTCGAGGCATCCTATTCTTTCGAACAAGCTGCCAAGATCGCGCAAGAGGCCAATGCGCATGGGATCTTGTCCGACATTAGATACCATCGAAGTCTTTTGCTGGCTAGCGCTGGCAGAATCGAAGATGCGGAGTTGTTGCTTGCTCACGAGCAAGAGTCTGGCAAGCCTCAGTGCCCATTGGCAAGAACGAATCACTTGCGAGCGAAAACTGCTCTGAGCGTAAAGCTCGGTGACCTCGAAGATGCCTTGAAATTCTCACGCGAGGCCGAGACAATTTTGAAGCAAGTCCAAGGACAATCTTACACTTCAAGCTTACACTTAACCTTCAGCGCGGACTCGCCAAAGCTGAGTGGCAATAGCACTCCACAGCTGCCAGATGAGACTGTTTCAAAACCTTCGACCAGGAAACGAGTAGCGGCGACCAAGAAACCAGCCACAGCTTCACGCGTCACCAGCGCCAAAACCAAGAAACCGGCACCTGTCTCGTCGCAGAAGGATATATCTGCTTGGGGTTCTTGCTATGTGCTCCAAAAACTCGAGGCACAGGTTATGCTGCAGAGCGCCATACTCGCTACCAAGCTTGGCCAGGACGATGCAAACAGCAGAATCAGTTGGGTGGCAGAGGTCTGCCAAATCTTCCCAGACACTTTCGACAGGCGCATGTTAAGCTATCTGGGGGCGATGCAGGCTGTGGAAGCAGCCATAGAGGCCGACTTCACATTCAATGCACTCTCAGAATCGACGCTTGCACTTCCGGCATTGCGGTCCGCGGAGCGAAATTTAACATCCGCGTTGTCGACTGTTCAGCCTGGTCGTGGTAAAGCCACGAAGGGCTCGAAACCAGCGAAGAGCAAGAAGGCGGCTACAGACTCGGTGCTCCAACTCTTGCTTACTGCTAGGCAATGTCTCGAAGGCCAAAAATCCTCCATGGAGTCCTTCACGACTAGTGACACGCATAAGTTATATGCTCTGCTTGCAGATACCTCTATGCTGCTTTCAGCGACCTCAGGTACCCAGGCGCCGGAAGTTTTGCACCCTGTTCGAGAGGCGTTGCACATCGAAGCACCGCGTATCCACGCTGCAGAGTGCCTGTCATTCGCGGCAAAACTGGAGAGCGACATCACACAATCTTCAGACCTTCTCCTGTGGCCTCAGTCTGACAATCCTCACCCGACGCCAGAGCTTTCTGCCACGCAGTTCCAAGAAGAATATGTGGACATTTTGCCAAGATCTTGGACAGCAGTATCGCTCAGTCTCAATGAACAATGCGATGAACTGTATGTTGCACGATATCGTAATGGTCAGACTCCGCTATTGATGCGATTGCCCTTTTCCCGGCAGCAGTCCGAGGACGACGATGATAATTTATTTGACTTTGTGGTTGGCAGAGCTGAGCTCCAAGAGACTATTGAGCTCTCAAATTACAGCTGCCACAATTCAATGGATACCAACGTCAAGGGCGCAAAGACAAATTGGTGGAGTGAGCGAGAGGCACTTGACCGACGTCTTCAGGAATTACTCATCAATATAGAGAACATCTGGCTCGGCGGTTTCCGTGGATTACTATCCCAGCACCGGAGAGACGATGCACAGCTGTTGCGATTTCGACAGGATTTCGATGTCATACTTGATCGTCACTTGCCTTCCCGCCAAATGAAAGGATCGAAGAAGATCGATTTGGACGATCAGATTCTGGAGCTTTTTATTGGCCTTGGTGCAGACACCCAGGGCGAGGTTGATCTGGATGAGCCACTTGCAGACCTGCTGTATTTCGTAGTCGACATGCTCCAGTTCAACGGAGAGCGCAATGCCTACGATGAAGTCGACTTCGACAGCATGACTGTGGAGGTTGCAGATGCTCTGCGGTCGTACTACGACGCTGCTGAGCAGCAGAAAGACGATGCGCACTTGATACTTGTGCTGGACCGGCGCCTTCAGGCCTTCCCATGGGAGAGCATGCCATGCTTGGAGAGAGCAAGCGTCAGCAGAGTCGACAGCATGTTGACGCTTCGCGAGCGTCTTGTGACAATGCGAGCCAATGCTCACAAGCTCAATGGAGATGATCATTACACCGTGTCCAAGCACTCTGGTGCATACATACTGAACCCGTCCGGAGACCTGAAGAGCACTCAAGGTGTGCTCGCACCGGAGCTTGGTAGATTGACCTATGCCGATGGGGAGCCCTGGACTTCGATTGTCACACGTGAGCCAAGTGAGGACGTCTTCAAAGCTGCCCTTCAGACTTCATCGAATCTTCTTTACTTCGGCCATGGAGCTGGTTCGCAGTACATTCGACCAAGAGCGATCAGGAAGCTGGAAACATGCAGTGAGGTGGTCTGGCTGATGGGTTGCTCGTCTGGCGCCGTCACTGAATACGACGAGCTCGAACCATTTTCAGTCCCATCAGCTTACCTTCAGGCGGGACAAGCCAGCTCTGAACATCCTTCAAAGTGTATGGCTGTTCTCGCCACTTTGTGGGATGTGACGGACAAGGACATTGATCGCTTTTCCCTCGCTGTTGGTCAAGAGTGGGGCTTGTGGCAAGCAGTCCCCGAGACGGTAAAGCCGCCAGCGAAGACGCCTCGGAAGCGGACACTCGCTGTGCCCTCGACTCCGGAGAAGTGCGCAAAGACGCCCAAGACGCCGAAAGTCCACAAGACACCGATCCCCTCGCGCACGCCGGCTCGTAATCGTAGTCGCGTGAGGTTCGAAGAAAGTAAGCCGCAGAGTTTGGTGGAGGCTGTGTCGAAGAGCCGAGAGGCGTGCTTTCTGAGGTACCTCAATGGAGCAGCACCAGTTGTGTACGGAGTGCCGGTTTATCTTGGAGACTAGTCCATTGTCAAGGAGATTTGTAATATGACAGATTCTTGTGAGCGTTCAAGCGTGTACAGATAGAATTATGACGATCGCGATATCACGTTGACTCTTCTGCTGAAAACCCATGATCACGCTCAGTGCGTGGCCTCTGGTCATGACTCGCTGCTTATAGCATCCCGCGGGATGATGATATGTCGCAGTGAAGCTGGTGATGTGTGAGGACTATGATGGCGTGCCTGTGCACGCGCAGTGAGTGGTAATGCTGCTTGCTATTGTGAGCAGAAAGAAGTGAAGTCGACACAAGAACGCGTGATCTGCACCTAGCATGCCGGAGCCTGGTGCTGGTTGCAGACAAGCGGAAGTTGCCGAGAAGGCTTGGAAGCAAGGGATCAACTTGTGTTTCCAGCCGCCTCACTGTTTGAACAAACCACGTCGTGCCCACGCCTTCGTCCATCCCTCCTTCCGCCATCCCCTCTCCGCTCCGCACACTCCTTCACGCATCCACGCGCCCGCCGTCATTGCCAGTTGACGGCCGCTTGAACTCCGACAGCAGCCTGCCTGTGCTCTGGTACTGACGCGCTCGCTCAGCCCTTTCTTACATCTTTCCCCAGTCCGTCGCAAACAGCGACACATCGACCGCTGCAATGGCCGACCTCGACACTTACGACGCCGACCAGCGCACCTACGACGGTACGTCCTCCACCACCAGCGCCGCTGCTCAGCGTGCCGTTTCACGGGCACAACTTGGGCGAGAATTCAGCGTGTCAAACCACGCGGCTTCCTACGCCCAGTTCAGCCGCAGCACACGACCTGCAAAAGACCGCCGTGACTTCCAGACCAGCACTGACTTCTTCCGACAACAGACGAGCGCGACTACCCTCCTCGTGAGCGCTCGCGTTCGCCAGGCCCAGACCGCGATCGAGATGGCGACGTCCGCGTGCGCGATGAGCCTTCCAACGGACGCGCCGACCGGTACGTAGAGCTACGTTGCAGATGTGCCAACAGCATGCTGACTAGAACCAGTGACCCTCCGCGCAAGGGCGGCGCCGACGACGAGCCAGATGCCACGAACCCAGGATCCAACCTTTTCGTTACTGGAATCCACCCACGTTTGACTGAGGAGGAGGTTTCGCGTCTGTTTGAAAAGTATGGACAGGTTGAAAAGTGCAACATCATGAAGGATCCTCACACCCGCGAGAGCCGTGGATTCGGCTTCGTGAAGATGGTCACTTCGGACGAGGCAGATGCTGCGAAGGAGGCCCTTCAGGGCGAGGTCTACGAGGGACGCACCTTGAGCATTGAGAAGGCTCGCCGCGCTCGCCCACGCACGCCAACTCCGGGCAAGTACTTCGGACCACCTAAGCGCGGTAAGTTACTGATCTTGCGACATCCGACATGCGTTGAGCAATAAGCTAATTGAGCACAGAGGACCGTCGCCCACGTGGTGGAGGCTGGGGAGGTCGCGGAGGCGACCGCTACGACGTGAGTTCACACTTGATATCTGCAACGTGGATCTGTACTGACTGACAAGCAGGACCGCGGCTACGGCCGCCGTGACGACTATCGAGGCGGAGGCTACCGCGACCGCAACGATGATCGCGGTGGTTACGGACGTCGGGATGACGGTCCACCACGCGACCGCTACCGCGACGGCGGTGATCGCTATGGCGGAGAGCGCCGCGGAGGCGGCTACGGCTCCAACTACGAGCGCCCTCCCCGTGGTGGGCCACCAGGCGACAGTAGCTACGGTGGCGACTCTCGTCCGCCGCGCGATGCACCACCAGCTCGCAGCTACGAAGACCGCCGCCAATACGACTAGGCGACGTTTAGGCTAACGAAACAGGCGTACGGAGCAAGCAACGGTCTTTTCAGCATCATGGATCGCTAGGCAATCTGCATCCGAGGAGTTTCTGCTGGAGTCGGCTAATCACCCCCCATGTACTACTACAACTTCCATTTCCCCGGTGCGACTTCAGCATGTGTTATTAGCGGCGGCAGAGAGAAGGCATGTCGACGCTCTTCGACCAGCGACAGTGAATCGGAGAAGCTCTTCGGCCATGTGCCGCAGCCCACGTTCCACGTCCTTTTCGGCAATCAGTATGAAACGAAACAAAACAACAGCTTTACTAAATCTGTCACCTCGACTCGCACTTTCGACATCTCTGCCAATGGCTATCAGTCAGTGTTGGCATGCACCCGTTCGACAATTGAAGGAGCGCACCACTCAATAGGAAAGGGTTCATTCGTCAACGATCGCACCTTCAACCGCAGTCCAATCAGCCGCATCGTATTTCCTCGTCGCAATCGCACAGCTACGCCTAACAGCTACAATGCAGCCGCGTTCTGGCACAGTCAGCAGAACCTCGATGCACTGCATTCTTGCCGGCCTTGGCAAGCACATCCCTCGCATTCTACCTCCACTCCCATTTACTTTTATTCTTGAGCAATTGCTTCCCTTGGCTGACTATGTTGCAGGTGACTGGCAGCTCTGGAGTTCAGAATTACCATGTCTGCACAAAGAGACCTCGAGACCACGGACGGACCCGAGTCGTTCAAGACAATGCGATCCTCAACTCATCGCCAGCGACCGTCGTCCATACACGCCTAGTCACACGCCTAGTACCACATCTAAACTTGCATGAAATCATAACAGATCATTGCAGGTACAATGGTGAGTAGAAAATTGCTCGCTGCGATCAAAAGCAGCATTTCTTTGGGGTCGTTTTCTTTTCTTCGTTGGGTCTAGGTGGACGGGACAGCAGGCGATCGACCTTTCGTCCATATTAGCGAAATTCAGCTTCCGCAATACTGCTCAAACGCCCATTCGTTCAACGCTTCTCATGCCCTACTTTGGTTCTGGAACCAAGTCTCTTTGTACTGCGCCGAGCTACTACTTCTTTGTCAGCGTCTATTGACCATAAAGGTGAAGCGGCCTGATCAAGGCACAAGTGCATTGATATGCACATCATCAAACGCGAAACAATGCCATTCTCGATTTTGCTTTCAAGTCAGGACAAGAGCCTCAACGCTTTGTTCATTGTTACCATGGGTCCCCAGCGCTGTACAAAATGCAAGTGACATACCGCCTGGGCAGACTTCGAGATCAGTTTGTAAAGCAATAGTTACCGAGCAAAGCCTTTAAGCAGCAGGACTGCTTCAAAGATCACCTCGAGCATATTGACACACCCACAAAACACACCGACCGACAACATGAACAGTCTTCAGCAGACTGTGGGCATTGAACTGGAGTTCGCAATCGTATACAAGGCTGATGCGTTTGCAAACATCCCTGGTCTGACGCCTTCACGCCCATTAGCTAACGTGCCCGCAGATCAAGCAATTCAACACTTCCTTAAACAAGCAGGTGTTGCTTCGAACTTGGCCCGTGAATCGCCAGAGGATGCTCCTTACGAAGACTGGACTGTTGACCACGACTGCTTGGAATTCACACCCGCCGAGGAGGCTTCGATACCAGACGGCTGGACACGGGAGCACATCGAGCTGCAATCTCGAGTATTCTCCTATGCTAACGACAATTGGTCAGCTGAAATTCAGCGTGTGACGGAGGTGCTCTCCATGATGCGCTCCAATTACCACTGTGCAATTCTCACGAACCGCACTTCTGGTTTTCACGTTCACATTGGCAATGGTCCGGACTTCATCCCATTCAAAACAGGCAAGCGGATCGCACAACTGTTCACTGCATATGAATCTCGATTCGACCAGATGCACGCCGCAACACGTGTCCTTGCACCTGGTCTCGACATCGAACCCTTTCGCTACGAGCCTCTGGTCCCTTTCTGGTTTGCTCCGCCGTCGTTCTACCATTGGAACCACAACGCCGATTTCCACATTTTGCCAATCGACAATCGCATCCATCATTCTGACAACGAGAACGTGTTCAACTGGATTCAAAGAATCGAGAAAGCGACCGACTACCAAGGCCTCGCAGATCTGAGTATTGTAAACTCTGTCTGTGGTGACAAATTGGGCCACCACGCGGCGTTGAACTTCGATAACTGTTACGAAGATGGATTCTACGGAGATACATTCGTCAAGAAAACCATCGAGTTTCGTCAACATATCGGAACTGTGGACTTCCAGTCAATCGTCTCCTGGATTCAGTTTTTGAGCCAAGCGGTCCAGTTCTGTCATACCGCCGACGATGCCGACTTTGTCTACTTGTTGACGAAAACTACAGATGTCACGTTTACACTTGCTCATGTCCTGGATGCAATTGGATGTGACGATCATCTGATTGAGCACTTGCAACGTCAGGATGAAAGTCAGGAGCTTATCCAGCGAAGACACACGGACTCTGATGCTGCATTCATCGATGAACCAATGGTCGCTGAGTTGGTTGCTAACAATGACGAAGAACAAAGCGACGCATATCAATGGTCGACAATCGTCAAACGATGCGGCACAAAATTCGATTCCGGATATTACGGTCTGGATCCTACTGCTGCGGCTCTTCCATTTGAGCTGGCTGATGTGCAGTATTTGCTTGGCCTAGCACGAGCCAAAGCTGAACTCCAGTGTGGTCCTGACGAGGATACGGCAGCACCTGTTGCGAGAGCTTCGGCTTTCAAGTTGCTTGCCAATATCTACGCCCGCCTGGACAACTCTCTGGATCCTAGGTCTGCCGTTCACCGCGAATTCGATGCGTGGGTCAGTCAGAATTGATGTGGATGAGACATTTGCTTGATTGGGAGTTTGCATGTCCGCCATGGCCTAGGCTAGCGAGCGCGCCGAGCTGCCTTTCGTATTATGATTCATAGCTGTATGACATTCGATGAGACATGATTTGCTGGTTTCCATTCCTCTACCTTGAACTTTCCTTTCCATGCCTCATAGCACCATAGGGCACGATCGGTCTCACCCACCACGTCCGTGGGCGTCCGCGGAAAGCCTCCCAGCACCAACGGCCCAGCACCAGTGAATGTCATATGCGAGCGTCAATGTGAGACATATAGTTCTGACAACAGGGCATACCCCCTGTCCTCTTATTCTCCGGATGCCAACCTCTCCACGCTTGTGTTTCTTGGCGTGCACAACCTTCCACATTCGTCCAAAGAGACTTATGCCTCCTAGGGCAGGCACGGCTGGACACTATTCCGAGGATGTACCCGGTTGATGCGACTTACAGTCTTTCACCACACCTCATCAGGACTCACTTTGATATTCTCGCCATTGGCGCGAACAGTCTTGCGGTGCTTATCTCGCTTGAGTGGTTTCCTCATGTCGTAGGCGTCGCTTCCGTCATTGTAGTAGTCTGTTATTCTCCTGTAGACGGAATAGCTAGACCACTAATCAGTATGAGACACAAAAAATTATGCATTGTTTATCATCAGCAATGAAGGCGATATTCTTACCCCATTTTCTTGTACAGCTGAATCGCAGCCTCATTCTCAACCCGCACAAACAAGTCAACGAACCAGGCATTTTCTTGATCACCAACTTCTTCCAGTGCTTCCGAGAGCTTCGTCGCGTATCCCAGTCTTCGAGCCGATGGAGCCACTGTCAGACAAGTGATATGCGCATGCCAGGGGAGATAATTGGAAAACTTCTTCTGATAGATCTTCAGACCTGGGTCGTAAGGCTCGATAGGTGCTGGGTATGGTGAAGCCTCGACTTTGCCGAGGACTTAAGGAGATAGATTGGTCAGCTTACGTAGCTCCGTTGCGGTGAAACCAGCGCGAGGAGAGAAAAGAAAATACGTACTGTAGGCTTCGATTTGGCCGCTTGGACCTTCGATGACTTTGCAGAGGTGTGGCCATTTTGTGAAGTATTCGAGGTAAAAGCCGATGTTGTAGGTTTCTGTTAGGTGGTCGAGATTACACGGGTTGAATTTGAGCAGATCCATTGGACCCATGGGTCGAATCGCTGCTGCTGCCATGTCTGATGAAGTTGTGTCGATGGTAGCCGTTTCTGTGGATCCCCATATGCTGCTCTGTCGAACGCATGCGCGAATGGAATGTCTGTGGGTCCGCAAAGTTCTTCAATTTGGCACTTGACTGTTAAGGCTCTGATGTCGAACTTATCCGATCAACCGTGTGGTTTGTTCCTGGTTGGTTTGAGGCGCTTTGTATGGAAGTGAAGTGCCAAGAATGCTTGTGTTTTGTGATCAGTGTACTTTGTGGATCTGGTACCAGGCTGTGGATGAACCGGATAAACCACATTGATCAGTATTCACTACCATTTTGAGGATTGGCAGCCACGAACCTTTGGTAAAGCAGCGAAAAACGATCCGCCAGGTATTGCTATGCTTTATGAGTGGCCTAATGATCATTTGTTGTGCACAAATCATGTGTAGAGACAGGGCATTCTCCAACAAGAGCCCAATATCGTCAATCTTAGGATAGTTGCGGCGACCCCGACGAATCCTAGTTCAAGGAACTTGCGGATAGAACTCAGCAAGAGCAGGAGGTATATCAACCTCGCGTCTCTCTGTGTATCCACTCAATGTTCTCTTATTCAGCTGAATCACCTCTCGAGTAACACCAAATATGTTTGACTATTCAGCACAAAGCATCGGCCATGTGCTCACGATTGTTATTGCATCCCCCTTTCTCTACCTAGCCTGGTGTATATTCTACAATCTCTTCCTTCATCCTCTTCGCTCCTATCCAGGTCCTCTGCTATGGCGACTGTCCAAATTCCCATCTGCATACTATGCACTGCAGGGCACGCTCGACAAGAAGATGCTCCAAGTTCATAGGAAATACGGCACAGAGGTTCGCATCGCTCCCGACGAGCTTAGTTTCTCTGATGCACGCGCCTGGAAGGATGTGCATATGGGTAAGTGCAGACGCTGGAAGGCATCTTCGAATCGCAAGAACTTGTCTCAGTCATCTTCAGACCTCTGACTACTCTTAACAGCAAAACCAGAATTCACAAAAGACCGGCGCATGATCCAGTATCCCCCTAATGGTGCACATAATATCCTCACAGGACCTCGTGAGGAGCATGCTCGATTTCGGCGTCTGCTTTCCTACGCCTTCTCGGACAAGGGTTTGCGTGAGCAGGAACCACGAATCAAGCGCTACGTCGACCTTCTCATGACCAGACTTCGCGAAGACGCAGACAAACCAGCTTCAGTCAACGTTGTCGATTTGTTTACGATGGCAGTATTTGATATCGTTGGCGAGCTGGCCTGGGGAGAGAGTTTCCACGGTCTCGAAGAACGGGGCGTTCACGAATGGATTCCAGCGATCCTCGCTAATGTCAAGTATGTATCTCAGACTGTTATCCTCAGAGGACTTGGATTGGAGCGGTTTACTTCGTATCTCGCGGATCCCGAGCTCTTGAAAGGTCGGAAGAAGAACTACATGCTGGCAGCGGGCCTGGCCAGTAAGCGAGCAGAATATAAAGGCGAGCCTCGCGGTGACTTCTGGGATCGAGTTCTCATCAAAAGCGAGGGCGACAAGGCGGCCACTGAGGGAATGGTCTGTTCTTCCACCCTTCAAAGACCTTGGGCCATTGCTAACGGCCAGTTCAGACTACCGCCGAGATGATCAACAACGCCAGTGTGCTGGTGCTGGCAGGCGCCGAGACCAGTGCCACGACTCTTAGTGGAGCAACGTATCTCCTGCTGAAGCATCCAGAAGTCATGAAGAAGGCAGTCCACGAGATCCGAACGGCTTTCAAGAGCGAAGAAGAAATCGATATCCATTCTGTGAGTCGCCTGGCGTATATGCTGGCCGTTCTGGATGAATCGATGCGAATCTATCCGCCGGTGTCACAGCAGATCCACCGAGTACCACCGTCCGGTGGAGGAATGGTCTGTGGCAAATGGGTTCCAGACACCGCATCCCTCCGCCTTTGTCCATTAGCAATGAATAAGACTGAGTCCAACTTTGCGCGACCGGATGATTTCGTGCCAGAACGGTGGCTCGCTGATGCGCCTGCGGAATTCTCCAACGATGTCAAACACGCCTTCCAACCATTCTCGCTGGGTTCCAGGAACTGCATTGGACGTAATCTCGCAATCGCCGAGATGCGATTGATCCTGGCCAAAATATTGTTCAACTTCGATCTGGAGCTCGATGACGAGAAGACAGGAGACTGGTTCGACCAGCAGAGCTATGGTATCTGGTGGAAGGGGCCGCTGTGGGTCAAATTCTCACTGGCGAAGCGTGTATGAAGTGTTCAATTATGAGAACGGCCGTCATGTTAGCTGTGTTCAAAAGCCTTCACCATCCTTCCATTCTCGCTTGCTCTCAATCGCTCGCTGTTTCGGGTCCTGCCCTCTGATCAATGCTTGATCCTTGAGTTTTCTCATCTCGCTCTCTAGAGCTTCAATCTGGTCCAAAAGCTCTCGATCCTTCCCGACCTCGGGTATTTCAAGAGTAGCCGCTTCGTCCACATTTCCATTTGCCGATGTTGCCTTTGCTATCGCGTCTGCCTTCTTTCTCCACGCTTTGAATTCCTTCTGAAGCTCCTGCACATGGTAGTTGAGCTCGAAGTAATAGTCGAATTCTTTGGGCCCGCCAAAACACAATCCATACCCATCGCAGTAGCAAGCGCTCATACTTGGACAGTGAATCGGGGAGGCTGTGAAGATATATTGCCAGATGTGCTCGAAGATACGTCCGCTGAGATAGTCTGTCAGTTCTGTGCGAATCAGCCAGTCCCGCATGACAACATAGCGCATCTTAGGTGTTTCGAGAATTCGCTCTCGCGATACGGCGAACTGGGCGCAGCATGGTTGCGCGAGCACTTTTGGCACGGGGTCCATCGGAAAGAGCTCACTCCAGCAATCAGCAAGTAAGTGCTCTTCTGGCTTATCGTAGTTGTCCTTCGTCGCGCCTGGATGCAACCATACGGGACAGCCTGGATCCCAATGACACCGCAAATTCATGTAACCTTCTCTTGTGACTCGTTCGGGGCTCAGATGCCGCACCATCTGTGCAGCATCCGTGTTCAACAATTCGTTATTGTGCCATGCGTAGCGGTGAGCGTGCATGAAAATACTGATGTCTGGGAGCGTGTCGTAAAAGTCAATGATGTAGCTCAGGTAAACCATAACCTCGTGGCCTTTGTTCTTTGGCGGGTGGAGGTCGGCTGTACGATCATCGACCGTATACACAGCTGGTATAAGAAGGCCGCTGTCGATCCAATCGCCTAGCTCCTGTTGCACCCAGGCAGTGCTTTCAGATTTTAGTCGTGGCAGGACCAAGGCTCTGGTGTAATTACTACCAGGAGGCTTGGTCTTGCCAATAGGGTAGGGGCTCAATGAATCGATCTCTGGCTCTTTGAACATAGCCTTGGGTACGTCCGCAGACTGGCCAGGCCACATATCCGATATGGCATCTTCATCTTGGTCGAGGGGCTGCTCCGCCGGTCCATTCGTGCCCTCCCATACTGCGAGTGGTGCGATCTGCGGCCATGAAAGGTGGTAGCCGAGTGATACGAGGATGGCTGAGCTGCAACAGGCAATGATGACAAAGCTGATGAACCGACGGAGCATAAGTCTGTGACGGAAGAGAGCCGTGGTGGGTGGAATGCTGGGTGCGGAGGTGCCTACACAACGTTGAATTGTGCTGATGCAGCCTCCGTGGTCAGCGACATTCAGAACACGAAGAGGAGGAGCTGCGTCTCAGAATCGTCGTCATCCGCCATTGCGCTACCCCTGGTCCATCCAGAATTCCCAGGGTGTCGTCAGCTCCAGAAGGAAGTGATAGCAACATGGGGGTGCGGTGAAGATGCGGGAGTGCTGCTTCGGCGTTGTTTCGGCGATCGGCGTGTCGACAATGCTGCAGCATTGATGATGTGCACCACTCTGTTCGCAGCGCTGCTCCCATCTCCCACCGATGCTCCCTCGACCGCCCACCGCCATCTTCACGTCGTCATTCGATGCCGGCTCGCTATGCCTGCGATGTGCAAGCCGGATAGCACGACTGCAGCAGCCCCACCGACGACCCTTCTCCCGCGCTGTGAAGACGAGACAAGTCGCTATCACCAAGGACGATGAGATCAATCAGAGGTTCTTCTGGGCCAATGCCATTCACAATAGCCAGTCCAATGGCTCCACAATATTATCCAAAGCCGTAGCAAGTGGTCAGCTCAGAGNGAGACCCAGCGAACAACAGCCGCCGCGAGCGAAGAACCACCACATCGACGGCGGAAACGATTAAAGGCAGCAGCAGCAGCCTCGACAAATGATGCAACAGAAGCACCTCTCCCACTGGACGCATCCTCCCAGCTATCCAGCGACGCCGCCGCAGCACCCGCAAAGTCCTTTCGACGAGCATTCTCCACCTACCTTTCCTTATCCAAGCCACGTCTGGCCTTTCTCGTAGTTCTCACGACAACTGCCTCATATTCCATATACCCCGTGCCGGCCTTACTGAGCACATCAGTCACTGATGCACCCTCGCTGAGCACTCTCACACTGCTTTTCCTCACCAGCGGGACCTTTTTGCAGATCGCGTCTGCCAACACATTAAACATGCTATTCGAGCCACAGCATGACGCCAAAATGAGCAGGACGAAGAATAGGCCCCTCGTCCGTGGCCTGATCAGCAAACGCAGAGCTCTCATCTTCTCCATCGCAACGGGCGTTATCGGAACAGGACTTTTGTGGTATGGTGTTAATCCCACCACTTCACTTCTCGGAGCGGCCAACATTGCGATATACGCTGGTGCGTATACATACTTGAAGAGAATACATCCCGTCAATACATGGGTGGGAGCAATCGTAGGAGCAATTCCACCGCTCATGGGCTGGTGTGCAGCTGCCAGTCAATACAGCACAACAGACGCCAGTCAATCATCAATCTGGGAGGAAGCCAAAGAGCTTCTATTCACCGAGCAAGCAATTGGTGGATGGCTTATCGCCGGCATACTCTTTGCATGGCAATTCCCGCATTTCTTTGCTTTGGCATATGCTGTTCGACAAGAATATGCGAGTGCTGGGTATAAAATGTTGGTCTCTACCAATATACCCATGGCAGCGAGGGTTTCGTTCAGATACAGTCTGGCGATGTTTCCTATATGTGCGGGCTTGAGCTACTATCATGTCACGGATCCGGCTTTCGTGGTGACTAGCTCGGTCATCAACGGCTGGATGCTCAAGGAGGCATGGCGAATGTGGAAGCTGAATGGGGAGAAAGGGTCAGCGAGGGCACTGTTCTGGGCGAGTGTGTGGCAGCTGCCTATTGTTCTGGTCCTGGCTATGATGCAGAAGAAGGGGCTGTGGAGTCGAGTGTGGAATGCTACGTTCGGCGAGCCTGAGCTGGATGATGAATGGGAGGAGGAAGTGATGCCGCCTCGGAAGACTTTACAGAGCGGGTCATGATGTACATATATTATGTTACATTAGCTACGACATTGCATATGTGATACATTCGCTGTGAATAGCGAGACACTTTCATTCCGCCGAGTGACAAACATGGACAGGGGTGAGATTGCAAATGAGAGGTGATGTGGTGATGATTTCCATAATTTCTCATATGCATTCGTGTTCTGTAAATGCCATGCCGCTACTTTTGAAAAGCGACTTCTACAACAATTTGTGTTACGCCGCATCCCACCGATGATTGAGAACTCCTCGCTATGTGACCCAGTAATCATATGCATATCTCATTCCATCATCCTCTACTGCATCAACTCCACAGGCGGGCGAGCAGTATGCACAAACTGCTTGCTGCTATCCATTGGCGTCATAGGCAGTGGACTATCCGTCGTATCCTCAACCGCAATAGCCGGCAAATCCGGCGAATGTCCATGTTCTTGCGGATCATACACCAGTGTCGAACTCCTCGATCGCCCTACTGTAGCCGGTGAAATGGGAGTCTTGCCATCCACATCATCGTACAAAGCCTGATCGGCAGCAGGTTTGGCATGTAATTTCGACAACGCCACAGCGAGATCATCAGCGTGGACTTCTTTGTTCGGAGGCTCTTCGTTGCGCATTTCCCAGCCGACGGGCGGGCTAGGTGGTGGAGAGATGAAGAAGAGTTTTTGGCTTTGGGGTGCTTGCAAGTGTTGATCTTCGGGGTTGATTTTTGTTTCGGTGCCAAAGTATACGCGGACTCTGTTTCCTAGGACGGTTTCGCCGTCGAGAACTTGGCGGAGGTTTACTGCGTCTTCGATGGTGTAGAAGCTGACGATGATGCGGCGGAAGGATTTGAGGGGCGAGAAGGTGTGGATTGTGGCGTGTTGGTTGATTGCTGCTCGTATGCTTTCGAGGCTGGCGGCTTGGAAGATTTCTGGGGCGTCGAGATTGGTGACTAGGAGGGTGTTGCTCGGTTGCGCAGGTTGTGAGAGAGATGGCAGGCTCGAGAGATCGAGAGACAACGATGGTGAGTGTCTCCGTTTCATGCCTGTCGAAGGCACAGGCGACATGTGCATCGTCATGGCTGCCATTTGTTCGTCGGCGTCGGTGTCTGGAGTCTGTCCTGTGAGTGGGTCGGGACTGAGCTCGTGCTGGCCGCTTTCGGTGTTGCTGGTAGTGTGATACATCAAAGGAGAAGTGCTCGGCGTCTTGTTCTTATACAGAACAGCGAAGTTGCCATCGAACGGGGTGGAAGTGGTCGATCGCTGCGCCTCGTTGTCCAAGCGCGGGCCGCTGATGCATGTGCCCGCCAAGGGGTCTCGAGCCGGAGCGTCGCACAGCCCCGAAGCGGGTTTGTTTGCTGCTGCACAGACGGCCACTCTGCTCCGCCTCTGACGCTGTCGCGCGCGGCAGAACCGTTGACCGCAGCGGACGATGTGACCGTCCAAGAATCTCACCCTCGACCAGCAGAAGCTTCTGGCCTGGCATCGAGCGCTGGCGCTGGCTTGGCTGTCAACGCCGCCGCCGTCACGTCGATTGCCATCGCAAACACCGCGAACTTCCGCGGACTCCCGATGCCTCCCACAATATACCGAACACCACGACGTACGCCCAGTGCACCGCCGGCGGTGAGTATCGTGCGCAGCTGTCTTCAGACATCGGCGAGGACCGTGTGCAACTGCGCCCTGGGGGCCTACGAAAGCGACCACATTCCTTTGGCTACCACTCGCCACATGATTGCGCGACTGATTCGCAACACCTCCGCCGCATCGAAACATCATCCCACGTTCCAGGACCACCTGTTCGGACTGCATGATCTTACACCGCAACAACTAGAGCCCAATCACCCCATGAACACATAGGAGAAGTGACCTGGCACGTGTCCTTGCTACCTGACCAGGTTCCGTGCTGTTGTGCAGTGGCTTAGCATTAAACACTCCAAGATCTACTAGGTAGGCAACCGCATTCTTTCCAGGATTTACCACGGTGGCATACCGTCCGCAGTGAACACACTTGGTCAAGAAGAAAGCGTGAACAAGGCTCAGCAGATCCAATATTGCGGCTTGGATCGAGAAATGGTCTACGTAGACCAGAAAATTGATCAAACACAGCATAGCAACGCCATGTTCAGTACGTAGTTGCTAGGGTCCTATGACCGAATGGATATTTGCCAAACTACCCATGACAGTTTCGCACGAAACTTTTTTGGCATTAATGCGCCTGCCTTATCCGTTTGTCCTGCGCCAATGTCTAGACTCTCCGCATATGCAAGAAACAGAACAGGTATCATGCAGTCGCTCAATAGAAACAAAACGCCGTCGATATGATGCACTCAATCAATCCCGCTGTCCCTATCGCTGTGCTCCACTCGCGCCAATGACATGCCCGTCAATGCTGGAAGCTCATTGCACTGGGACGGCGAACGGACCGCTCTCTTGCAGGTCCTGTACCAGCTCTTCAACGTTGCTCAAGTATTGGCCGAGCAGCATTTGCTTGTCCTCCGTAGACCTCACATCCATGTCTTGCAGCTCTTCATCAATCTCCATTGCGTCCCCTGAATGTGTTCTCGCGTGCCCGGCTAGTGCTGTGAACGACCTCTCTACTCCTCTTTGTATTACTGCTGTGTTCGGTGCGCTGGTATGGCTGAAAGGTACAACGGGCGACTCGGGCATGAGGTAGAAGTAGAGGAATTCGAGTGATCGCATCTTTACATCTTTCGTGGTTGATCGGCTCTTGAAGAGGGAGGTGACTGTGAGGAGCCCATCTATTGATTCGAAGGTTCGTGTGTTTCGTGGTTGATCGATGAGTGCGGCGACAAGGACGAGTAGCGCTTGTGACTGGACTCTAGGTGGGTTCATCGAGTCGAGGAGGTCGAGGAGCAGGTTCATGTGCGATTCGCGGTTGAACAGGCATTTCGATGGCGGATGCAGCATTAATATGCCTTGCAAGAGATCGAGTGCTGAGAGTATGAGGAGGTCCGTTTCTGATGGGTTGCCCATGCCCAGAAGGCATTCGATCGTCTGTACGAGTCGCGAGGCCACTGATTGCCAGCGTCAGCATCGTCGGAAATATCATCTCTTCTGCGGAGCTCACCGTTCCATTGAAATCCTTCTTGCAGTCTGAAAAACTCTCTGAATGCCGGATCTTGCTTGAGCTCTCCCAGCTGCTTCGCACTCCCCTGCTTCTTATCGTCCAATGCCGATGACTTTCTCTTGTGCGGTGATCTTGACCCAGCCTTGGAAAGACATATTTGCGCGAGCAATCCTTCTATTTGTCTCAAGCCTTTTCGGATCTTGTTGCTGTCGCGCGACGCGATGTTGTCGAAGGAAAGACTCAATAACGACTCCATTGCGGCTTGTGTCGCGTTGCTCGATATTGGACCCAGAAAGGGCTCTTGAAGGACTCGCGAATATGCAGCTAAGTGCTTAGGCTAGAAGTGTGCTCCGCAACTTTGAGGTTTCGAAACATGGTTGCCACGACGACCGTCCGAACTAGGCGTTTGCACTTGCGGTATCGATAGTGGTGAACAGAACGACACGACCACATCTTCTTGCGTGGTACATCCGTCGTTGCTCTTGAGGTCACGTTTCCGAAGTCTGGCTATGGGTTCAGGAACGTATGCAAGTTGGAGCTCCAACCCTTGGACAACCCTAGCTTGTGCATGTAGCTGGGCCTGTGGAAATGCACGACATCTCAAACTCTGCTTCCCATGAGCTAGTCCGCTGAACAGAGACGACTGTTCGACGCGTACCGATTTCCTGAAAAGAGGTCATGATCAAAAACGTAGAAGCCAGGCGCCGCTTTGCAAGACCGTAGAGACAAGCATCATGTCCTCGTCGTGGGATGGCAAAGAGTGGTCGACATGGTATTCGCGTGGCCAGTCTGCCGGCGAGCGATCACTCAGCGAGTATGACAGATGATGCGGTAATCTGCATAGCAAGTTGTACAGGACATCGATGCGCATGCAACAGAGGTGGAAGTCGTTCAAGTTGCGCCTGTGTTGTAGAAGTATACTGTGCTTGTGTATCTACGGGCCACCGAAGCCAGCATTGCAAATCTTGGCAGCCTCCACCTGCACTTCAGCACCTCCGAAATTCTGTCTGCGCCGAAGCCAGCGACGACAATTTCACCCACTCGAACACAGCGCAGGATATCCATTTCTTTGCGCATTCAGTCCACACACATCGCCAAAATGGTTGCCAGAACAGTATGTACTTGAGACGCTTTGCTGCCCGCCGACGCCTTGATTGGCAGTCTGGCATAGAGCAGTAGGCTGAGAAATTCGCAACAGAAGAAGTCCGCCGCCGGCGCACAGAAGAAGGGCCAGAAGGTGACCAAGAAGGTGAGTTCTAACTCCTACCACTTCAATCTCTCCGAATGCCTCCTCTACCTCACCAGAACCACCACTAACCATACATCCCACCCCCAGTTCATCATCAACGCAACCCAACCAACCCAAGACCGCATCTTCGACCCATCCGCCTTCGCAACCTTCCTGCAGCAACGCATCAAGGTCGAAGGCCGCACCGGTAACCTCGGCGACAACGTCACCGTCAACAACCTCGGCGATGGACGCGTCGAGGTCGTCGCCCACCAGGAATTCTCCGGTCGCTACCTCAAGTACCTGACCAAGAAGTTCCTCAAGAAGCAGCAGCTCCGTGACTGGCTCCGTGTCGTCAGCACGCAAAAGGGCGAATACAGCCTCAAGTTCTTCAACGTTGTTGGGGATGAGGCTGAGGATGATGACGAGTAGGATGTTTCTGCCTTGTAAGATGGAGGATAAGTGGAGGAGATGGAGATTTCAGTATGGTGGGGAAACAGGTTTTGCGCTCTCCATGGAAGAGATGCAGAAGTCTTGGTGAAGTCTAGCTGGAATTCCATACTGCTTCACGAAATGAAACACAAAAGTCACATCACTTACGCGGGTCCATGTTCAAAATTTGTTTCCTGCACGAACAAAGATTTCCATGAATCATTGGTATCTTGCTATAAAACGGAACGCCCAAAAACACCGTACCCAGTCTATCACCTTTTTCCTTTCCCGCGACCTTTTTGCAGCCCATGCTTAAATCCTCGCCCTGGCGACTTCTGCACCTTGCCTCCGTTCGAGAAGCCCTTCGCTTTCTCACCACCAAGACCGCGTCGCTGAGGTTGCTGCTTGCCACGAGGACTCTTCGCATCGAGCTTCTTCTTAGCCGCCATAGCATCGTCTTCGTCAATGTCCATTTCATCATCATCTCGCACATTCTTGAACTTCAGCTTGCCCTTCTGGCCTCTGGTAGGAGCATTCTTGCTCTTCAGCGCCTCAACGTATGCATTGATACCTCCTTCCAGAGTGCCATCTCCCGGCTCTGCACCTTCGATCATTCCATCATCGTCAAACTCTTCGAGTTCAAGATCCGAGTCGTCATTGAAGACGAGCTTGCCGTCCAGATCTGTCTTAGCTTTCGTCTTTTTGTTGTCCGCTGCGGCTTTCTGCTTAGACGGCTTCGTCGATGACACATGCGCAAGAGCCTTCCGGTCAAGCAGATCGAGTGGTTCGTCTTCGTCTTCGACGATATACTGGTTGCCTCCTTGCTTAGCTTTCTGGCCTTTTGCCACAGCTCGGCCAAGCACTTCGTCATCAGAAATATCAGACTCTGATTCAGAACCAGATCCATAGATGGCTTCATCGTACTCGCTCTCGAACTTGCTGCGCTTCTGTGCTCCAGGTGTGGTGTCGTCGTCTTCCTCACCTGCGTCTCGCTTCTTCTTTCTGCGATCACGCGTCTTGCGAATGTTTGCGATGAGCTTCCGATCCGCTTCAGGCGTGTACCTCTCCACAACTTCCACTCCAAATCGCCGGATCATTCGCTCGAAAATATGCTTGACCTTTGCCTTGAAGTGTTGCTTATGTTCGTGACTCCAAACAATGAGATTTGGAATCAGCGTCTCCAGACGTGGCAACACCAAGCTCGTTGGTAGAGAAATGATGCAGACCTTCACGAAGCCAAGCACCGAGCGCACAATTTCGCGGTTGTTTGAAGTCAAGAAAAGGTCCATAGTCTGAACAAGATCTGCCACCGTAGTCTCCGGTAGCCGACTGTGGAACTCAAACAGTAGCCGAGTCAATGCGGTGATCGAAGCAGAAATCATGTGCGGTGTTGAGCCTGCCAGGCCGGCCGAGACCATGGTGAAATACTCCTCCAAGCTCGCAGGCACAGTAGGGGCATCCGCAGCCATGTGTGGAACCTTGGCGTTATTCACAGTCCCACCTTCTGCCATCTTCTCTGCCATAAGCACGAGTAGATCAAAGGCAGCCGTTCTCGCTTTCTCGTTAACCTCCTTGCAGCTGATCACAACTTCGGAGACGATCGAGGGGATGAAGTGCAGGTCAGTCTTTGGCATGCCTGGAATGATCTCGGCTATGGACGCCAGTCTATCCCTGCGAGCTGGTGCGGACACCTTGTCTGCAGAAGTGAGCAGCAATTGCTGAAGGTCGGCATTTCGGTCTGCTAGCGCTTGACGTCCAGTCTCAGATTCCGAGAGGCGAGGGATCAACTTGTATGCCTTCTTCTGCAATTGCGGATCATCTTGCTTGCTGACCACGTTCGCAGCCATGTTGAACAGACCCGCAAAGCTTTCGCGTGGCAGGTACGTTGCCATTGTGATGATCAGGTCCATGAGAGTATGTGAAGTCGGTGGCATTTTGTTCTTCGAATCCTTGTTGGGCTGCTTTTGTTTATCGGCCTGTGTCTGAGGCCCAGCTTCGGGAAGAGATGTCTCCAGCATGCCCGCAACACGTTGAAACGTCTCGAGTAATTCTTGCTCCGGTGTTATGCTCAAGTAAGCATTGATGCACTGTAGCAGATTGCCGCGGTTCTGCGGCAGGGTCTGGCTGTAGACATTGAAAAGGACTGCAAGCAAGTTGCTCGCAAAGCCAGCGAGATGCTGCAAGTTTCTCTGAGCATCAGCTCGACTGACCCTACCTTGCTCAACCAGATCTTCGTCACCTTCCAATTCCGCGATGGCTTTATTGGTATCGACGAGATTTTGTAAAGCACGGCAGATCTCCGTGCGCATATGAGGCTGCTGATAGAGCAGATTGCTCAATTGCTCGGCAAAAGACTGATCAAGCGCTTCAGTCAGGTCTAGAGGTAGCTGACAGTACCCTGGCAAGCACGACCAGATCTGGTTTACAACAGTTTCGAAAATCTTGATTTCCATCGTCTTCTCGGCTTCGCCATGACTGAGTACTCTCTGGAACATGACTTCACTCAAGGGTACTAAAGCCGCGCGGAAATGGGCCAGCTTGGTGTTGCTAACCGAGTCACGCATCACAGGCAGAAGCCAGGCTCGGCCAGGTCCTTTGGCAGATTTACCGTCCAAGTTGAGTGGCAAGGTAGACAGGATAGCTTCGGGACCAGCAGCTCGAATGGCGGCTGACAAAACTTCATCGGCTTCCTTCTTGCCGGCGAATGCCTCGTCGCTTCGGAGATCTCCAACAGCCTTGACAACGCTGTCAAGAAGCGGGCAGGCGCGCCAGCGCAGGACCTCGAAAGCTGCCTTGAGCACATTGAAGACTTCCATCCAAGCAGTCTGGTACTTCACGCTCAGCAGCTCTTTCAGCGTGCGAGCGATATTCTCCAGAGCTTTGTCGTCCATGATCGAGGGCTCCAATAGCACCGATTCTGGTACACATGTGTGCAACAACGAGATTAGGCATTCGGATGCGGATACACGCACATTGTGCGAGGATGAAGATAGAAACGCGGATATCTTGCTAAAAAGGCCAGGAAGCTTTTGAAAGGTCTCATCTGGCTCGATTTGCGCGGAGACGTCGTAGCCTCTGCTCAATACAGCGATCCAAGGAGGAAGCAATTGTGTGTCGTTTTGCGAAGGCTGGAGCTCTGCGATGATCTCTAGAAGTCTCGGCAACTTAGCTGAAGAGACCTCATTGGCGAGACCTGCAAAGATGATTTCGAAAATTTCGAAAGCTGCCATTGTGAGGAATTCATTGCTTCCCTTCGAAATGTTGAGCAGCAGCTCGCATAGTGCATCGATCTTCTTGCTGGGCCAGCCATTCTGAGCTGACGCAACGGTCTTCACTAGCTGCATTGCGTGCATCAACCCTGGATCATGTGCTCCATCCTCACGCTGTCTCTGCTTCCTCTTCTTGCTACTCGCTTCTTCGGCGGCCGTCTGGAGGTGTCCAAGAGCAGTTTCGGCGCACATTGCTGATACGGGATGATCGAGCGATGGTGAAGGAGGTGGGTGCTTAAGCACGTTGCTCAGGGCTTCCTGTGCCCGCTTTCGCACTTTCGGCCTGTGGTCCATAGCCAGGCCGAGCAGTCCTCCCACAGCACCGCGAGGGCTCGTCGACGATTGCGGCAGGCTCCATGCTTGCGAGTCTTGTGCGATCAGAAGCGATTCCAAGCACCCTATGCTGGCTCGTAGTAGGGGTGCCTCTGCGTCGGCATGGGTAAGAGCGGGTGCGAGGCTGGTGAGAATTTGCGGAAACTTCGATCGGAGGAGCGGCGCTGGAACATGGCTGGTGACGAGGTCGAGCAGGTAGACGACCGCGGTCGTGACTTCTTTGTTGACGATTCCCTTATCGTTCGAGATGTACTGGCCCAGCAGCGACAGTAGAGCAGCGAAGTATGCGGTGGGCGTGGGCTCGGATTTCTGGCTGCGGAGAGTGTCTTCGATGGCGTTCAGGACGACCGACGTCTGCTGCTGGTTCTGCAGCTTCGGCGACGAGCGGATCTTGTCCAGTCTCTCCTGCAGAGACATGTTGGCGTCGTGCTGGTGGACTCGAAACCGGCGACAAGAAGTGCACTCGCGAAGCTATCTCCAAAATTTCAAGCGCATCAATTCCGCACCAGCAGGACCCTGTTGACGTGCAGCTGGGATCCCTACCACGAAACCAGGATGGCAACTGCGCTACCACAGTGACTTCGACTTCACGTTCAGGACAATGAGTCCGGGAGATATCATACATGGGCACGAATTAATTCCAACATGGCATTCGAGGTTCTCATAACTCATTCAGCGTCAATTAAACTGTGCAGTAGCGCCCAGACATCTAAAACTTTCGAAAGAAATCTACCACACTTTGTCGTTTCCGGAGCCTTTCTTGATCCTTGATTATCTTCACTGCATCTGCAATGAGATGTCCGTTTTCTACTACAGGCCTTTTGGGTGCCTCGCTCAAGCCTCTCACAGGCAACTCGCTATGTCTTTTCCCGGCATATGCATCATCGCCCTTCTTCTGAGACCGAGAAAAGATATGCAAGAGATGCGATGAGCTTTCATTCTGCGATCTTTGACACCAATCCGGACGATCGTGTGGCAGTAATTTCGGCCGCTGTATATCCTGAGAGCCTCTCTCGGACTCTTCGAGGACGGGTAGAGGAGGTTTTGAGTAGTGATCCAAACTGTGATATAAGAGAGTGTCCTGTAAGGTGTCGTTGGTGAAGTGATCGTGTGAAAATATTGTCTTGTTGTCTTCGGGCATGGTACGTCGTTTGGCGGCATCTCCGGGTCGATAGATCCCAGTACACGACTCTTTCGTCTCTATCGGCTCGCTGGCGTCTCGTTCGTTCGGGTCAAGAACGCTTTGATCTGATTGAGCACCAATATTTCGTGACGAGTGTCTTCTTGGAATCAATGGCTTCGACCAAAGCTCCGTGCGTTGGATTAAAGAGTGGCGTAGAGGCTGTGCTGTGACGGACTTCGTTTTTCGTGGTGCCGATCCCACGGGTTCATGCTGCTTGACAGACAGGTCCCTTGAAGTCTCGTCTCGCCTCCTAATTTCCATGCCCTTTCCTCCCATCCTTTCCTCGACAATTGCCGCGATCGCACGGTTGTCGTGCACTCCGAAAGACATTGCTGTATAGCGACGATCTTGGTCCAAAGGCCCCCTGCGCGTCACTGGCTCCGAGGTGGATTCCCGTCGCGGAGAAGTGTGCTTGTCCCGGACGGAGTCTTGCCGAAGCGGTGTCGCTGTAGCTGTGAATTGCTTTGCTGCGACCTTAGGCATGAAACGACCACTTCTCAGAGCATCGCGTTTCCCTCGCCTAATTTGCACGATATCTTGCTCCCTTTTGTAGGCCTCCAATTTGCTGCATAACAGCTCCACATCCAGGCCGGTATTCTGCTTCGCTCGCACGTATGCTTCTTCTTCGTTGATCCCGAACATGATTGTTCGCGAAGAACCTTGTTCTAGGGTTCGAGCGCAATGTGTTGAGTCTTAGCTGGCATACGAGCTGGAAAATGTCTGTCACACAGGTTCGGGAAATGTTGAGAGAGGCGAGTTGCTGTGCAACAGTTCGCGAACTTCCCCAGGAATATCAATCCAGCGCCTCGAGCATCCTGCAGACCGCTAGACCGTCGATCACTGTATAGGCAAACATGGTCTCGTGCCCCTTTGGAAGCGAACTTTCCATTTAAATCCACCTACCGGCAGTGTTAGCAGAGTTGTGTAGGGTGACGCCACAACGCCCGGTGGCTTGATCTGAGAACGGCCTTGGACGGTTTCAGCGTAGCACGGAAAATAGTTCAATGAGTTCAGACCTAAATCTGAACAGAGCAAACGCCACGCTGCACGCACGGTACCCCTCGATGGCAATTACAACTGAAACATCGTTAGCCGCGACAGCAGTAGAGGTGCAAATCCTACGGTCTCGACGCCAGCAAAAGCGTTTATACAAACGGCTGTCGATGCAGAATTTCCCGCGATTCGCAGTGCAAGAGGAGCTGTGTCTCTTGATCGGGTGGACACGGTGTTGCATTGGTTCTGCAGCTTGGAGCGCAGAACTCCGTTATAGTGCGCATCGCGACTGCAACGCAGCATCATTGCAGGATGGCAGACCGAATTCGGCCGAGAAGCTTTTTCATGAGATGCCTCGACGAGTCGTAGCCTCGGATCAACACCCGACCTCAAGGAATAGCGTCTTGCCAAATGCGAACTCATCGCGAGTACAGTACCCGAGGATGGTTCACGAACGCGACGCGTCGTTCATCCAACCAACAACGCCCGAGCGTTGGACATGCAGTTTTGGGACGTCCAGATGAGCCTCCCGTTTGTGCGTTGAATGTCGAGATGCAGATCTGCCGCCAGCTGCTGTTCTCGAGCTGTTGGCGCGGTCCGCTGTCTATTTGGACGTGTCTGCTTCGGGAACGCGACCGCAATGAAAATACCGTTTGGCGAGTCGCCGGGCATCGCGGTTCCATAGTGCTGTAGGATGTAGCGAGACTCTTCACGTCGCTTGGAATTGTTGCCAATGCTATCGCGACATGGGTGTCAATGCCGCATCCCAGTTCTGCTCGCGTGGAGGGCGCGGCGAGGACTTCCGAGAGGTCGGGAATTTCTCATTACTCAGCCTACGTAATGTTTGATGCCACTCTCCAATTCGTCTTCACAAAGCACAACACATTTGCCTTCTACCCTACCACCAACTGTACATCATGATGGCCGCCAGACCTGCAATCCGAATACTCACGCAAACGGCCTCCCGACCGTCGGCCACCGGGCATCTCGCGAAGCGCTGCGCACAACTCGCCACAAGCAACACCACCCTACGAACATTCAGCGATGCGCCACGAACCAGCACTCTCTCATCTTCACGGCGAAGCCGCAGGCCCTCTCTACAGCGATACACCCCTCCGAGCGCGAGCAGCACAGCCAGACGCACGATCTTCATCCAAACCGAAGACACGCCCAACGCAGATGCGCTCAAATTCATCCCCAACCACCAAATCCTGCCCGATAACTTCTCCTCCTCATTCCTCGAATACATGACCCCGCGATCGACACTCGCACCACCACATCCTTCGCCGCTCGCACAATCCTTGATGAATGTGGAAGGCGTGTCAAGCGTATTTTTCGGGCGGGATTATATCACAGTGACAAAGGACAGCTCCACACCTTGGCCACACGTCAAACCCGAAGTCTTCAGTCTCATCACAGAAGCTGTGACAAACGGCCAACCAATCGTAAACACAGTCGAAAGCAAAGGTGGCGACGAGGGTCAATCATCAGGCGAGGAAGCAGCGACCTACGACCCCAAAGACGAGGAAGTTGTAGGCATGATTCAGGAATTACTAGAGACACGCATTCGGCCAGCGATTCAAGAAGATGGCGGAGATATCGAATTCCGAGGTTTCCATGATGGACAAGTGATGCTCAAACTTCGAGGTGCTTGCAGAACTTGCGACAGCAGCACAGTGACATTGAAGAATGGAATTGAAAGCATGTTGATGCATTATATTGAAGAGGTTAAGGGTGTGCAGCAAGTCATGGATCAGGAAGAAGAGATTGCGATGCAGGAGTTTGCAAAGTTTGAGGAGAAGCTCAGACAACAAAAAGGTGAAGTACCACCCACCGGAAGCATTGATACTGTAGGATAAAAGCCAGAAACGCTTATACGCTCCCATTGATGAGCAGAGTTCGCCAAACAGTGCCGCTACCTATCAGTATATGCGCTGCCTTGTGAAAAGGCGGCGACATCGAGCTTGCTGTGCAAGGGCTCTGGTGCCGGCTTTTCTGCCTCCACTTCTCCACTGCTTGGACCGGCTTGTGTGGCGTTCACATAGGACGCAAGTACCTCCGTATCTGTCTCGCGTTGCTCCAATGCCGGGCGGGCAGGAGACTTTGCCGCACTCTCCCGGTTCTGTTGTCCATTGCTACTCACCTGAAGTGAAGCAAATGTCGCAGCAATGTTATCTCGCATAGCCCCAATGCTACCAGGAATGCCTGCTGCTACACCGTTGGTCGCACTGTCCGAATTTTTGTGGCTAAAAGCACTCGGATCTGATGTTTCCTCATGCAAACTGGATGTTTGCTGCTGATTCTCGTTCACGATCGTGAGTGAGACAGGGGTGTTCATATCTGCGTCTGCGCGCTTGAAGAGAGAGCTCCACCACCGTACTGTTACCGTACGAGTTGCGGGCGAGCGTCGCGGGAATAGCAGAGTATGTTCCGCCTTTGGCGAAAAGTTGGGATTGACAAAGTCTCGCCGTCTGGCCAAGAAGTGCGGCCACACGGACGGAAAAAGATGTTCCTGTGCTGCTCGTTCCCGCTCGTTGTTGAAGAGGAACTCCCCGTACTGGCACGCATGGACGTGGTAGAACAGCCTTACAAGGAACCTCTCGTTGAACTCGAAGGCATCCGGGTATTCGTGTTGCAACTGGAAGATGGCGTCGAGGAATTGGTGAAAGATGGGTGCGATCTCATCCTCTTTCACTTTGTGCTCTCTGTCCTTGGCAGTGCTTGTCGTGGCAGGGGCATGCAAGATCGCATTCGCCGGAGGTGAAGGAGGCCGAGATCCCGACTCCTCAAGACTGCTGCGGCTGTCATTCTGTTGTCTGAACAACCCGTTTCTATTCTTTTCGAACCAATTTTTTGCGCCTGAGAATGCCTTCGATCCAAAAGTCGGCTCCAAGCTGCCATTCTCAGCACCATGAGATGGCATCACTCGCTCGTTCTCGATATCGAACCATTTCTCGCATCCCAAGATGCCGTGCCGGTGATTGAACTTGTGGCCAAAAGATAGGAAATCTTTCTGGACCAGGGCGATGAAGCCTGCGAGTGTTCGATAGTAGGGATCAAGCATAACCTGCGCAATTGCAGCGACCTGAGATGTACGATCCCAGCCGTCCGAGCAATGAAGCAAGACATGATCTCCACCAAGTCCAATAGCCCTCGCGACCTTCTCGGAACCTTCTAATAGACCTGCAATATGGCCCAGCCAACCAGATTTCTGAAGCGACTCATGAGAAATCTTCAGATGCGTGACTTCTGCGCCGCCCAAGCTCTCCACAACTTTGGCCAAGGACTTGCGCATAACATGGATGTTTGCTATGTCGAGGAAGACTCGCTCTGGAGGACGTTTAGTGTTGCCACTGTAGTTCGCCACGTCTTCAATGCCACCTCCAGTGGCACGATTGGCCAAAGCATTGAATCTGGGTCGCGCATCCACAATCATCTTCCTTCGAGTAGTACCGTAGATCTTCGGCCCAGACTCTGCCTCGGAGGGATCTAAGTCGGCTGTATCCATGTCTTCGGCAGGTATATCAGGAGCTTGCTCCGAGGACTTTGATGACGGGCCATCAACGTCGTTTTGGTGCAATGCATCTTGGGGTTGGAAGTCTTTCGGGCCTTGCTCTGAAAGCACGTGGCTAGAAAATATTGCCGATACGAGACGCTCGTCTTGGGCATTCCTCTTTCCAGCGAGACCGGGCATAGGCTGTGATGATCGTGTAATGCTACCGCCGTTTGAATGAAGATATGTCAAGGCTGGTATTCTGCTCTTAGACCTGTATGGGCCACCATACTTGAGTATATTGTCGGTAACATTAGCAGGCACGCACAGTACACTAGGATACGTCGGAGAAAAGGTGTAGTCCTGGTTGATGGTTGTGAGGCGCCAGGCACTGCCCGGCCCTTCTGAGGACTTCCCACCTATGCCCATTCGTGCGAATTCACGTCGAGCGTCATATGGGTTGATCTTCGCCGCAAGCTCCTCATGGGGCGCTTTGAAGTGAAACGCATGCAAATCTTGCACACGATCAACGCAGCATCGATCCCTGAGACAGTAAAACACCCTGCGTGCTGCTGCATCAGCAGACGTTTTGCCATCACCATGGAAGATGAAGACCATCTGTCTGAAGTCGCGCGTACTGATTCGAATTTCCGGCGCTCGCCCATTATATGAGCTGTGTATCGTCGTTGCATTGTTGCCTACAGGCGTCAACAGCCTTTGGGGTGATGTGAAAGCAGACAGCGCAGACGTCGAATCTGTGCTCGGCCTGCCGGCTTCATTGGTGCCATAGACCGGCGGAAACGCTGCATCGTCGCGATCAACTCCTTGCTCATGGCGATGTTCATCAGATTCCTGCGGGCGTGTATGATGTGCTTGACTCGGTTTCAAGACACAAGAATTGATTAGTGGATATGGGAACCAGGTTTCTTTCGTTTTGCGTTTCGCAGGTGTGTGAGGGCTTGCGACTGCGGCTGCAGCTGCAGTACTCGAGTCTCCTTCGCCCTTAGGCGTGGCGGAACCAGAACTGCGCTGGCTTGGTGGCTCTGGTGTGGATATGATCAAGTGATGTCGTTGCAAGATCAGTGTACCGTAGACCTTTTCTGTATTGATCTTGCCAGCGAAGCATTCTACATTTCGTTCGCGAATTTCTTTCGTCCGCGGTATTGTCTCCATGCTGCCAGCGCAGGCAGCTCATGCCGTTGGCCGTTTGGGGCCGACGGCGCAACAAAGATTCTGTCGCTCGTGCGATCGCGCGCGCTCATTTGTCGGTCAAAACGCTGCTGCGGAAGTTCAGATGTGGGACTTTATGCCTCATCTCGCGAATAACTAGAAAGGCTAGTGAATGTGTTGCCTCGAGGTCGCATGACGTTTGGTGAATGTGTGGCGTGGGCCGGCCCGGCCGTTGAACCTGAGGCCTTCAGATACAACAAGCTAACCTGGAGGTAATGTGATGCAATGCCAAACGGCGCTCTGCCATTAATATTTACGAGCTATGCTGTTGATACATCGCTACGCGGGGCCTGAACTTCCACGCAGCTTCTAGCTAGTACGCACAATACCCATAACGCGCCGTTCCAATGCTTGCCGCCCTTAACGTGAACGCTAAACGCCAATACTCCTCCTTGCGCATGCCGCTGTGCTCCATCTATGCGAAGCCAAAATACTCACTACCTGCGGTGATGGCAGTGTACAGTTGATGCCGAAGGTGCTCGTAGCTATCGTACTCAGGAAGATCGAGCTCTGCGGAATAGTCAGTATTGGCAACATTTGTTTCTCAGGGGAATTGAACTTACGATTGAAGCATGTGTGACTGGATGGTAGCTTCTCCTTGCTGCTGTAGTCACGATGGATGTTGAAGCGCGAGAAGCCATTCATACCTTCCAGCTCCTTGAAACCGTTGAGTGGAACTTTGCTAGTACCTGTGACGAACTGCAAGAGCTTGGCTTTTTCTTCTTTGTCGAAGCTGCGAACCGCACGCCAGAACCACTGGACTTGTGGAGAAGTGGGTGTGTAGTTCGTGTACTCAGTGTTGTTCTTCCAATCATCAACATCAATGTCAGGAAGACCAGAGATGAGCAACTCCAGCTCCTGTTCATTGAAGATGGAAATGAGCTCAGGAGGAATGATATCGTGAAATCCGGTAAGGAACTCATCGAGCTGCGCCTGTACAGACTTGATCAGGCGATACTCCACAACGTGGCGAACATATTCGTGCTTGTTCTCCTCAGTCACTGGAATTTCGCGGCCATTCTCGATAAGATCGACGGTCTCAGTAGAACCAAACCTATCGATGTCGACGGAGAAGGTCTCGAAGGTGATATCAGTGATGTCGTTCTCCAGAATCCAGACCAGTGACTTGTAGTAGTCCAAGTCGAGAGTCTCCATGTCCTTCAGAGACACAGACTTGCCCAAGATCTTGCGGTACACCGCTCTGCTGAAGTGACAGTCAAGGACTCTGTTCTCGTATAGAGCCTTGCCGATGATTCTCCCAATAAACTTGAAGAACAGCAGATGTTCAGGATTAACGGTGCTGAGTGTGTTGGGGTGGAATGTGGTTCGGTCGGCAGCCACAGGGTTGAAGAGGCAGTAGTCGGGATTAAACATCTGTCGAGCCATGGCGGCAAACCATTCACGCGACACACCGCCGGCATCAATTCCCTCTTCGCCATGGAAACGGATATTGAGTTTGCCGTACTTGATCTCGTTTGGACTCTTGTAGTAGAGCGACTTGAAAGAATCGTGGAAGACTTGGTCGCGGCGCACGTTGAGTTGCAGAGACGGATGCGACACGCGTACTTCAGCTCTGCGGTCGTGAAGCTTGCGACTGAAGTATGCGCGCTTGTTGTCGAACTCAAGTACCTTGGAGTTCTTGGCCAGAATCGCGAGATTTCCGTTCATGAGCTTGGGGTTGTTGCGAATGAGCTCGTTTAGGATCTTGCGATGCTCCTCCGTAAAGCTGAAAAACAGGCTCTCGACACGAGTGTCGGGAGGCGGCGTACTCACATCGACATCAACAGACGACGACGCATTGGCTGCATTCTCCTTTAGTGCGCTATTGCGACACATCACCATCAAGGACTCAATTAGCGGTAGCAGAATGGTTGCGACGTTGACCATGTTGCCGCGTTGGCGGATAGCTGCGAGGCAGGCACTGAGGCTAGCCCAGAGCTTTTCGAAAGTAGGGCTTCGGTACAGCGTGGAAAGGATGTCATCCTTTAACTTCTGCTCACTACCAGCGTCTGATGCGGCTGTAGCTTGTGGGATGCGCTTTGGATCGAACAGATGGTCGAGGGCAACCAGAACGCGGAGAAGCTTCTTCTGCTTCGCACCTGCAGAGGAGAAACTCGCGAGCGCCATGCCTTGAAGGTCGGTGCCATTCTCAGCAGCCCGGATTTGGTTGGCGAGATGTTCCAGATCCGTCAGAAGACCATCACCGAGTTCCTGTGCCTGGCGGATGAGCTCCTTGCCGAAGACTTCCTTGGCGCCAGGGATCGAAGACAGATTCTTGATGATGTCCAACGTGTCACTGAACGTCTTGGTAGGGCATTCACGGGCAGCCAAAATGTTGACCACGAGGCCAATGTTCTCTTCTGGCACCTCGGGCGGTACGAGATCGCGGTGCTTCTTCTTTGCCTCGGTGCTTTCCTTTGGCGGCTCTTCAGATGGTACTGATGTATTTTCGGCTGTTGATGCCTCTTGCATCGGGACATCAGGAGCATTGGTGGTCGAACCTGACTGATCCGCAGGGGCCGTGGTGTCGGTGACTTCTTCTGGTGCAGAGTCTTGAGCTTCCTTCGCACGTTTGAGGAGGATTGTCAGAGGATGTGTCACATGGCTCAGTAGGGAGGCCAATGTCTCCATGACAGCGGTGTTCTCCGTAATCAGCTTGCGGTCGAGTAAGGTGAGCAGAGCATTCAGTGGAAACCTGCCAGCTTTGCTCTCACGATCCTTGCCCTTCTTGGCCGGCGTCACTCGCTGGCTTGTGATCGTCTCATGCTCGTTGAGGAAGAACGAGGGCACACGTGGGTTCTCGTTCGCCAGCGCGTTCAAGGTGCCTAAGCACTGCTGAACAATGTTCAGCGGTGACAAGTCCGTGCTGGGTGTTGTGGCCTGAGGGCCTGTGAGGCTGCGCTTCAGAGGTTGAGGTGTCTTGGGCCCTGCCGGTTGCTTGGCTCTCAGTGATAGATGGGCGAAGCTGCGCTCCACCGCATTCACGTCGGCGGTCCCGTCCTGCAGGATTGAAAGTAGAATGCTGATGACCTCTGCTCGGTTCTGGGTGTTCTTGCAGACATCCGCCAAGATGCCGTGCAGGTTACTCTTGGCCTTGTGGTTGAGAGACACGAACATCAGCCGTAAGAGCGTGGCAATGCCCGCCTTGTCCAACATTTGGGCGACAGGGCGGCGTGGTCGACTTGGTTCTCGTGCTGCAGCATCAGTCCGGCCATTGCTGCCAGGACCATTGAGGATACGTGCAGCACCTTCCATGGCACGACCGAGACGGCCTGTTGCATCACCTCGCGGTCGCCGATCGCCTAGGAGCGCACGAGCTTCGGCCTGAAGATCATCAGGCAGCGCGGCAAGAACTGTCTCATCTGCATCCAGCAGGACTGCTTGGCGCAAGTTGGGATCCAGCATCGCCATAAAGTCCGCATTGTTCATCTCCTCTGGCTGTGCAGGTGCGGCACTGGCCTGTCCTCCTTCTTGAGCCCTGCGCTGACGCTCCTCATCTCTCTCACGACGACGCCGCTCAATTTGCTCTGAGCGCAGAAGCTCCTGCTGAATCTCTCGTGGTAGGGCTTCGAGGAACTCCCGACTGATCTCACTCTGAGGTTCTCCAGATTGAACAGCTTGAGAACGCTGCTCTGCGAACTGAGTCATGATCACTTCCTCTCTCATGTCCTCAGGTAAGGCCTCGATATACTCGCGGTCGATTCCCAGAGTAGTGATGTCAAGCTCACGACCCCGAATGGTGATTGTCACTCGTTCTCCCGGTGCTTCAGGCGCCACAGGGGCGGGTTCGTTAGTCGCCTCATCCCCAGCTTGTTCAACTCCTTCCATGCTGACAGTAGCATCTTCGGTCGAAGCTGCTTGCTCGGCCTGTTGGTGAGCCTGAGCTTCTTGTTCGGCACGCTCTCTCGCCTCACGCTCCTCGCGCTCCTGCTTCTCTTGTGCCTCCTTCTCAGCCTTCTCAGCCTCAGCCTTCTCGCGGGCTTCCTCTTCTGCCTTCTCTGCGGCCGCACGACGCTCAGCTTCTTCCTTTTCGCGAATTCTCCGCGCCTCCATTGCAGCTGGAACCAGCGCTCGCAGCAGCATGTTGATGACGCGCAACGCTTTCTCGTGGAACTTGCCTGGGAACAGCAAGCGAGCCTCTTCTTGCCAGCGATTGGCCGTGGAACAAGCCCGGAATTCGACCGCTTGGGCTTCCTCGTGTCCGCCGCTACCCCGATCGATGGCGCGTCCGCCGGAGAGCATTTCAGCCCACCGCCGGCCGTCAGCGGAGCCACCAAGTTGCTCACGCAAGGAACGCGTTGTATCGATATCGAGCATGGCATGACCACCTCCTCTGGTGTGGACGGTGAAACCAGGTGCGAGGGCACCTATGCCTTGCCAAGCACCGGGGTCCAGGACGAAAGGCTGTCCGCCCACGTTTGGTCCTACGGTAGCAACTAAATCTTGAAGGATGGCCTCGGGACCTACGCGTGGTAGGAACGTGCGGCGTGCGGTTGGACGACCAGAAAGGGGGTCAAAGGCGTCTCGTTCTCGCTGCTGGCCGTTGTCTCGCTGCAACAAAGGATTGATGCCATCCTCGTCACGAGCATGTGGAGTTGATCGATGCGATCTCATGCCCATAGGTCGTAGCGGGTCGTTGATCATGCCAAGCATTTCGTTGAAGCCGCCACGGTGCAAGTGAGTGTGGTGGTGATGGTGGTGCGGTACGCCACGCAGCACAGCTGGTGCAGGTTGAGCATCCCACGCCCAACCGCCATCTGCTTCTTCGTCTTCGTCATCCTCAATCTCTGGCTCGTACACAATGTCCTCACCATAGTCGGGCTCTTCTTCTTCATCGTCATCATCATCTTCCGGTGGCATCTCGTCCTCGAAGAATTCTTCTTCGCCATCGCCCATGTCGATTCTGACGATGTGATCGTGTTCGCCAGATTCGGAAACATCGTCGCCTGCCAGTACGTGCGCGATATGCTCAAGAGGCCCACCATGTGGCGAGCCACCATCGATGGCAATATCATGATGCTCAAATTCGAGACCCTCTTCTTCCCAGTCGCCAGCATCTTGCTCACCAAGGCTAGCGTTTTCATCATCTCCGGTGACTTCTTCCATGTGGCTGTAATCCATTTCATCTCCGTGGTCCATATCGTCATCATCGTCCTCGGAACTCTCCTCAGAATCGTCGGAATCGTCATCATCCTCGTCGTCTTCTTCCATGACATCGAGATCGATCTCCATGTCGCCCGGGCGTCCTTCGATTTCGCCCATGCCGTCGAGACCATCTTCGTCCTCATCACTTACTACGTCGCCGTGTTCGGGCATCTCTTCTTCTTCGTACTCCATTTCTTCGTCGTACTCATCGTATTCCATGCCCTCATCATCGTCGTCGTCTTCGTCATCCGATTCATCGTCATCTTCGCCGAGGGTTGTGTTGCGAAGGAGGTCTGGCGTTTGCTCTCGGCCCTCGTCTTCATCGGAGACGGACGTTGTCGACAAGATGTCGTCTTCCTCGGTACTGCCTCCAGTGACATTGGAAGAGATATCTGAACTCTGGCTCAGAGTAACGCCCAGCTCAGTCAGCTGTTTCAATGGGCCGAGAATGTACTTCACGGCGCGTTTGGCATTCGGGAAATTCAGATCCAATTCCGCAATCGCTGAGGTGAGGGCACTTATGAAACTCTTCTCGTACATGAGGCGACCAATTTGTTGATGAGCAGAGAATGACCCGGCTGCGACGACGTTTGACCGCTGCAAGTCGACTTTTCCATTCAACATGCGGTTGAACAGCTCACCCAACGACAGCAGGCGAGAGTAACGGTGATCGAGAGGTTCGGAGGAGGCAGTCGCCTCTTTGAAGGCACGAAGAGCGTGTTCAAGCACAAACTTCCTCACTTGGGTGAGTTCCGGTTCCTGTTCCGCAAAGTCAACGGAGTCGAATGACGGAACACTGCTCAATTGTCGCTCTTGCGTCTTGGTGCACAATGACACCAGAACGTTGATCGCCCAGTTCGACGTTGCAGCTTTCTTGCGGTGCGCTACATCGTCGCGATGTTCCAGAGTGCCGACAGGCAGTAGACTGTTGAGCAAATAGTTCAAGGTGCCAGAGCGTGGCTTGGACGGAGTTGCCGGCTGTGTGTTGGTCTTATGCTTGAAGTTGATGAACTCAAGCTTGCTAGAATTATAGCAAGCTACGAGCTCCGCCACGCATTGCAGCAAGAAGCAACGATAGAGGTAAGTTGGATGCTCTTCGGGCTTGAATGCTGGCCGCTCATTCTTCGCATCTGCAGGCTTTTGCACTGCCGAAGTGAAGTTTGCAATGGCTGGGGAAACATCCGCCATCTCCACGTCCGCGGTTCGGTCTTCGTCGGCAGAATTTTTCGGAAGGGTGTCCTTTCCAGGAGAAGGATCCGAAACATCTTTCCAGATAAATAACTCGCGCAGTAAGAATTGAACCACCCCATCGGGGACTTCTGCAGTCGGCAATTTTGATTCTGTCGCTTTTTGTCCTTCTGGTACCGATCGAGTTGCCTTGGCCGCCGAAGGTGATGCGGGTGCATTCTGCGAAGCCTCTGATTTCTTCAAGCTGAGATGTTGACCTCGATGGGGGTTTCCATCGTACCTCGCGATCTCGAGCAGCTCTTGCGTGACGTCTACGAAAGCCTGTGGATCACGAATAGCGAGATAATATAGGCTGCGCGTGTAGGACGACGTATCCATTGGACGGGTCGAGCGATGATTGTCGAACGCAACCCGTATTTCTGCCCTCATGATTTGCCGGATCGTCTGGTCGTCCTCGATCATATGACGCAGTATCATAAGGAAGGTTGATTGCAGCTTGTCTTCAAGTGGTGCCGCAAGCTGTCTGATCATGACGAACAATTTGTTAAGCGTCTGCTTAGTGCTCAATCGTGCGGCTAGGTCGCGACGTCGCGTCAGCTCAACGAGAATGCGGCAGATGGACAACGCCAGCGATTTGTTCTTGCCGACTTTGGGCAGCAACCCTTCAAGAGCGTCAAAAAGCTGCGCCCGTGACTCTGCAGACACAACAGGCTCTGGTTCGGTGATCTTTGGTAGAGGCTTCAGAGGATCGTCGGATGGCGGCGGCGTCCACTCAATCTCGATCGGTTGCTCGTCTTCAGCCAGAACACGCTCGATGATAAGGAGGATCATCTCCACCCACGGAGCATCTTCGGCCTTTTGGTCTGTCTCGAGCTGGACCCAGCTGACGAGGCTTCCAAAATATTCTTTCAACTCATCCAGCGTCGAGTCAAAGAAATCGCGATCTTGCAAAATGAGTGCGACGAGATGAGCGTATGCGTGGATCTTTTTGCCAGCCTCCGGACTGCCCTCTTCACCTTGTAAAGAGATCAGTGAAGACACCAGGGTTGTGCCTATCTCTGCTCTTGGGCTTGCGCCTTCACCTGCTTTGGCCACGGCAGCATGGATGAGATCGGCCAATTCAAAGGTAATGCCATCTTGTGTTCCGAGAACATTCAAGCACTGGTCGATGAGGTCTTCACGCACTTTCTCGCGCTCCTCGTTCAAATCATCAATAGTGACAAAAGGCTGCTGTGTGTCCGTGCCTTCGAGTGTCGGTGCGGAGGGTTGTGGTGCTGACGCCAATAACTCTCGTGCTACAGGGCCTGCAATCGCGGCGGCAAGATCTTCGTCTCGAAGCATACCAGCCGGAATTCGTCCAAGAGAACCAAAGTCCTCCTCATTTGCCATGTCATGATCCGACGACTGCGCTAAAGCATCCTCGTCCTGCATGGTTTCATCACTGCCGAGCGCCGGACCAACATTTACCTGGACATCAGACTGCGCTCGTTGTTCGGTTGGGTCGCTCGGCGTGGCTGTTTCCTCTCCTTCTGGAATTGGAAAGCGTGGTACTCGAGGGTCCTTCTGTCGCAATCTACAGTATGCCTCTGCTTGGGGATGGTGCCCGGCACAGCGATACAGGGCCTCGCGACTGAGGCTTGCATCGAACCCTGCATTCGTCAGGTCGCTGAGATGTTCGGTGTTTCGCAGTCGGAATCCAGGCCGACGTGCCAGCACTCGTCGACTAGCTTGGTCACTACGTCTCAGAGCCCGATCTTCGCCCTCAGCTTTGAGTATGAGGCGAAGAATAGTGACTACTGATTCCACATTTCCCTTGCTGAACTTCTCGATATGCTCAGAGCGCCAGATATTGCTGATGGCAGGAAGAATTGCGTGCCGCACTTCAACAACGAATTGTCCAGGCTGGAAATAGTCTGGTTGTGTCGAGTGCTTGACGACGATGTTATTGGACTGGCTCGCGTCGTTAATGCACTTGGACCGTGCTATTTGGCTGTAGAAGCCCAAGATAGCTGTAATGGCGTCCTTCACGGATGTGTCGGGCTTGAAAGCGTCAGGTCGTTGAACGAGCAATCGCACGAACCTATCGAGGTAATCATTCAACTTGTCGAAACCGCCGGCTGCGTAGAATTTTGTCATGACCAATGTCAGAGCCTCTTTGGCGCCAAAAGTTTCCATCGAGTACGAATTGCGTACTAGCATCCGACCGATCATCTTCAGAATGTGGCACACATATTTGAGTTCCATGCCCTCCTCGTGGGCCTCGTTTCGTCTGTAGGCAAGTTCCCAGAGAACAGCCTTCGCGAGATGTTCGGCGACGAATATGGCGTGTTGTCTGACGATGGCGTCTGTGGCCCGCTTTGTCACTATGGCTTGGCCAAGTGAATGAAAGAACGATTCAATGCCCATCGGAACCTGGCTCAGAAGATAGCGTATGGTGCGAGTGTTCTTGAGACTGAGAACAGCAGCAGGAGCCTTGTTCTCATCTGACCCATCTGAGGAACCCCCGTTCAGAGTCAAGCGAGCTGGATCACTGCGGTCGGTTGCGAAATCGACATAGCCCTCATTGTCAACACGGCGCATGTGGAACGCCCGGGGATCAGTCTTAGTGAGCTTGTCATCGGGCATGTCACGCAGCATGAGGAGGCCCTCCCAAAGACAAGATGCATGCAGTCTGCTCAGATCATCCACGAGTTCGATATAAACATCTGTAAAGTTGAGGTTGGCGAAGACATGGTTGTTCTGGCCGTGTCGCAGTGTGTATGGTGGAGGCGCCAAAGTTCGCCCAAGGATGTGGGTCAGCATATGCGTGTTCAGCAATGCTTTCACTATCGCAGTGCCGTTGGTGCCGGCCGAAAGGCTTGAATTGCCGCTTTGTGACAGATCGAGAAAGCTTGAGAAGGAGCTGGATCGGCTGTCAACGTTCATGAATTCCTTAAGGTCGGCCACGGCACGCTGTGTCCTCTTGATCATGCTTGGCAACACCAACGGCGCCTTGGCTTCACACATGGTCTTCAGAACTTGCGTGAGCTTGCTGAAAAGTGGGAATGCAACCAGGTCATGCGGATTGCTTGGACTCATGGCCAGATCGAGCAGGAGTTCGGCGCCCGATTCTTCACAGAACAGATTGCACATGCCACTGTTGTGGAAGAAGCCTTCCAGAAACTTGAAGCAAGCACTGAGATAGCAGATCGCAGGAGCATACTCTCGCTCGTCTGCGGAGGCGTCGTGAGCAGCGACCTCTACGCGCGAGGATGAGTCGCCATCAGCGTCACTCGAACCTGTCTGCGTTGCGGCATCCACCGTGCCCGCTGTCAAAGCTGCGCTGCCGCCTGCGACAACGAGTTTTCCATCGGCGGCTTCCCAAAGCTTGGCGCCGGCCTGTTTGCCACGAGATAGAATGGCAGTCAGCTCCTTGAGTCGCTTCAGCATGTTGAACACGGCCGCCATGATCTGACTCTTCAATCGTGGCTGATGACGCGCCAATTCGTCGAAAGCATGTCCGATGGTTGCTGCAGTCTGTCCTTCATCTTCCATTGCACGGACGTGCATTGGCGATAGGAAAATGTCGAAGTACTTCACCAGAACACCAGACGCTTGGAAGAGTTGCATGCCGTTCTCGTTGAGGCAGATTGCCCCAAATGCGGTAGGAACATCACACAAGACCTCGCCCACTGGCAGAATGCCTGTGACAGATGGGTAGATCGGCTGGCCGTCATCGTTCGCCACGATTGATGGCGTCTCGCTTGCGCTCACGATCTCGCCAGGAGGAGGCAGCTCGTCGGGAATCTTTTGCTGGGTTATGGATTCTAGAAGACTTCTGCTGAGTCCAGCCTCGCCAATTACTTGGTAACTCGTCGGCTCGTTGTGGATGAAGCTGCTGATGATGTTCACTGCACCACTCCATACGTTGGCGCCGAAAATTGATGAATTTTCAATCACACTGCGCAAAGCGCCTAGAACTTGTGGGGTGTCGATCAAATTCCTCAGCAGGCGGTCATGACCACCCGTGTTATGCTCAAACATGTGCACAGTATTCTTGAACAACTGGCGCAGTGTGGACTGCTGGTAGAAGGGAATTTCGTAATCCACAACTCTGGACTTGTATTCCTTTGGCAAGCCATTGCCGTTCCTGGATTTCTCAAGTGCTGTGTTGACCTCGGACGCTGTCAGATCGGCAATGATGTCTAGTCCACGAACATCCGCAAGTGTTTGGAACGCGGTGCTGATGCCGTGTACGAAGCTGTCAAAGAATTGCAAGGTACGCTCGTAGAATCGCTCGGCGCGAGAAGTCCGCAGCTGCAAAGCCTCTACGAGGATGCCCATGACACCAGCGGCCACCATCTTCTCTCCGTAGCGAGCTTGAGCATTACACTGCAACAGGCTGTTGATGAGATCGAAGACGGCATCTCGCCATTGGCTCTCTTCGAGTTCCACGGCTTTGTTGGCATTTGGAGCAACTGACAGTGTACTGATGAGCTTTCGAAGCTCGTAGTACAGCACACCATGGTTGACCGAGATTGCAAGAGCATCGCCCACCTCAGAGACTTTATTGCGACTCTTGCTCAGGGCCTCCAAAGTCATGAGAACTGTGGTCTCCGTTTGCAAAGTCAAGGGCGTCTGACCGTCTGCAGCTGGCTGGAGAAGATCGGATAGCTGCTGCGCAAGATGATAGCGTCTCGGCTCTTCGGCATCTGGGATGCCAATTCTCTCCTGTAGCTTGCTCTCACTCAGTGCATAGACCAGATTGGCAATAGCTAGAAGGCGGACTTCAAGGATTTCCTGCGCATTCACCTCAGGCGACGCGAATGCCTTCGCGATACGAATGCGGTTGAGTACTTCATACTGCATGTCAACTGGCACCTTGTCGAGAGATTCCTTCACAAGATCCCACGCTGGTGTTTGAGCCACTTTCGTCGATGATATGGTAAATAGCTTTGGGGCTGTCGGCGAGGAGTTGTCTTGCTCTCGCTGCTTCCCAGAAAGCGCAGGTGAATCTTCGGCCGAGGCACTCCTATCACCCGTTGATGGACGATCGCGCGAGGGCCCCAGGTTTGAAGCCCTCCGCGCCGGAGTAGGTGTAGATGGTGTGTTTTGGCTGAGATGTGATGAGGGCGTCTGAGATGGCTCGGCGGACGTCTGCTCGTAGTAGCTCAACGATACAGTAGACACAGCGCTTCGAACGGGAGCCGGCATCGGGCCTTTGGCAATGGCTACCAAGTCCGTGGGGATGAAGGTGGGTAATGTGGCCGGCTTCTCCTTCGCCTTCCCCGAAGACTGCAACGAGCTATTGTTCTGACTCTGAGGCTTGGGAAAGGGCATTGCAATCTTGTGCAAATTGTCCAAGTTGATGTTGTAGTGGTTTGCAAGTAGGACAGCCTGGTGTGCTGGGTTGTGATTCTTGTACCGCGCGACTTGATAGCGCTGGGCAAGCCGCAGGCCCAGCTTCAGACATTGCTGCAGCAAGCTCAAAGACGTGGTGTGAAGCAGATCATTGATATGGGTGCTGCTGGCGTACAGACTTCGGTTGCCACAGTGTTCCAGCAGCAAACGAGTAAAGCGAAGTATCGATTCCACCAGCTCTCGATCTCCTTCCGCCGAATAGCCAGCAGCGTCCAACTCTTGTGTCTGACCGCCAACGGCAGGATATGGTGTGTCTTCTGCCGCATCTCCCTTTTGCAACACTCTTCTCTCGAATTGCTGGGTTTGAGGTCCCTCGCTCAGACCGTATTCCTTGTTGAACAACTCCAGAACATGGTCGAAGCGGTCCAACAACGCAATCCAGTGGTACAGGTCGCCTCGAGGTAGCGGCCAGTGTTGTGGAAACTCATCGAGCTTTGCTGGCAGTTGATAAAGAGGGATCTCTATCGACTGCTTCACGAAATCTTTCACGAAAGGTGAAAGTGTCGAGGTATGCCGCTCAGTAGCGACCTTCTTGATCTTTCCCATAGCGCCAGGCGCCGCGGAGAACGCGGTCCTGCAATGCGCAGTTTCGCCGCGCCGGCGTCTGGCAGCGCTCGGCGGAGGTTATCTTCTCCTTACCGGTCAAGGGAGCAGTGGTGCAGAGGTGGAGTGGTGACCATGAACGCGAGAAGATGTGTTCGATGGAGGAGCTGCGGGGGCGTCGATGGCGATGATTTTTCGAGGCGGGACGCGGGAATAGGTGCGGAGCAACGAGGATGATGCAGCGCTGGCAACGTCACGCACGCGAGAGTGCAACGTCGATGCCGGTCGGTTGGAGCGTGTAGAAGCAGGCGCGAGCGAGCGGCGGTGGTGTCGATGCCCAGGCGAGCGTTCTCGGGCGTTGTCGAAGTTGCGTCGTGCAGTGTTGGTGGTGAATGTGTCGAAGCGTCGACGTCGTTTGGCTGGCAACTTTCTCGCTCAACGCACACGTGGAGCAGGACGAGCCAGTGGTGGAGGGTGTTGCACAATAATGTACGCTGTGTTGCTCGCGCAGATGATGTAGGTTGCTGGCTAGTTAGGCTAGGTTAGTCGGAGCAGAATAATGAGGTACGTCCAGAGCTCTCACAAAGCCAAAGCCCACATGCAATCCGAGCGCGTCCGGTAGCGTGCTGCACGATCGCCATTCACACACTTGACACCAACGGCTTCGAGCAAACCCGCAATCCACGAAACCTCACCTGTCGCGAACCCTCCCTCACCTCACCCTCAGTCGCTCTTTTCTAGCTACTTCTCGCGCTTTCCTCTCCTCTCCACTCGCATCCCCTCACATCACCGCCCAGCACAGCCACCGCCCTCCATTCCTTCACGATTCGCAAAGATGAAGGTCAATATCAAGTCCTACACCGCCGTGGCCTCGTGGAAGTGGGACCTGCCGCCAGGCTCCGACAAGGACTGCGGCATCTGTCGGGTCGACTTCGAAGGTACCTGCTCCAAGTGCAAGTATCCAGGCGACGAGTGCCCCATCAGTAAGTCCTTCAACTCGAGGGCGCATTGATCAACGACTGACACCTTAACTAGTGATCGGCGAGTGCAAGCATTGCTTCCACATGCACTGCATCGCCGTCTGGCTCCAGTCCGAGTCCTCTCAGGGCCGTTGCCCAATGTGCCGCCAGCCTTTCCGCGAGAAGGTCGCTGAGGTCAAGGGCGCCGGTCCGCAGACTCCAGCTGGTCGCCAGCCGCCACGCAGTGGTGGCACCGGCGCTTCGAACCGTTCTGGTTGACGAGCGCATCTCGTCTTAAGACCAGATTGACTCGACCGACACCCACCAACACCAACACTACTCGAGTGATCGACATCTCTCGGTGCACTTGGAGCTCTCCCTTTTCTTTTGTACAGGCACTTGGCAGGTGGGTCACGGCAATGTCCTTCTTCATTCGATCCACAAAATGAGACTGACACTCGCTAGAGACATGCACGAAAACATTAACGAACAACTGATGAACGACGATTGTACGGAAGGCACTGTTTGAGATACCCCCAGGAAGCGCAGCATCGAGCATGACTGACGCCCTATTGCGACTTGTGCTTTTTTGTCTTGGAACAACCCCTACCCAGCTCAGAGGATTGCGGATTGCTTTGTTCAACGGTTTGAGAAAGAATTTGTCTGGAAACTACTGCAAAAGACGCCAGGTGCGTTTAACATGTAGGACTTGCAGATGACTGGATCATCCTAGTGTATGGAAGAATAACAAACTCCTGGCTTGCGCTGAATATTTCCTCCACCAAACACCCTATCTCAGTCCCAGGGCGTAATAACCCTCGTCTCAAATTTCCCACTCGGAACAGGTTGCTGCATCATCATCATCGACGGCGGTGGCTGCTGCTGCTGTTGACATCCACTGACCACACTCTCCCACGTCTCACCCCTCGTCCTCGTCCTTCCCCTCCTCTCCTCCGGCGGCACATACTGATATCGAGAGCCAGCACTCGACCTCCTCCCACTCGACGAAACCTGCGAAATAGAATCCTCCGGAGCAACTTCACTTCGTCGCGCTGACGGCATAGTAGGATACTGAACAAGCGCCCAATCTTGCTGTTGCCGCTTCGAAGACCGCTTCGCAGACGTACTTGTATCAGAAGAAGGAGAATTATTCTTCGAATGCATGGGTTGTGGAATCGGAGGCAAAGGCAGAGGAAGCGGATAAGTGTTCGCTCTGCTTGCCACTTTGCGACGTTGTTGTTGTTGTTGAGTGGAAGGCTTCAACGTCCTCGAGGAAGCCGACGAAGACGCAATTGATACTGCGCTGTCACGCCTTGATTTTCCTGTGTATGAGGATTTTGGCTTCATGGACAACTCTTCGATCCTGTCTTCGTTGATGTCTCCGAGAAGTTCGATCCTCGGTCCTGTTCTATCGGGGAGGTATCGAGGGACTGCTTTGACGCTCTCGTGGAAAGAAGACAAAGAGTCGTTCATACTGCCGTACGGGAGTGGGAGTTGCATCTGGCGGCCGAGTTCTCGGCTGGCCAGTTCTGAGAAGTAAGCATCGTAAGGAATTGTCGCTGGACTTGGTGAGGGTTGGTAGGACGTGTACGAGTAGGTATAACTGTAATGGGAATTGTCCGCGAATGTCCCTGAGTGGGAGAAAGATGTAGTTGTCGATGCGGCGAACATCTTCCCTGTCGGTGATGGAAGACGAAGAGCAGCTTATTACTGATGCGGTCGTCGTGAAGAGGAGCTACTAGACAAAAGAGTCCTCTGAATACTCGTGGTTGAAGTAGAGGAAGTAAAACCAACAGCTCGCAACAACAAGAAGTAGCTCCCTATTTTCACAACCAAGATTCACGACGTATATATCCAACGCCCAACCCCTCCGCACCACATGCATAAAGGCAAACAATCAAACGAAACCAGAAGCCGGGCCTTCCTATCGCTTACCAGCCCACAGCCCAGCCCGTGGCACATCCCGCCTCTGCAAGCCCCATCTAGGCGATCACATAAGTACAACAATGCACGAAACGAGGCTATCTCGTTTAGCCACTTTTTGCAGTCCCACCACATGTATGTATGCTACAAGCAACGTCACGGCACGGCACGGCAAAAAAGCATCCTCAAGGCAAAGAAGATCCATACAAAACGAACAACGTGTTCGGCGGCTCTGGCACACGCGGTTGTCAGAAAATCGCTCGCTTGCCCTGCATTTCACGATTCGCGAAGTCCTAAAGCGCCAGCAGCGCCATGTCAAAATCTCGCAGAGGCTAAGCCACGCAGAGAGCAAAGCAAGTGGGAGTCCAGAGATGCTGCTGTCCCGAGAGACTGGACCGCCGTTCGTATGGAAAGCATCACATGATCTTGAATGATAGTCTTAGCCTCAGGGGGCTTAGATCCGAGAGCCTCTTGTGCCTCCAAGGCAAACTGACGCTGTTCGCATACAGCCTTGCCACGCAAGCTCCAGTGTACATTAGCGAAGCTGCATGCCGAGAGGTGACACCTCGGACGATAGGAAGCCTTGTCATTGTTGGAGAAAGCCCAACTGTCGTGAAGTGTTCCCATTAGTTAGTTCTGTACTGCACATAAAGTAAGCTCGTTGCGTTGGTGGTCGCTCTGCCTTGCTGTGATCACCATCATGCTGCGAATGCATATGCAGCCTTGATGCATACGCCCGGAAATGCCAAGTCATGCATGCATCCTGCCGGCGATGAGCTATGCCGACACAGCCCCGTTCGAGCCTATGCATGCTCTGCGCGTCCTGGTGGAAACCGTCCCGCTGTTCATTGTGGTGCGGCCTCAAATCTCGATCAAAAGGCAGGGAGTCCTTGTTGTTATTGCACGAAGTGACGACCTCCCATTCTTTGAAAGCTCTACAGCTCGGAATGGGCTGCGGCTGTCGTCGCACTCTCGTATTTGCTTGCGATGCTTTCGACGGCATCCTTGCCTTTTGGTGGGAAGAAATTTCCGTCCTTGAGTGACTTGAATGCGAGATCGAATCGCGCACCAAAGAACCACGCCGCAGCGATCTACGAGTCAGTTTGTTAGCTGTGTCCGGTACCAACGAGAGAGATCAACTTACCATGCAGATCGAGACCACTCCTAATGTAGCAACGATGGCCAAGATCATGAAGAAGACGTCCTTCTTCGCCTCTGCCTCTTCCTCCTTTCTCCTCGCCTCCTCCGCTGAGTCGACCACTGTGCTGCCGGCTGGCAGAGTCCTGGGCGTCTGCGTCGGGAAAATCGTCTCAATGAACTTCTCGATCTTCCCGCATGCGACGCTGATCTCCAAGAAGTTCGGATCGCTAGGGTTATTCTTCCTGTGGATTTTCCTCGCAAATCGTCGGAAGACCTCGCAAACCAGTTGCAGATTCTGTGTGCTTTGCATCATCAACTCACACGCCGAGCCCTTCGTGATCTTGACGTTCCTCTCGAAAATGTCTGGGTTCTGGAAGCACAGCTCCAGCGTCGCAATGGCCATCGTCTGGGGAATCGCAACGAAGTTGAACACACTCTGCTCCTTCACTCCAGCCATGTAGAACAAGCACTCATCCGCCCTCTTCAGCGCCAACAACACCATCTCACTACTACAGGCCAAGGCCTTCTCCCGATTCTGCGGCTCGAACAGATCCGAGAACTTCTCCACATGTTTCGACCAAACCTCCTTGGGCCAGAAATATCTCTTATCCTCATGATCCTCTCGAATATCACGAATAATGTTCGTCTGCTGCAAAAATTGTCCCATACTCTCCATCAACTCAGGTCGCTGTAACAGCACCGGGTTCGCGAGTTTCGCTTCCACGAACAATCTCGTCAAACCCTCTCCCACCAGTCCCGCAACGTAATGGCAGTACAGCTCATAGTCCTTGATTGTCTTGACTCCGTTCGCATTGTGATCCGCATTTTTCGCATAGTCCGCCATGCCATTTCCCATCTTCTTGGTGATGTCCCTGATGATGGCCTTGTACTCTGCCTTCTGCTTGTTGAACTCCTTAGCCACAACATCGAACTTGACCAAAAGCTCTCGATCCTTCTCATTCGGCCCATTGCCATCAAACGTCCAGGCTTCGTCCTCAATGAACTCATCAAACTTTCTGAGCAGAGGTTCTTTGCGCTCGATAGGAATCGTCATATCGTCTTCGATGGTATCGAGACCGCGGAGGATGAGGTAGAAAAGGCAGACGGGAACGAGGAGTTCGGGATGCAGCTCTTGGATCACAGCGGCGAAGGAGCGGGAGGTGAGGTTGAGGAAACGGAAGCACTCTTTGAGGTTGGCGGACTCTTTGGACTCATCACGTTCGTGGACGGGATTGTGCCAGGTCTTCCATTGGATGATGGCACGGAGTTCTTGGAGGTGAAAGAGGTAGTACGCGACGGTTTTGGCGGAAGGCATGTTGGGCGATTGTATTGTGTGTCGTGTTGGTCGAGAAGAAGTTGGTCGGAAGTGGTTTGAGGTTTTTCGCTATTGCTAAACGGGACAAGGTAGGAGCGCAGCTGGATCGTCAAGTCCGTGTCGTTCTGGCCACAGGGTGTGCGGAGTTCCTGCTGCGCTACACCACCTCACTTTTCTAAGCAAGTGACAAACGTACGAGATAGTAGTGGTCGAGAGCTGCTTCAGGCGAAGGATGCGACTAATTGGACAAACACCAATGGTTCTGTCGTCGGTGTGGGCATGGGGTGGACCCTGGATGAGGAGAAGAAATGGCCTGACTTTTTGCCATGGGGGCCCTAATCTTATTCCACTTCGGCTCCGCAAACATCATTGCCTGTGCTTTCACTTGCCATGATTCACTTTGTGGACTACTGAAAGAGAGCAGCACGTTGTACGATCCATCGTTTTGCGACATTCTTGGTATGCGGTGGCACGATAAATTGATAAATAATAGTGAGGGAGGCGATGATCGTACCATCTCTGCTGCAATTCCTACGGCAGCTAATGTCCAGTGCCGCGAGACACTTCTCCGCTGATAACATTAAATACTACGCTGCCATTCTGTACAACAGCACATCTTCACTGTACAGCTGATCACATACTTAATCGCTCCCACGGCTCCTTAGTCGCCTCCCAATTGGGCCAACGCTGGCGCTCAGGTTGAAATTCTCTTTCTCCTTCTCCGCAACCCCTAACGCCCCTCCAGCCACTGTCATCCGCGCACTACGCTTGGTCGGCAACTTGCTATCGGTCTGTTGATGCACAATACTGTCAGTCTTGTGTCTCTTCAGTCTTGGCTCGGGGACCTTGCAAGCATCCCCAACGATGTTTTCCTCCTCATCAGCACCCTCTTCGCTAATGGTGAAAGTTGCTGTTGCTGATCCTGTGTTTGCCAGTGCATTAGCATCTAGCTCTCGAAGACTTGCCACACTACTTAGCGAACTTGCAGTCTGAGGTCGAGAAGTAGATGCCGAGGCAGGAGCTGTAAGGACCGGCGGAGTATCGGTGAAGACGTTGGTCATCTTTGTTGGGCTGGCTTGGGGCTTGCTTGGACTGCTCTTCGAAGGACTGTTCCTCATCTTCGATGGCGAAAAGCGCTTGTTAGGCGACTTCGGGGGCGAAGCGAGAGGATCTCGAGGCACTATGCCGCGCATTCGGTTGAGCAGAGTTTCGTGGCTCTCTGTGCGAGGGAGAGTAGTTGGGTACATGTACTGCATCCGAGCAGGAGTCTCGCCAGTGATTGAGTACTCTGCCAGCTGAGCAGAGCTGTTCTCCTCGCGAAGACTGCGCAGCGCTTGTCGCACTTCTCCCTCTTCAGCCAGGGCAGGAAGTGTCTGAACGAGAACTTCAGCGCGATCCTGCATATCGATATCGAGTGCTTGAGTTCGATTGTAGGAGGTCTCGAAGTGCTCGCCGATGTTGCGATAGCTTTCTTGGACGTTGCTTGCAAGCTGTCCCAGGCTGGCTGTGTGGGCATCGTGGTGCTCCTCATTCTGAGCACGAACTCTTGACACAATTTCGTCCAAAGCAACAAGCTGATTGTCCATTTGAGCCATTTGTCCATTCACGATCCGAACAGTCTCGCCATGGACTGCTTTCGTGGTCTCGGTGATCTTGATCGTATTCTCGTTGGCATTGGTCCAATCCGTCTTGAGCTTGGTCTTAATTGTCTCTCGGGCTTGGACAGATGAATCGATCAGCTCCTGGCCACTCCTGCTCCAAGAATCCATGCCATTGCCATAAGTCTGCTGCACGACGGCATACTCGTCGGCGGATGTCTTGATGCGCTTGTTAGCACTCTCAAGGTACCCAGCCATTCGCGACTCTTGTGCTGCGGCAGAGTTGTTGATCAGCGATCCAATTTGCGTCAGCAAAGTCTCGCGCTCTTTAGCCGCAACCTCGCGCTCTTTTTCTACAGCTTGCCTGAGATGATCTTGCGACGAATGACTGGCCTCGACAAAACTTGCATTCGCCTCTAGTATTTCTTGACGTAAACGTTGAGCTTCTGCCTGCTGTTCGTTCATGCGACGGATGAGGTCGTCAAACAACGTCTTGAAGTCTCGTCCAAGTGTCACATAAGAGTCTTGCAATTGGCCATGGAAGGCGTCGAGTTCGGTAGCGATGCCTTCACTAATGCGTTGTGCAGCAGAGGACATGTCGTTCAGCCCGGCACCGACCTTGTCTTTCACGTCCTCACGAAGTGTGCCAATTTCGTGCAACACTTCGTTCATGTCATCTCGCGACTTGCTTGTCTGGGCGTCCACTTCTGCTTGTGACGCCTCAAAAGCAGCCGCCTTCTGTTGCAAGAACTCCTTTGACGATTTCAGCTCTTGCATTTCGTCAGATACGAACGACTGCATGCGGCCAGATAATGCAGCGATCAGACACTCTTGCTGCGCACGAACTACCTCGATGCGCTCTTCGACGCCCATCGTTGCAGTCGATACCTGGCCTTGAGAGTCTGCCCATCGGGTTCGATTCACATCCTGGAGATCAGACCGTCTTCGAAGTTTCGAGTGCAGCTTATCGACATGGGTCGTGGTCGTTTCCAGTGTTCCCAAAAGATCTCCCCCAACCTCAGCCAGTCTCTCCTCGGTCTCTTCATGGGCTTTTCGGAGCATCTCTTCTTCAGCCAGAACGGTCTTTGTGTGCTCCAGTACAAGCTCAGTCTTAGCGAGCACGCCCTTCGTGCTGTCCAGGATCGTCTTGGTCTCCTCATTGCTCTTCTTCAAGGTTTGGAAGTTACTGGTAAGTAGAAATAGCTCGTTAACTTTATTGCGCAGATTTACTTCCATAGTCTCGATTTTGTCGCGTTGCTCTTCGCTCAAAATTCTCCGCGACTCTGACTCGGCTGTAATGTCTTCGTACGCTTCGGCGGTGAGGTAGACACCGTTTCGCTGTCTTGTGGCTATGAGCTCCGACTTGAGCTTCTCGATCTCAGAAGTCCACTCCCTAAGCAGCGTCTTCTTTGACATCATTTGGTTGACTTGTGGTTTGTTGCGAATATTCTTTGCGCGGAAAGCATAGTCCAGAGTACTGATCGTCTCCTCAAGATTGCTCTTTGCTGGGGACAAGGTCGCAATGATGCAGGTCTTGGTCTTGCCACCGAGAGAGTCTTGTAGTAGACGCGTGAGCTTCGACTCTCGATATGGAATATGGCTGCTCTTGTCGACCAGCGCGTTGATGACACGCCCCAATGTGAGCAGAGATTTGTTGATCAAGCCAGCCTCGGCTGCACGTTTGTTTTCTGCACCAGAACGCTGAATGTTTTCGGATCCAGCCAAGTCCACCAGATTCAGCTTTCCAGAGCACACGAAGTCTTCTCCAGTATCGGACGTGCGCTTCTGGTATACTGTAATTGTAAAGACGGTGTGAGAACGCGACGACAGATCGTTGCACTTTGTTGCTGCGACTTGTCTCTTGTGGCTACCATCTCGCAGCAATTTAATGCCTTTCGAGGCAGTCTTGATGTGTGTCTCCTCCATGCCCTGTACCATGGTTGTAGTCCTCCCATTCTTGTTGGCTTCATCGAATATCTTCAGCTTTGTGTGATCGTCGGCTGCAAGCAGATCGCGCAATTCCTCATTATATAGTTCAATGAATGAGCATTTCACGCTATGCTCAATCTTCTCCGATTCGTCGCCCAGTTTCGCGAACAATGTATGCAGTACTCGTGGGATGATACCGGCTGCTTCAGGTATGGGAAGGGTGTCGCTGATGTCGCCCGACATGGTATATGTTTTGCCCGTGCCTGTCTGTCCATATGCGAAAATTGTGCAGTTGAAGCCATTGAGCACTTCGTCCAGAATGGGAGCCACCACTTCCTCAAACACCATGCCCTGGTCAGAGGCGGGCGAAAACACCTTGTCAAACTGATATGCCTTATTGCTCAACGCGCTTGGTCCCATCGACAATTCCACCTTCTTGCCCTTGATGCCATCGGTTGATACCACGACGCCGCTGTTCTCCTTGACTTCCCTGTCATTCCTCCCTCGACACCGTACCACCACATTGATGTTCGTCTCTTCTCCAGACTCGGGTTCCGGTCCAGCAGGCGCTTTCCGTTTGGGAGTCCTATTCCGCGACGACGCGATACTCTCTGCTGGCGATATCCGGCCGTTCATGATGGGTGTCGCTGTCGCAGCTCGGTTTACGCCCGGGCGACCGAGTCCTGGGCGCATGGTGGGCACTTTGCGCGTCTGGCTCGCCCCTCTGCCAGAGCCAAAAGATGCCATTGCTGGCGCTGCTGTGTGTGTTGATATGGCGACTGATAACGGGCTTGGGTGTGACAGGCGCATATGCAGCCCATCCTGGTTTGTTTATTTACTTCGAGGAAGCTCCGACCGACCGGCTGTCCCTGCGTCGGCACTTCGTTAAGCCGCGCTGCGTCATCGGCCTCACCATGCTGCACGAGCTCGTCCAGGCACCTCCACCAGCGCGTCCTTTCTCTCAACAATACTGTCCACAGACTGCTGGAGTCCTGGACACTGAAGCAGAAGCATCAGTGAGCTGAATTGAAAGTGCCGCTCCATCCTGCAACTCCCCCACCACGCCGATCGACGCTGCCCGCCATGGCTTCCACATGACCTGGGTCCCGCCGCAGGCATGTGGTCGCAACAGCATGACCGCCTTTCACTGCTCCGACGACCCTTTACCCTTCAGCCAGCATAGACCTCACTTCTCACCGTAGACGTCTGCAAGGATGGCGGGCGACACTATCTCCGTTGTGCCTGGCCATAGCCTGGGCTTCATGGCTCTCGGCTCCTCTCTCCACGAGGTCCTCACCACGCTCAAAGACGACATCACGCGCTACCCCAAGATCGACCTGTCTTTCTCTCAGTTGGCACCCCTCCTTACCCCAACTGTGGTGTCTCTGCCTGAGAATGGCCTCCGTCTTCGGTTTGACGGCTGCGACCAGCGTTTACGCTTGATCGAGGTCATGGATTTTGACAAAGCAAGAGTGGCGTACAAGGGCAGTGAACTGGTCAAAGAAGGCTCGACGGCTACCTTTAAGCGTATCTACCAGCTCTTCGGCGCTTCGTATCCGGGTGAATATCTGCCACCCAGGACCGGCAAAGCTGGGACATATACTCTCTCGTGGCCAGGTGTTGCCTTTACATTTCCGCTGCAGCACTCCGCATGGGCGCCAGATAAGGACCATGTATCTCTACTTGGCTCGCATGCTGCCTCATCTGCAACGTTCATGGCCGTGTTCGAGGGCAACAGCTGGCCTGAAGCACGGGAGACGCTGTTTGTGAAGCCGCCTGAGGGGCCACGAACAAGTGCCATCGTCTCTCAACCACGCGACATGCTGCCTGCTGAGGTTGAAGCTGCTGTCATTAGTGGTGCTGGAAAGATCGAGCTGCTAAGACGTGCTCCGGCGTCTTCTTTCGACATCACGTTGGGCCGCACAACACCGCAAGACCTTCTCACTGAACTTGGTCCACCAGACGGTTATCATAAGCGGGATATGCAACCGGCGATCGAACCATCTGCACACCCGAGGCCACGCAGTACATCGCGAACGAATGGGAGAGCGCATCCAACTCCTCCATCCAGCTATTCCTCGACTGGCACTGACACGTACGACACAGACTTCGATTCAGGCGATACCGAGGACGATGCAGCAGAGCGAGCTGGGAGAGAGACCTTTTGGAGCTACTTCAGACACGGTGTGGACATTCTGGTGGGACCTTACAATGACCAAGTCTCGTTCCCGGAAGAGCTGTCCCACTTGCCACGAACACCACTGTCGTCAAGTCCACACCTGGTAGTTCTGAAGGTGGTCATGCACGGCAACATTCCCGGCTCATATGCCTTCAACCGGCATCGAAGATTACGGTGGCAATTATCACTCCGAGGAGCCAGCAGCGTTCTCACATCCGAGCACACATTCGAAGAAATTCAGCCGGATCTCATGCAAGCATTTCGAGGTGTCTGGCCCGAATCGGAAATGGGAAGAGGCAAAGTCATCAACCGAACATGGGGCGGTTCACCGAGCGACAGTAGCTTCTTCTTGCCCGATACCGATACGGATTTGGTGGAAGGTACTGGAAGTGAGAGCTTCATTGATAACAGCAAGCTGCATAACTTTCCCGGCCTGACCTTCGAGGTATTGAGCAATGGCGCTATCAGTGCCCTGACCGTATCTTGATGGGTTGACAGGTCGGCAGCAGGTCTTTCGATCTGGACCTGCTTTAGAGGAGAGTATGTATGTGCAAAGTGGTCTGCGTACATCTTGTACGTCTCATAGCGGACGCATAGCTATGCTACTATGCACCAATCCGAACGCATCTTCTCTGCATTGCCAGATTTGACGTGAGAGTTTCTATTAGAAGTTCCATTAAATTAAGCTTATGTTTCTGTGAAATCGGCGGAGCCTCGCAGCAGATTGAGCCGCTGAGCTGTTACCTGGGCACGTTTAGCAGTCACTTGGCTACTTTCTGATCAAGTCACGCTCGTAGCAGACTTCCTGGTGATCCCTCGAACGGATTCTGCCAAGTCTTGCGTGGCGTGCTGTTTTTCGGCCGCGTGACTCCCATATTATGTGTCTTCCATCCAATTCTGATCGTTTCTCGCCCTTCACCGTCGCGATCGGAACGAAAACCGTTGCAGGCGTGCCACCCATGGGCTAAACCTCGCTCATCCTGTCAAACCAGGCAAGCTGAAATTTCCCATTAAGCCATCTTACTCCCCGCATCTTTCAATGCGTATCGAATCTTCGCAATCTCCTCATATCCCGAAAACATCCCATGCGGCCCTCCAGCTCCTTTGAGAATATACGGTAATGTCTCCACATACAACTCATGACTCGCCGCATAAGGATTACAAGCCTTACATTCCAACGTCACCTCATATTTCGTGGCCAAAGTCTTCCCTTGGAATTCCGCTTTCGGCATCAACGTGTCGCAAAATTGTACCCATGGCCACAACTTCTTCCAGTCGTCTCGATGTAGCTGTTTCGTTACTCTGACCTGGATATCAAATTTTGTGGTTGGAGTTACGAGGCAGCGTTCGAGGACTTGAATTGATTCGGCAAAATTGAAGTTTTGGAGTTGCCAAATAATCTTGTCGGGAGTGAAACGCTTTGTTGACGCGTTACTGTTTGACGATAATGAGAAAGTCCCGAGAAAGATCGGGCCAAATTCTTCCCGGATTTGTCTGTTGACTTGTGCTAGAGGGTGGTCGACAATTTTGCCGTTTCGGATGACTAGTTGTTCGGTGTCTGAGGCGATGGTGTCGTAAATCATGTTGCGCAATTCGCCCGGCAGATTCAGGAAGGGCGAAAGTGCCGACATTCGTGGTGTACAAATATCTTGATCTGCCATTTCTCTCCGCGATTTAATTTCTGTCGAAATATGGTGACTTGTCGCACTTTATGTAGGGTTGGTGTTCCTTTCTTGGGTAAGTTCTAGGAAGGCAGTGGGAAGAAATGCCGTGCACGCCGGCCGCCAGCTGAGGTGTATACGGTGCCCTGGCAGAGCGCACAGAGCACGATTACGACTTTGCCATACAAGATGCAGTACGTCACGTTAGCATTCTGCGCTTACTTCGTCATGGGCAGCGAAGCCGATTAGTAGAATCGAGCCAGACGGGTAGTTTATCTGGTGGCTGCGGGAGCCTCGGAGATAGGACTTGTTGACAGAGTCACGATTGGTGCTGAAAATCAAGGCGAAGATACGCCCGTAGAGAAGGGATGAGACATTTCGCAGAGTCACTGCGTCTGAGACCAGCTTGAGGATGGTCTGTGTGTCGTTTCCCCACGCAAGCTCATCCTAATGGCTCACGCTCCAGTAGGCGCAAGTAGTTCTCATGCCGTTGGTCAAATGCCATTGATGAACATCAAAGAAGCAATATGCTTTACTTTGTAGACGTGCATGACGATCGTTGTTGAGAAAGGCAAGATCGAGGAAAAGCTACGGACCGAGCCTTGGCTCATATCCCGAACGAAGCACGTCAGACGGCCAATGCGATCTCGGCGACAGCTCCAAAGCTGTTGGAAAGATGACTCTCGTTGCTGTTGTTGACAATGCAGCAGGCACTTTCGAAATTCTCGCGCTCTACTCCTGCTCGCCGCCTGACTGAGAGTCTCACCAGATCGCAATCCCGACCCCAACTCCTACCCCACTCTCGCACATTCGCAGCAACAGCCATGGTCAAAGGCGATCCATTCAAGCCCGCGAGTCGGGTTGCGGGCACGAGGCAGGATGTCTGGAGTATCGTCAACGAAGCGGCAGGGCAATCAGAAAAGCCAGTAGTCAACATGGGACAAGGCTTCTTCGGGTACAATCCTCCCAAGTTCTGTCTCGATGCCGCGAAGGAAGCATTGGACAAGGTCGAATGCAATCAATACTCTCCCACCGCAGGGCGACCACGTCTACGAAAAGCAATCGCTGACGCCTACTCGCCCTACTTTGGACGTCAACTGGATCCAATGAAAGAGGTCACAATCACGACTGGAGCGAACGAGGGCATGCTGTCGGCTTTCATGGGTTTCCTCGAGCCAGGGGATGAAGCGATTGTTTTCGAGCCTTACTTCGATCAATACATTTCCAACATTGAGATGCCGGGTGGCAAGGTCGTCTATGTGCCCTTACATCCACCAAAGGACGGCGCTACAAAGAGCACGAGTGCGGGCGAGTGGACGTTGGACGTCAAGGAATTCGAAGCAGCGATCACAGATCGAACAAGAATGGTGGTTATCAACACTCCACACAATCCAATCGGCAAGGTCTTCAGTAAGGAAGAGTTGCAGGCTATTGGGGATATCTGCGTAAAGCACAACATCATCATTTTGTCTGATGAAGTGTATGATGCGCTGTACTACGTACCCTTCACTCGGATGGCCACACTTTCGCCAGAAATTGCAAAGTTGACTTTGACTGTCGGCTCAGCGGGCAAGCTCTTCTACGCGACAGGGTGGCGAGTAGGCTACCTCATTGGACCAGAGCATTTGATTAAATACGTCTCGGCAGCACACACCAGAATCTGTTACAGCAGCGTCAGTCCGCTCCAAGAAGCCACAGCTGCCGCATTCGAGCAAGCAAACGAGCACAACTTCTGGGAGGAGAGTAAGAAGGAAATGAAGAGCAAAGTGGATCGCTTGACGGAAGTCTTCAAAGAGCTTGATTTGCCATATTCTGATCCAGAAGGAGGATACTTTGTGCTGGTCAACCTTAGCAAGGTTAAGCTGCCCGAAGACTACGGCTTCCCGCCGCATGTTGCAAACCGCCCTCGAGATTTCAAGCTCTGCTGGTTCCTCATCAAAGAGCTGGGAGTAGCGGCTATTCCGCCGACTGAGTTCTTCACCGATGCGAACGCTCATATTGTGGAGGACTGGTTACGGTTCGCGGTCTGCAAGAACGATGATGTCCTCGAGCAGGCGAAGGAGCGTCTTCGAGGCTTGAAGAAGTACATCCAATAGAGACACAGTCGCTCGTCCTCGCGGATAATCTGTGCAGCGTTCGGTCGGCGGAAGCGCCATGAATTACTCCTGTTGCTCCGAGCGCAGATCATCTTGCTGCAATCCAGCAGAAATCTCGTAGCGATAGCCAGAAGACTACTCTGACCCCGATGCTGAGTGATCGACCGCTGCAGTGTCAGTGCGCATAATGCCTGAAAGCAAGCCATCCCGCTTGAAAACCACCGTAACCACACTCTGCCCTGTTCTGCCACCAAATTGGAATGTAGGATACTTCGCCTCATCGTGATACCGCAAACCACTGTCATCCGTAACCAGCCACGAAATCAGCTCCTCCTTCGTCCAATTACATGATGTGACGAAAAGATAGTCGCCCGGCTTGATCAGCTTCACAACTCGTTCCCTGTAAACCTCACAAGGATGCGGTTCGCCATCCGTCCTCGGCATCAGTGAAATCGCATCGAAAGTGCCCTTGTCCAGCACGACATCAAACCCGTCCCTCAGCCACTCCTCCTCTGGATCCTCCGTCAACAAATCCCACTGCTTGAACTCCACTTTCCCATACCCCTGCTCATCGTCCTCGCTCTCCAACTCCCCTTTCTTCTGCTCATTGATTTGCTCAGCAAGCCGGATGCTCGTAGGCGAGTAATCCACTCCCCACATTTCTCCAATCCAGCGCTCGCCGCAATCATTCTCATCTTCGCGGAGCGCGAAGAGCATGTGGCCGTTACCAGTGCCTAGGTCCAGAAAACGCGTTTCTTCGCGATCGAGAGAGCCGCCTGAGGTGAGGTCGTAGGTTGAGAGGAGTTTGAGGACGACATCTTCTGCGTTGGATTCTTCGAACCAGTTGATTCCTTCGTCTTCGGGGTCTTCGGTGTGGTTCTTGAGTTCGCGCGTATAGCAGTTCTCCCAGCTGTTGCAAATCGATCAGCATCCGGTGGCGGTTGAGGGATTGAGGGAAGTCGCGTCGCAAAGCAATGACTTTTTTCCACTTACTACTCCTTCGTGCCGAGCTCGCTGGGATCGAGCAATTTGCGCCCTTCAGCACCAGAAACTTCACCCATTTCTGATTTGACGGTTTTGGTGAGTGTTCAGAAGTACTGCTGAAGTGTTGGTGTAAGTACTGAATTTGTGTCACGCCGCAATCTCCCGCCCGAGCGGGCAGCGTGGAGATGTGGGGTGGACGAGAACGAGAAGGGGCGGCACAGCATTCTAGACAATGTCGCAATTGTATCGCGTAGGCGCTCTAGCTACTACAGTGCCGCCAACCTGCATCTCATTGCGACTACTCAAAAGGGTATGTGGACCGTAATGGTATTCTGTCGTGATCGTCCGCCTGCCGCCGCTCCGTCAGCCTCACATCCGGAGCCGGTTGAGAGTACAAGGGCCATCCCTGAAGGACCGAGCAGCCGCGATGACTTGTGCACGAGACTGCACTTGCCACGCTTCCGCTTTGTCAGGTGCATAGAGCAGGTGAGGTGAGAGCAGGAGAGAAGCTACTCTTTTCGTTTGTATCCTTTCCTTGTTTCGGAAGGCCCCCACAAACGTCATCGAGACTTCAGGCTGTCAGATAATCTTCGTATCTACAGTGCAGTTGTGCACACGCCACTTACCTATTCCCACCTAACGATGCTGCATTCTCGATAGCGAATATGGCGCAGTCACATACCACCGCCAAACTCTCGCCTGAACAGGCAAAGGCCCTCTTCGACATCTTGACGCATCAACAAGTATACAAAGAAATCGAGGACTTCAAATATCCCGGAGCTATCCACAACTACGGACCACCATTCCAGGATAGTGTCACGTCCCCTCAATCGCCTATCCTGCAGACCCTAGTGTCCAAGTTCTTGCTCAAGCTACCTGGCCTGCGAGATGTCTCACCTGAGTTTTGGAAAGGCCGTGTCGATACCCTGATAGATGAGCTTTCGGAGGCAGAGTTGTCTGAGAGCTACGACAAGGGAATATTGGGTATTCGCAAGACTCTCGCTACTGCCATTTCTGCCCTGATAGAATATCCTGCGAGGGGTGTGCTTGGAGGTTTTCCAAAGGAGGAAGTCAAGCGGTCTGCGAAATATGACACTTCGAACCCAGACGATGTCCTGCAGGCATGGAAAGACTGTGTTCAGAAAGCAGTATATGGTGATTTAGTCGACGAGCTTTTCGATAAGGCCGCTGAGACGGATGACCTTACCAAACATGATTCTCTAGTGCAGGGCATGCACGAATTCATGGTGGTGAAGTAGGTGACAAGAAGAGTTGAAAACAAATTTCTGTGCTGACTTCGGATAGCATTGCATCCATCATGCACTACACATTAGTGCTTTCACCCGAAGGCCCGACTATGCTGCGAATGTTATCGAGCGTGCACAATTTGATACCATACACAATCATACGACAGACTTTGAAGGTCGGGAATGTCGCAACAATGCTCAGTGGAATCGTCAGGATTGTGCTAGCCAAAGCCAGTGTGGCAACAGTCACAAATTGGATCGGCTTGAGCAGTGGCGCCGACGAGGGCATGAATTTGATGCAACAGTAAGTTAGTCGACAGTTTTCTAGATATTGCACTACCTGACCACGTGCAGAATCATCTCCCAGGTCCTAGGCTGGGACAAGCGTGAGCTCAAAAAACGCGCGGAGAAAATCGAAAAGAGCAAAGACGCTCCACCCAAAGAAGTCTTGACTGAGATCAAGAACTGGTTGGGACGAGGTCGCGCAGAGCACGAGGAGACTCGCAAAAGCAGCCAAGCGTCGAACATGTCAATCGTTGCGACGATACTTGCTCTGTCCTCAACATCGGCAGAGCTGTCGGAAGCACAGCACGCCAAAGCCCAAGAATACCTATCACTACAGCTGGGTATACGGGATCGACAACAAATTGTGAAGGTACTCTGCCAACGGAATCCGGACATCATAACAGCTGCGATCAGAGATGCCGTAGATGCATACACGCCCATGATTCGTTACATTCACCAGGCTGTCAATCTCAGCGACACGCTCTGGGACTTCGAACGATTCCTCACAGACATGCTCAAGATCAGTATGCCGAGCGACAACACAAAGCAGGAGCAAAAGCCGCCCACTGTGGAAGATTTTGTGGACCTTCTCCATCGTCACCAGAGCAGTTGCCATAAATTCCTGCATCAATTCGCCAAGAATGGCAAGGAAATGACTGAATGGTGGAGAGAGTACATTCACATGGCAGCTTCAAACTTTAGGAAAGAAGACAAGCCTCCAACAAGCGACTCCGTTGTTCCCGATAAGATGACCACAGGTGCTCTTCAAGACGAATTGGGAGTTGCCTTCTCGAAACTATCTGCCGAAGACCAGAAGACAGTCCAAACAGAGCTCGATGCCTGGAAGAAATATATCGACGAACTCCACAATGCTTCCAATGCCAGGATAAGCTCCGTCATCAAGAGGACACATTCTACGCCTTTTGGGCCGGGTGCATATCTCGCGAGATGGCAGCAGTTACTCGATGAGACGCCCATCACGCCCGCGACTTCGAATGGGCCTGTTCGACATGGCTCCGATAAGAGCGTAAAAGAAGACAGTCGAGCGGACGTGGAAGGAAACTCGGAGGGGAGTTTGATCACGGAAGAACAGGCGCAGAAAGCCGTTGGTGGACAGCTTCCTACCCCACCGAAGTGCGAGGCTGTTTCAAAGCTGCTGTGGCCCAAGTTCACGCAATTATTGGTTTCGAAGTAGACACTCATGTGCGAGGGTTGGAAGCAAGCCTGGTTTGTGCGAGCGCGAAAACGCTCGAGACGCCAGGCTGGCGAATGCTCCATCACCTGAGGTTCATCATTCCATCGTCCACTTCCTGTCAATGGATTCAACAGCCCATGCGCATGCACATACAATACAGTCAGAAGAAGAAAAGCACTTCCATAGAAACGACAAGCCAGCACAGCTAGAAGCTTCCTACTTCTCTCCTCAACAACTTCAAAGTCGTCTGATGACTGTCATACCACCCAATGCCAAACCTCATCAACCTTCCGCCCCTCCCACATCCGCTTTCCCCCCGGCGCTTCCTTTCCTCCTGTGGGATACATCCAGCTCAGCCCACCAAAAAACTTAATGGACTTACCTCCGTACTGTTATTAAAACACCAAGCCGGAGCTTGAACCGCAAGGCCATTCCTTAGCTCGCCACAACCTTTTCACCAATCGCGAAGCCTACTGTCTGTCGTCTTGATCAGAGCACGTGCACAGCGCGTAAGCATTGGGGAGCCCAAACATTATTAAAGTCCGAAGGCAAGAAGTTTGTTCTCGATTCGAAATCAATAATACCAGCTTCCTTTTCGGGGAAACGCATGTGACCATGGATCAGGCTTGGCGACAACCACGAAGCTCCAAAAGAACAAACGGGAAGTACAAAAATGATAGCAGTAGGAGCAGTAACAGTAGTGCTTCGTATGATCGTGCTATCTACTGATGACTCGCCTCTCTCCCCATTACGCGAGGATTTGCCAATCCATTCGACTCGATCCGATAGAGGATCGCGCGCTTCTTCTCTTTCGTACACGACGTACACGCCACTCCTCTTTCCCCTTGTCGTTCCATATTCCCTCATGATGATGATATTGATGATGGTGTATAATGCTCCTCCTCCAATCCCGCTTATAACGCGGCAAGTCCAGGCAAACAAAGATAAGAGAGAAAACAGCGCTTGCTAGAAAACCAACAAAGAAATGCAAAGTGTACACATGCGTGCGTAGTGTTGAAGAACTTTCCCACTGCCTTCTGAATCACGCAAATTAGCGCGACCGAATGACAGAAGAGGGAGAACGGGAGCCGCTAGACGTGAAAGTGTCTGGTGCTCAATCGTGGTCCATCAATTCACTCTCGTCTCCGAAAGCCTCATCGCCATCCACGTCAATCTCATCCAGGGCAGCAGCGCCCATCATGCCGGCAAGGTGCGTGTGATTAGGGTTTTGCTGGTATGGCTGGATGTGGGTTACGCCAGGAGGAGCAGTGTGGATATGATGGCCACCATGTCCAGCAGTCCATGCCGGACCAGCAGACGTGGTTGTGGCCGGTGCGCTCTGACTGAGAGGAGAAGGACTTCCGCCTGCAAGACCCGGAATGTTCCCCGTCGGCCAGTTGTGAGTAGGAGTGGGCACAATGGGGGTGTGACCAGGCTGATAATGTCCTTGGACGTCGACATTCAGTACAGGCGTTGTGCTTCCGTTCGAGTCGACAATGCTCTCGTCCATGTCAGCATCCGACGGCTCATGTTCACCTGCAGCCAAAGCCGCTGCACGACGTGCGTTTTGTCGAGCAGCAAGGCCTTCACGAGCTTCACGGGCCCACTTCTGCTCGTTGAGATATTGTCGGAGCCGTGAGACACCGGTTCCGGAGAAAACGCAAAAGACGTCGCGCTGGTGCTCGTTGAACTCAGGCGGGGCATCTCGACAGAAGACGACCAGCTCGTCTCTGAGAAAAGCTTGCACACCCGTCAAGCTGAGGTGAGTGAGCTTTGGGCAAGAGTTGAGCAAGGTGTGAATTCCCTGTCGAATATTGTCAGCAATTATCCCACCAAACTGTCAAATGAGAAAACTCACATCGAGTGTCAACTGAGTGCAGTAGCTCAAGTGCACTCGCTCCAACACGCTTGAATTGCCAATTGTCTTGCCATTCCTCACTTCCCCTCGCGCCAGGCTCCATATGCTTTGATCCGTTATTCCAGCGCACTTCACCAGTCCGATCCGCTTGAGCTTCGGCAGTCCAGCCAATTTCATTACGCTCTGATCGGTAAGTTGGCTACAGCATGCCAGATCGATGTATCGGATGCGATTGCAAGCCTTCGCCAGAGCCTCAACAGAGGCATCGGTAATGCGCGCGCAATGTCCCAGATGGATGTAGTGCAGATTCTTGCCCAATTTGGTGATAGCGAATACTGCGCGATCCGTGATCTGTCGGCACTTTGCTAGAATAAGATTACGCAGGCGAGGACAAGTCTGAATGATCTTCTCGACACCTTTGTCGCCTAGTTCAGCGCAGTCCGTAAGGTCAAGAATGCGTAGCGAATCGAATGTTGTAGGGTGATCCGGATCGTACGGGATGTCGAGGAATGCTTGGTCATTGATCTGGCCACAGTGTGCAAGACGCATCTCACGCAGTTGCGGACATCTGGTAAGCAATGCTGTGATAGACTGGCTCTCCATGTTCTGCAAGCCATATAGATCGATCTCGAGGAGGTGTGCGCAGTAGGTAGCCACAGTCTCAATCGATTTGTCCGTCAACTGAACACAGTTGTTGAATTTGAGTCGCTTCAGATGCCGGCAGTTCTTCGCAATTGCCATGATGGACGCATCTGTCAGTTTCTTGCATCCGGTCACGTTGAGTCCTTGCAGGCGTAAGCAGTTGTCTGCAACCTCCATCATGGTCTTATCCGTGAGCTGGTCCAGACCAGTGACGTCCAGCGCAAGAAGGCTCCGATTCCCATCAATCAGAGGCACAAGACTCATATCAGTCAATTTGCAGTTATTGGTCAACGTCAATCGTTCAATCCTCTTGCAGTTCTTCATGCCAACCAACGTTCCATCGCTGACTTGGTGGCCGAGTGTTGACATGTTCAGTCTCTTGACCAGGTCCTGATACGCAAAGAAGCGTTTCCTATTCCGTATCGAGTTGATCACATTGTGGATGTTCTGCCACTTATTCATGGCCGGCCGATGCCATAATAGCCCCACGCTGTTCTTCGCCCACTCCTTGCACACCAACATACACATCTGCAGGTCGCGCGAGGAAGTGAGGCGCGAGAATATGCTGATCAAGATCTCTGCCGGAAGGCGATGCACGGGCGACACACGACATCGCTCTTCGTACTCCCTCCGCATGGCTTCCGTTTGCGACAGCTCCGGAGACATGTCGCCGCCTAGCGAGGACTGTGAATCGTTGGCCTGGATCATGAAGGAATCGTTGTCATCATCCGCTTCGCGCTCGGGCGATGTCGAGGAGGAACTGGAGCTGGATACGCTAGAAGCGCGTTGCTGCCGCCGTGATCGCAGCATGTTGAATCGATTGTCGTTGTTGTCGTCAGGTCGCGCTGTAGATGCCGGACTTGGGGCGAATCGTGACATGGTCGCGGCGGGGTGGTGGTGGTGCTGATCGTCAAGTCTCCAAGTCACTGTTCCCGCAAAGCGAGCGCAGCCAAGTCGCAAAGGGTCGTGACCAGACGGGCTTGGAACGCAGCGCAGATCGAGCCGTCGCGATGTGATCGTCGAGTGTGCGAAGTGGTGAAATTGGCGACAATCCTGCTTTCGAGGCGAGGATGAGGTTGGGAGAGGTCAACGGGGAAGAGCCGGTTGCGTGAGGCTGTCACAGATGGCAGGAGACCGTTGCTGGAAGGGGGGTGCACCTGGCACCTGCCAACCGGTCGCTTCGGCTTGGTCGGAAGGGATGTTCGGGGGAGGTGATCGTTGGGTGGTGTCGTTGGTCGTCGTTTGGTGTCGTCGTCGTCGAAGGTGCAGGAAAGTGGTTCGCAGCAGGTGACTCGTTAGTGGCCGGACAGGCTTATGATGAATGTGATGGAGTGTGCAGCGAGCTCCGGACGCGCCAGGAGGGGCGGGCACAGGGCAGGCGTGTGACGACGAGTGGGCCACTTATGAACGCGCAGCACAACTTTCACTTGGCGCTCATTCACTGTGCAGGTGCAGGGGTGGAAAGTGGTAAGCGCGCGAGCCTCCATCTGCCTTCACGACATGGTCTTCTGTCTACCACGGCACCGACAACGTGCAATAAAACCGGCTCTATTCTCGTCTGCTGTCTCAGCCCGTGTTCGCAGACGTCCACTGTCTCTCAACAACGCTCGACGTTGCATGTCCCACGAGTCGTACCGGATAATCCTCACCGGATACATCATTCACGATGAAACGAGCCACAAGCGCGACACAGCGACACCGACGGCACTTTGATACTGCCACCGCAGCGAACTGCTATATCGTTCAAAGACCATTTCTTAGCCACTTGAGACTGCTTCGTGGCGCATTACTGCTATCAATGTCTAGGGTACTCTCTCGCCACATGCTTCACATCCCGATCTCGAGTTGTGTCCGCTGCAGCACTCAACATGACCAGCCACGTTCGACTCAGGTCAGGCCCATCAAACTTCTTCCTTGCAGGTTCGAGCCCGTTCGACTACCCCGTGGCCGCCACCACCAGATCTTCTAGGACAACCATCGCAGGGTCTCAGATCCCAGGGCATTTGGCAGCATACAAGCAGCGGCACCGCATGAACCGCTACACCACTGCCGGCCTCCTCGTACAAGCTGCAGTTCAAACACCAACGGCTTCGTAAAACGCGCCGACGCCTTGCCTGAAACCTACCTCCCACTCCCACGCGAAATGCTGTCCGGCTTGTCCACTATCGCACAAACGCTTCAGGACCCAGAGATCTAGCATTCCGATCTTGTCACCGCCCTTCAATCCGCAATGTTGCGCTTTGTAGCTGAAGAACGCCAGAGCATCATGCCAGCCTTGCTCGAAGCCCTTCTCGAAGCGCCAATGCTCGTAATGGCCTGGATGGGTGGAGTCCCAGTAGTGGCAATGCGTGCCCCAAATATTCCCTTTGCGACCATCGCACTGTGCTTGCGCGTTCGCCGCGCGAGTCAGGGCGTCCTCTTGCGCAAGCGTCAGAGAAGGAGGAGGCAGGATGGCTCCTTGGTCCGTCATCTGTTTGAAACCCCATTCGCCGCCGGGCATCCAGTCCATCTTGTAAGTCCAGAAGAAACTCCCGCCAGCACGATGCTGGAATCGCTGTGACTGGGCATTGCCGAATTTGGTCACGAGTTCCTCCTTCGTGGCCCCATTCCCTTTCTGCCAGGCCTCTTCGGCGAGCACACAACTATACTCGCCGACGACGAGTTGTGCAGCGCCACGATCGTGCACGGAGCCCTCTCGCCCGTCGAGCTCTCTAAGCTTCTCCCAGGCCTCTCCGATAATGTCGTAAGGCGACTTTTGCACATCCTTGGCATCGAAACACCAATACAGGTGCGTGTCCACCACCACTGGGTTGGTCCGGAATCCTTTCAGCGTTACATTCTTCTTCTGGCTCCAACTCAAAGCCCTCGCCAGATCCCACCCATCCGAGACATAGATTGGAACCTCCACATCCATTTTGCCCACCTCTCTCAAGACCTCTTCATACCACTCATACATTCCCTCTGCGTCCCACTCACTCTCATTCACAATTTGCACTCCAGCTACTCCCTCCATTCCCTTCGCCTCTTTGGCAACAAAGCAAACTACTCTTGTCCCCACCTCTCTATTCTTCTTCCCTTTCTTCCCCCAAAACTCCGCTTTCCCACTATTCGTCCCCGAATGCTCCTGCGCATTAGCCCCACCGGGCAAACCATGCAAATCGATCAGAACCCCAATCCCCCTCTGATACAACCTCTTCACCAAATCCTTCACAGCATCCCAAGACCCCTCATACAACTCCGCCACATGCTCAAACGGCGTCCCTTTGCAAAAGGCAGGTCCCAACGTGAAGTACCCAATCGGTAGCCGGACGGTGGTACACTTCGCTACATCGCGGAGGTAATCGAGATCTGCATCGGAAGTGAAGTCTCGCCAGTGAGATGAGAATTTCTGTTTGGCGCCTTCGAGACCAAAGGCTTTGATGTTGGCTTCTGCGGCTGCGAGCTCGGAGGAGCCGGGGCAGTTTTCGTTGCCGGGGAACATGGAGGGTGTGAGCCAGCGTTCTTGGATGAAGATGGAGCCCAGGTTTGTGCCGTGGTGGTAGCGATAGCGGAAGATGTCTTGGGGTGTTGGTTGTGGGAGTGGGTGGTATGAAGCTTCTTGTTGTTGCTGGGCATCTGATGTGCCATCATGTGTAGCGATGGGTTGCTGGTGTTGTTGTTGTGCTTGTTGGTCTTGTGTTCCGGCATCGTTTGTGAACTTTTCGAGTTTCGATTTCGCTTTCTCGAGGAAGAACCACTTCATTTTGTCTTTGGTTTTGCTGAGTAGGTGGTATGGAGAGCAGAAGTGCTGGATGACGAGTACGATGATTACGAAGGTCGCGAGGGCGATTAATGCGTACGACCAGATGTTCCTGGTGGTCATGTGCAATGGGCAGTGGAAGATATGGATCACTCGGCTTAGCGGTGCCGACGAAACACGTCACTGGAGTTGTGGTGGAGATGGGTCGAGTGAGACATTGTTGACGGCCAGAAGCAGTGCGGTTTTGGACGTCAAGAACGTGGCGCTTGCCGTTGTGCAAAAGAAAGAGGGAAGGGACAAGCATATCTGGTAGTTGAAGCTTCTTTCCCGCGTGGTGAACATACATATCTCAGAACGTCATTCGCAACCGCGCACTTGCGGCTTCCAGGGTATATGGTAAAGCAGAATCCAGAAAAGCTACCCTCTACTGTTACAGCTATTCTTCGCACATTTTGCCGCATAGTGACACCTCTCATTCATCTCCAACCCAAGCGAAGGCAGCACCCGCCAATGCCGAAGCAACAGCCCAGACACTCGACCATCCAGCAGTCCCGAGCAGATCCGTGCCTTCAATGGTAAGGTATGATCGCATGAACGAGTTGGCAAATGATGAAACCGCGAGGATCGCAGTCCTCTTGAAGAGAATTTCTGCTCTTGGTGAGAATCCCGCCGCACTAAGGCCGAGGTTGTACGCAAGAGTTTCGGTGAACGTTGCGGTCTCTGGGTTGAAAGGAGCCAGCTCTGGGTGGATCTTAGGGTCTGTAAGTCCTGGGTTCGCAGCGGACCCGATTGCTGGCACGAATATGAATTGTGTAGCACCGTAGCCAACTGGGAGTAACAGAAGTACGAGCAGCCATGGCACAGTGTCGTGAGCTTTTTCGAGAGTCTTCAGCCCGTCGAAGTGCACAGTCATCCATACTGTCAGCCAGGTGGAGTAGCTGAGATAGATGACCAGGGTGTACAAGCTTGCGGCGAAGGCAGCGATTGTCCAGTTGATCCCAGCATCTTGCGCCACGAGTTGATTCGCTGTCCTAGGCTTCTTCGAATTGCGAGCGTGGATGGGTCCGCGGAAGAGAGCGAATGGAATGGCAATGGTGACGACGTCGATGGCCAGAGGAATGAGTGCGGCGAGGTTGTCGACACCATAGAAGGTGTTGAGAAGGAAGTAGTGCGGGACATTGCTCAATAGAGTCAACCAGCCCAAGTCCATGTCTATCGTGTCCACTGTCAGCGACATGTCGCGGGCGGTATTGAATCGCATGCGCGACGGGCTACTCACAATCATAGCGCAGATACCATGCGCCGAACAGCTCAGCGAGCTTCCAGCCCAGGATGGCCCAAAGCTGCCATCGCTCTTCCAGGTTGCGACTGACGGATGCGAGTTCGGGCCCGGTGTAGTCTGCGACAATGGTGTAGAGGAAGGCGCTCAAGCCCAGCGAGACGAGCGTCAATGCAGGGAACTTGATGTAGGATGGCAACCGGCTCGCCGCGCGCTGCGTGGCCGCCTGCCTTTCGTCGAGCGCGTCCATGGGTGGCGGCAGTTGTCGGCCGTTGGTTATATCTCGTTCGTGCGCGTTGCGATACGACTGCGCATTCGATGGTCCGTATTGTAAGAGAGCGTGGTGGTGCGAGAACGGTGGTGTTGTCAGTCGCGTTGCTATGCAAACTCAAAATGCGCGCGCGATGGTGACCTCATAAGCGCCGAAGAATGTCCTTGCACGCCTTTTACGAACTGCTCGCCACAAACATCGAAGGTCACCCTGTAATACATGTTGCGGCACTGCGAATGATCGCAATTGTCTCTCGCTGCTTTTTATTCTCACGATCGTCTTCTCCATGCGCCACCTAGCAAGTTCGTCGAAGGGAACACGTGGACGCCGACCTTTGACGACAGGAGAAGAGCAGTGTGAGATGCATTTGCTTCGATGCACGCCAGTCGCAGCCCGACTCTTGATGCGTGCAATATGTCTCGCGGCTGAGGCTTGCAGTCGCTTCTACCGCTCGTTGCTTCCTCTTCGTATCTGCGCTATCTGCAGAGCCAGACTTGTCTCGACATCTCCCAGCAGACCCTACAAGCGGGTCCACAGCATTCACTGACCTCGTGGTCCATGCCCTGCATGGCGTCCGAGTTCTGCTCGGCGGCTTGAGAATATCACGAATACGAGGCGGCCGCACGGCTGAAGGAGAAGGCCAACTCGGTTTCTGCAACCTGAAACTTGAACTCCCTGACACATCGAAGAGCCGGTCTGGGTGTCACTGGGATTGAATGGAGCCAACTAGGTGCAAAATCCTCCCATACCTTGCGCGTTCGCATGCGATCCTTTTCAGGCCGATTTTCTACAGCATGCTGGACCAGACGCCCCTAGGTGGCAGCCTTTCGTGCCTCGACCGCATCAATGTCGGCTTCTTTCGTTGATTAGTCGTGTGGCAGAGACTATGGCTCGTCGCTGCTCCAATACCGTTGAATATCCGATATTGAAAAATGAAGCAGTTTGCGGTATTGCTGTCTTCTCGCTAGCAAGATGAAGTGGTGTTCTGTGTCTGGACCGCAGCCAGAATCTCCGTCAGAGCTCATCTACAGGTACAAGAACTGGCCGCTGCGTCTCCCATTGACGATTCCCTAGTTTCTATCCTTTTTACCTTACCAAGCACGAACAACATAATTTTGCTAAACATGCTACGTATCCTCTTCCTCGCAAGTGCCTTACTTCTTCCTGGAATGGTTTCCGGAGTCTACTTCGGACAGAAACGTTGCTGTCAAGAAAATAAATCATATTGCACAGACAATGGATACTATGGGTGCATCGGACTAAAGAACGATGATGGGTCTGTTGGCGAATATTGCGTACGAGAGGGAGATAGTGCCTGCTTGCTTGAGTGCAGGTCCGCTTGGGACGGCAGACTTCCTCCGAAGCACTTCATCTACAGAGATCCTTTGCAGTATGTGATCAGCTTCTACAGTATTGCACGGGGTGACAAATGCTGATATGTTTCCACTCAGTAAACCAGCCGGGGGATGTGTCTGCTCCCTTTTCACTATCGATGGCGACGATGGCTATTGCTATCGTCGTGCGTAACTATCGCCTGTTACAAGAGAGGCAGCGGGGGATCATCTTGCACGGCGTGCAACAGATGCAACATCACGAACTCGAATAACGGCGATGAGGAATGCAACACGGTGGCGAATTGATTGGATCGAGTGGCGCACCTGCACCAGATGCGTTCTTTTCCAATGCGAGGACGAGCGACATAGTGCCAACAGGGGCCTGTCCTATTTGCGGATGCTTCGCCAAAGCTTCAAAGGCCTTGAACGCAGAGTCTGGCCAGGTTATCCTTGTCCTATTCATCTCAAGCGATCACTTCACCATGCCTAGCGATCCTGGACATTCAAGAATGATCATGCTCAATCAAGCTTGCCATAGCCCAATTGGAAATCCAAACAGTCACCACAGGCTCACTCTTACCTGGAGCACAGCACGGTATCTCGTATTCGTCGGAATCAAGCAAATACAAAGAGGAAGAAGGCTTCGCACATCACATCTTTTTCATCGCACTTCCAGAAGCACTTGATACAGCTCTTTCAGCGAACCCGTAATGTTTGACGTGTATGGTCGCTCAAAGATCCACACGGGGTCGCTTTTCTTGCCATCAACCCACCGGGCGAGTGGAGAGAGTGGTGTAGCCCGCAAACTCAAGCGAGGGAGGTAGACCCCATGAGATGTCGATTCGTAGCTCGACTAGACTCCCCAAGCCAGACGTTCACCATTTCCGCGCCATGGTATATGTCGCCCTTTCTCGCTACCTGCTGCGACATCTCGGATATTTTGTACTGCTGTATGCACAAAGCGTCCACCCACAATGTCCGAGACGCATGCATATAGCGCAACCGGCGGAGCGCATCGAAAAGGTTGTCCGTGATTGGCAAGACATAGTGCTGATTGATGCGAATGGTCCTGCCTTTTGTGCTGTTTCCCCAGACGTATAACAGAGCCTCGTGTTTAGCTTCCTCACATCCAGAGACTTGCTCAGAGTTGCCGGACAGGTGCAGTAGCTCTTCTAATAAGTCAATGAAGGTATAATCAAATTTGAACCGCTCTCGAGCGGTTTCGGGCAGATTGGACACTCGAAGCGTGCCTTGCAGCTCGCTGTCCCATGACCCAGGCAACAGATCGAGCAATCTGATGTCCTTCGCTGCGTCTATTGTGACCTCGTGATACATCTTTGCAATGAGGTCGGCATGACTCGAAGTGTCTTGGGCCATCGTGGAAGAAGGCTGTCGCGGGCGGTTCCAGCCATAGTCGTGGGTGTTAACACAGATGAGAATGTAGACACAATTGAACATTAGAAGAGACAGAAGTCAGGGGAACCAACTGATTTGGCGGCATGGCCGACCGCGAAGCCACAGCGGTTGCAATCCTTCAGGTTTCAGACCGCAGAGTGGCTGACCAAAGTAGTGCTTGACAGCAGTTCGTGTCGCACATCGACGAGGGAGGACCAGGCGGTGTTGCGCATATTCTTCTCCATGCGCCAGTCGCGAAAGCGACCGCCGCCATGATGAAAAGTTCAACAACATTGCTGATGATGAAGGGAGGTTTGCCAAAAATTCCCAGCCGACCGGAGCCAACTGGAGCAGTCAGTTGATAGTTTTCAACTAGCAAAAACGCAATCTCGGACGAATCCTCACTGATATGCGTAATGCCCTTGCACTCGGATGAAGAAGAAAGGAAGAGAGTTGTGGGGGAGAGAAGAGACTTTCTTATAGTGCAAGCGCGCTAGCTGAGTCATGTAGAGATCAACACATGTCCGCGTGAGTCATGCACGAAGTTGACGCCTCAGGTTTGGATCAAGGTGACTCAAGTGAGCTTCAATGTTGGAGGCTTTCGCGGGTACTAGAACAGTTTGCGAACTCACTTCTCCCTGGACCAAATTCTGTTGAGTATGATGCTGGCAAATCCTGAGTGAGAAGCTCATGTCGCGGTCTTTCATTTAATGCTGACATTCGCAATCGGATAGATTCTATGATAGATATCGTATGGATTGATGCTCCCCCGGTGCCGCCAACGCCTCGCTCAACGACAAACGATGCCTACCTCGCCAAATCGGAAGTGAGATCATGCTGGTATAGCCTCACTCTTCTCCCTTGCTGCTCTCGCCAACCTCCTCGCCTTTGCCCGCTCCTCGGGCGATTCAACTGGAGCATCGGGAAGCTCTCCAGCAGTGACCTTTGGCGCATCTGGCATGCTAGGAACTCCTTGCGCTTGCCTTTGCTCTCTTTCCATAGCCTCCAATTCATCCTCCACAGCATCCTCATCTTCGTTGGACATCTTGCCCGCGAGCATCTCACTGACTTCCTGTTCCCAATCATCGGCCATTGCTCATTCGTATACTCACAGCAATGTGTGCTCACCTCTTGATATGCTCTTGCTTCCTCACTCTCACTCAGTATCATGTCCACCTTGTCCAGCCCACCAATCTCCTTGTTGATCTCTTTCAGTACCGCCGTGCCCTGCTGCAGCCCGAACAGCACATCCTTCTGCACGAGCGCAAATTCCACATCACTCGTCAGAGCCTGCAGTTGTGCCAATTGTTGATCCGTCTTCGACAACAACGACTCTTGATACTTCTTCCTCCTCAAAGCAAGCAATGCTTTCTGCTTATTCCCATTCCGAAGGCATTCCTTCGCAATCTCCGTCTCGCGATTCGTGACCGTTGTGATTCGTTTCTGGTATTGTTGAAGTTTGTCGCGTTGGATCTTCAGGTCGAGGATGGCTCTGCATGTCTTCCGTTCAGCGTGATGGGCGCAAGGGAGCTATGCTGTTCGCCAGACCTCACCTGTCCTGATCAGAGATTTTGTTCTTGCTGCTCGAATTGCCCATTGCACGCGATCATATGCGCGTGTCTGGGTATGAGGATAGACATGGCGTGGAGTACTCGAGGCGCGATCACATGCATCTTGCTCGCGTGCTTGGCGGGCGTCGAAACGTCATGGGCCGGTCGGCTCGCGAAAGATAAGATTGATAGTGAATCTAAGCGAACTCCGCACCGTGGTATTGCACTCATGCGAGCCAGACGGCAGACGCTGCTTTTGGACAAGACACCAAATGTGAAGGTAGATGTGAGTCACTATTCGAATGGACGAGGATGTAAGCAGTTGTTGCAGTGAGACGGAGGAAAGTGCTGATCTGCAGTTGCCTCGAGATTTTGCTGAAGCCGAACTCCGAAAATCCGCTAAATTTCCTCGACTTCACTCGGGCATCTTCGACGCCTCGCAATCTTTTAGATCAACAGAGAGGCCATGGCCGTACGCTTACAGGGCGCTCTGGATAGCGAGATACACACTGTGGTAAGTTGGCAAGCCTCTCATTGTTCTTGCGCCGCGAGCTCGAAGATCCCGCGTTTCTCTGTCCTGCGAACCGACTGCAAGGCAATGAGAGCTGAAATACCCTCTATTCTTCTATGGAGATGCTTGCAGAGACAGCTAATTATCTTATCGATTAGGTTCAAAAGTTCTTATCAGACGGCATACCACCAACAACTGGTGACCTCTATAACGCGCTACAGAGATCAAATTCCTCACTCAAGCGACGACCAAAAAAGACTCTCCACGCCAGTATCGAGCGCGTTCTCGATTTTATTGGCATCGACCAAGGCGAGGAAGTTGACTCAGACGCGATTATTGAAGACGCAATTCCGGAGAGCGACGGCCAAGCAGATCTCATGAACCGCAGTCTCCGACAGAACTTGGCACCAGCGCGCCCACCAAGCCCACCACAGACAACGGGAGATGAATCGCTGAGCAAGAGACGCAAAGCCAATGGCGAAGCTCTGCCGAAGCGCCAAAAACGCGGCAATGACGACTCGAAGCCACAGACGAATATTGAGCCGCCGTCCGACGTGAGTTTAGAGGATATCGGCGGCATGAAAGAGGTCATCGACCAGCTGAACAGGACATTGATGGCACCGATGTGCTTTTATGAAGAGTTCCGCGAAGCTCACATTCCATTGCCCAAAGGCATTCTCCTTCATGGCCCCCCGGGATGCGGTAAAACAATGCTTGTGCGGGCGGTCGCTGCTGAGATGGGAGTCCCCTTTGTCGAGATATTGGGCCCTTCGATCGTGTCTGGCATGAGCGGCGAATCAGAGAAGGGGATTCGAGATCGCTTCGAAGAGGCCAAGAAGAATGCACCCTGCCTGATCTTCATCGACGAAATTGATGCCATCACACCGAAGCGAGATTCCAGTCAGAGCCAGATGGAGAAGCGAATAGTGGCACAATTACTCGTGAGTATCGACGAGCTGAATCGCGAGGGAGAGAAACCTGTTGTAGTACTGGCTGCTACGAATCGCCCGGACAGCATTGACCCAGCGCTACGAAGAGGTGGACGATTTGGAACAGAGATCAATATCGGTAAGTTCGTGCTTGTACGGGTATGCTTCTGCGCGATGGCACTTAGCAACGGCAGTGGAGGTCAAGACAAGAGCCAAACGGTTTTTGGTAGCAGAACAGAGTCAGAGCTTCGACATGCAGATGTCTCTGAATATGCACGACGACCACGCCAACCACTACCGGCCCAGGCTGCCCGCACGAGCTTTTTAGCGGACAGAGAAGCTGACAGTCAGTACAGGAGTTCCAAATGAAGAAGTTCGCCAGCGCATTCTCGAGACACAAACACGCAAGATGCCAACCTCCAATATCGATTTCCAGCAATTGGCCAAACTCACGGCAGGCTTTGTTGGCGCCGATTTACACGATTTGGTCGGAAAGGCTGGGGCTCACCAGATGGAGCGCCTGATGGGCGCTTTGCAACAACAAGCCGCGGAATTACAGTTGCCGCACACTCCTTCTAACCGCTCCGAAATCGTCGAATTCCGCCGCCTCGTTGCCCGGTCTCAGGCTCGAACGCTTCCCCGGCCACCGGGCTTCGAGACTATCACTCTCACAATGACCGACTTCCTCTCCGTTCTCCCAGGTATCACGCCCTCATCCAAGCGCGAAGGCTTCACTACAGTCCCTACCGTCTCCTGGAAAGACATCGGCGCCCTACAGGCCGTCCGCAAGGAGCTCATCCGCAACATTGTCCACCCCATTGCCAAGCCTCACCTCTACACAGCCCTCAACATCTCCCCCTCCTCGGGAGTACTCCTCTGGGGCCCGCCCGGCTGCGGCAAAACCCTGCTCGCCAAAGCCGCTGCCGCCGAATCCCACGCCAATTTCATCTCCATCAAAGGCCCCGAACTCCTCAACAAATTCGTCGGAGAATCCGAAGCCGCCGTCCGACGAGTCTTCTCCCGCGCCCGCTCCTCCCTCCCCTGCGTCATCTTCTTCGACGAACTCGACGCTCTCGTTCCAAAACGCGACACAGACTCCGGCAGCGAGGCTTCCGCTCGCGTGGTCAACACTCTGCTCACCGAGCTGGACGGTCTCGACACCAGAATGGGAATCTACATCATCGCAGCCACGAACCGTCCAGACATGATCGACGACGCAATGCTTCGCCCCGGCCGCCTCGGCACCCAACTTTTCGTTGACTTACCCGGTCCCGAAGAGCGAGGAGACATCCTTCGCGCGTTGTTAAAGGACAAACCGCTTTCTCCGACGTTCTTCACCGCGTCAGTTACCGACTCATCCACCCCTGGCACCTCAGAAGCACTTTCACGCAACGGAGACACGGATATGACCACCTCCCTAGATTTCACCGCCCTAGCCCACAGCTGCGAGGACTTTAGCGGCGCGGACTTAGGGGCTTTAGTCCAAGCCGCTGCACAAAACGTCATCGAAAGGGAAGGAACGCAATTGGAACTGAGGGATTTCTTCGCAGTGAGAGGCAAAATGAGGGGAAGTGTGAGGGATGCGGAGCGTTATAGGAAATTGGCGAAGAAGTTTGGGCAGAGGTAGAAAGTGAGCAGTGGGAAGTGAGGTATATATGTTCACTTTTGGTAGTCGTTCTGCGTTTTCTCCGTTTGAACGAGGAACGCGGAGGCAACGAGGGTGGGGATGCGGAGAAAATGTGCAGCAGAGAGAAAATGGAGAGCGTGAGATGGGGTTGTAGTTGGTGAAAAAGAAAATAGAAAATTATTGCACGTCTGGAGAAAGTCATTGCACAATTGGGAGCAAGCAAAGTGTTACCACTCATTCAGCTGTCATTGTCCTTCGTCCGTCACTGTACTATCATTACAATTCTATCTGTGCGTACAAGCGTGTGTATCGCTCGTGCCGAATCCTTCCTGTCCATTCCCGCTATGCTGGAATCATAGACGGCCAGCAGCTGCGCACTTCGGTACTGAACACACAAGTAATATTACACATTCCATTCATTTCACCCGAACGCCTGGCTAAATCTGCAACCCACGGAAAAATAGATGCGCACTCCTCATCGCAAATGTCATTGACTCGTGCTGTCCTTCGGCGCCGGGGGAGGTGGTGGAGCCACAGCCGGAACGTCATCACTGACCTGCGTTGGGGCAATCCGTCGCCTCTTCTCACGACCTTGCTCATCCCCTTCAGGTGCCACGCCGGCATTACTTTCCCTCTTTACACCAGAGACTGGAGCGGGCACCTGTGGCACTGCAGCCATAGCGGCAGCGGATTGCCCTGGCGTTTGCGGAGGTGTGAACAGAGGCATGCTTGAGGTCCCGGAGCCGGCTGCTGCTATCGATGGCAACGGAGTCAACGAAGGCGTTGGATTGTTCATGACAGGTGGTGCGTTCTGATCTGGTACTCGTGCAAAGCTGGCATCGGTTGCTATGCTCGATTGTGACATGCTTCGTGCAGGGCTCGCAGGGCGTCCGCCAACATGACCGGTGATCGTAGTGAATGGTGACGGCGAGGCACGAGGGGCTTTTGATGATGGCACCGCGGTTCCATTGCTGCTCGCGGCCGGCTGTACTGTAGCAGTAGCACTCACACCAGTGGGAGTAGGTTGTGGAGTCGAGGCCGTAGAGTTTGCCTTGGCTACAGATATTGGTGCAGGTGACGGCCTGGTGCTGGCAGAGTTTGTAGGAGGTTGATAGATGGTGCCGAGCTCACCCGGAGCAAAGGTTAGGGCTGAGCAGAAGCCGTCTGTTGAGGTCATCAACAGTGTCTGCCCGTCACTCGACCTGTATCGCAGTCAGCACAATGGAATGTAGAATTCGAACATGAGACGTACCAGCTCAGATCTGTAAAGGTCGCGTAATGCAGATTGCTTACTACGCACAAAGGCTTCTGCTGTTGCGTGTCGTACAAGTGAACGGCATCTTGAGTAGCAACAGCGTATACTACTCGATATGGAAGACCAAAGGCAGGCACAGGCCCTGGAGGCGGCAGGGGTGTTGATGGAGTGGACTCAGAATCGGCGCGTGGTCGAGGTGATGCTGCCGTGGTTCCCGCACTAGGGGCTGGTGAGGGTGCACTGGTCAGAGGAGGTGGTTCCATTGCCGAGTGCGAAGTCGGAGCTTTTGTTGGCATGACCGGCTCTGGCAGGGGTGGCAAGTCATCTTCGGTGCGTGTATCGATGGTGATTTCTTTTGTTTCCACGTTTGAGGCCCGAATTTGGTAAAGGACAGGCGAACACTTGACCGCGATAGACGGCTTCTTGTGCCCTGGAAGATAGGCCACTGGAGGCTTATTCAATCCAGCTCTGGTGTAGATGTACACGGTATTGATAATCTCATCTGTATTCTTGCTGCCATCAGAAGCAGCGTGAGTCGTCTTGAATTGACCGGCGGGCGTCAGCAGCAGACTTCCGTCTGGAGTGAATGTCAGGCGGCGAAAGAATGAGGTGAAGGTCTCATTCGCGTAGATGTTGGTGTTTCGAACGCCTAAACCCATGCTAAGACCGCCCGATAAGCTCGGCGAAGCCGAAGGCATCACGGCAGGGAGCGGCATAGATGGGCTAGGTGAGACTGATCTGCGCACAGATTGGGATCCAAAGGAAGAGCGTCGACTGTGAGATGTTGGTGGTGGGTTCATCGGAAGTGCCAACGATTGTGGCGTGCCTGGTGCGGAGGGTTTTGGTGAGCCAATGGCTTCTGCCACCAAGTCTTGCACGAAAGACGCCCGGTGACCACCAAAGTCAGGAGGTGCAGGACTGCTGGAAGAGATGCGTCGTCCTCCTGGCAGATCCATTTTGGTGACCTTGTTGTGCTGGCTGAGCGAGAATTGGCCGTCTTTCGTCTTCAATGTGTAGATGTGAATCGATCTGTCGGAAGATTGCGTCGCGACATATTCGTTCAGCGGATCCCATGCGACGCCTTGCACATAGTGATTGTGCTCCGCGATCTGGCGAACCGTTTGTCCTGCTTGATGTCAGCTTCGAGATCTGAATGGCTGTACAAATCAGCTTGCTTACCTGTTGAGGCATTGTATATCCGTGCCACATTGTCCATGCTTCCCGTGATGAAAAACAATCCGTCTGGCGACCAGGCCAAGTCGTATATCTCTGAGCCAGTATTTGACCTGCACATCGTCTTGACCCGCCAATGTTCAACATCCTCTTGCGCATCATCGCCGAATGCCGAAGCATATGCTGGATTATCGGCCGGGGTCCAGAGAAGGACGTTGCCATCGTCACCGGCGGAGGCAAGCAGTTCACCTGTCGAGATTTAGTCGTATTCGATGTTGGTGGAGAGGATATTGCATACCGCGAGGACACCATCGCACTACATTGACGGCTTGCGTGTGCTTCTTGAGGGTGGACAAGTAGGTCACTTTTCGTTCCTCCCCATTGCTCTCGACACTCCAGATCTGAAGCTCCGGTCAGTCTTTATCACCTCCATCGAGCTACTTCTGTTACTGCCACCTACCCGTACGTTGCAATCCCCACCTGCAGTTGCCAGCCTGCCTTTGCCCTGAGCTTCAAAATGTGCAGAGTAGATGGGGCTGTTGTCGTCGTGCCAGGACACGAGTAGCGGAGCGGCTTTCATGTTGTTGGGCAGTGAAGCTGGCTCGTGGCCAGTCGATTGTATAGCGACAAAATGGGACAGGTATTGTATCAGGCAGCGTTGTGGTCGTCCAGTGTGACACTCAGATCATCGAGATCGACTGCCGCGAGAATGCCGTGGGTGTGGAGCTGGAGGAATGCCCAAATGGTGGGAACGAGGCTCTCAGGTGCAGGGTATGCGCATAGGTGGGTGACCGGGAGTGCTGCGTGCTGAAGGTTCAGCCCAAACAGCAGGAATCTGGGTGGTAGCAAGGGAGCTGCAACAGCGAGGCCCAGAGATGCGTGCAGCAGCCAAAGGGGAGGTGGTGCGGTGGTGGGCGAGGCAGAGGATCATCAGACATCGCTCGATTCGCTTCAAACACGCTACGACACGCAGACGCAGACTTGGGTCCAAGACAGCCCCGCTGGCAGCAAGCACTCTGCGCCGACGCGTCGCTGCTCTTGTCCATTCATCCTGCTGCTGCTGACCATGCAACGTGCATGTGCGTTATACTATTATGCACGCCATCTGATCCGACACGTGCTCGTCTGCTGATGCTGCCACTCGCACATGAACTCTCCACCGCCGTTGCCCGAGTCACCACGCCTCGGACACTACTCACTCCCGAACCACACTACCCGCTCGATCTCGTACATCACCACAGAACTCACATCAACGGCCGCATTGACGCGTACAGACGCGCTGCAATGCCCCGTCCAGACGCTCTCCGCTCCGCCGTGTGTCGCGCCGGGCAGAATCCTTGCTTGGCTTGCTGCGTTCGCCGATTGCACCTCAGCTTGGGACATGAATCGCCAGCACACCGCGACGACCCTGAGAGTCTCAGGCTGCCAACGGGCTGCGCATATCCCGCACATGCATACGACACCTGCTACTGTCAATGTCAGAGGCAGCTCTATTCTGTTCTATTGCACCTGGTCCATGATATCCTTTAACGCTCACGCTGTAAGGTACTCGTCCATTGGCGCAATGACTCCCACTCCACAGCTCTCCTCTGGACCCTCCTGCACTCTCCCTCCTGTCTCACCACTAGGACCAACTTTCTTTCACCTCAACACCCGGAGATGCGGCTCCAGACCTCCTCATTAATATGCGAGTCGCGCGTTTGACCACGCATAGCTTGCACCCTAGCAGCTCGTCTCTCATATGCCTCCAACCAGCTCTGAGAATGCGCCTGCATCCTGGCGCTCTCGCCTCGCTTCGACATCTGTCCGTTGACATAGTCGGCAAGCTCTTGGACATACAACGCTTCCCTGCCATCGCCTCTCAATGAGTGGAAGTTACGCCCAATCCCCTTCTCTCTTATCCTCTCATCATATTCCTCACGCATCTCCTCCTTGGATGGCAGAGGACTTCGCCCTGACAAGACCAGTGACAGAGCAACTGCTTGAAATTCGAACAGACTGAAAGTCGCCACATGGTAAGGCACGCCGATGAATGCAAGACTTGGATCTGGAATGTACCTGGACTGGTCAGCATGCGCCCAACCTGAGCAAGCGGCGTACTTACCATATATCTTTGTGGAGATTGTGTGTCACTTGGCCATTTGTGACAATGGCCTCCTCGCTGGCGTGCTCCGCACTCACGCCGTCTTGATGGTACTGACGCATAAATGGCAGTGACACATGGTAGCCGGTACACACAATGACGTGGTGAAGGTTGCAAAGCTTCCTCCCCGATCGAAGGGTGACAGTTCCTTTGATGCTGTTATCACCCGACAACTCTGCGCCATCGTCTAGTTCGAACTTTTCGACTCCATCGACTCGAGCACTGTTCTCTAAGAGCATGCTTTCCGGCAAATCGTAAGGCCCGCCTCGACTCGATTGGAATACCGCACGTGCATTGGAGAGATCTCGAGCAATGTCCATGGAAGACACGCCAGCGCCAATCAGAAGCACGTTCTGGTCCTTGAATTGATCCGGCCGGCGATAGCGCTTGGAGTGCTGCACCCGTGTTGGAAAGTGCTTTTTCCAATCTGCTAAGCCAGGGATGTCTGGAACATTGCACGCATGATAATGACCCGCTGCTACAACGACTGAATCGAATTTCTATACAAAGGTCAGCTTGAAGCGGATGGGAGACTTGAACTTAGTCACCTTGGTACTGCTGATTGTCCTGTCGCCCGCTACTTGGTCGATGCCGACAATCCACTTGTCGCCTCTCTTTTCGACATGCTTGACTCGGGAATCAAAAGAGATCACGTCTAGGATACCATTCGCTCTCGCTGTATCTTGGATGTACTCCGCGAGCACATGGTGTGGCACAAATTCTTCCGTGCCAGGTTTCCATTTCTGCGTTGAGAGCTCCATCTCGATCGTTGAGACATTGTTCTTGAGAGCAATGTATGCTGGTCTTTGGCTCGACGTCAGCATATCGAAAGCTCATTTCGAGAGGCCGCGGATACTTACCCTGGAGGTGCGAAGCTCAACAAAAGATCATCGTCGCTGACAGCCTCCTCCTTGGCTGGATCCGAACCATCCCTTTCAATTGGACTATCGACTCTTCGTGGTCCATCTTTGCCATTTCGATCTCTGACGAGGGTGTCATACTCAGGCGAGTCACCCACTGACGGCAGTACCGAAGGGTACGCTGGATCTTTCGAAATGCGTTCGTCGTAGACCCTTCTTGCTCTCTGTCAGCTACCTTGATCTCTCGGCTCAACATTCTGCGCAAGAACAATATTATCATACCATACTCCTCCAGCTTGCGAGTTGCGTTCAAAGACCGTTACATCGAGCCCAGCACGCTTGCAATGTATCGCTGCGGAAACACCAGAAACGCCAGCTCCGATTATGGCCTGAAGTCACAGCAAAAATGTATCAGCACAAACAGGTCACCTTGGCCTGGATCTTCAAACTCGATGTCGACTTACAACAGTCTTCACATTCAGAGTCTGCGCCATGTTCTCCTTGCCGCCTGAGGCAATGACAAATGCTAGCAAAAGAATGTCGTGTCGTGCCGAGTAACCAAGTCCTTATAGCATGAAAGATCACCTAACACTCAACGATCGAACTTTGGCAGGAGACGCAGGTACCCATGCAGGGCGCGTGGCATTGCTATTAAAGTCGCCAACTCATTGCTCGGAGTTGTGCTTGCAACCGACGTGCCGCCCTACAATGGAGTCGCTGAGGCTCTACGGGCAGTACGACACAAGAGCTTACGATCACGCCATTTGCCGCTGCGCTGCAGGAACGAATGCCGGCTATCTTTCCACGTGAACGCTGACAAAGGATATTTCGGCAGCTGTTTGTGTTCATTGAAATGAGCTGATACACAATTATTCACCTGCTTTAGCAAAGCAGGATACCTAAAGAGGTCATTCCTGCTGATATGAGAGAGGAAATGCTTGGCATCATCGCGCAGGGATGGTTTGGTTTCGACATGGCTGCAGCTATCACATCATTGTTCGCCTGTCTCTGTCTCCATGATCTCGCTTCTTTCGGCGTTATCAGGCATAGACTCGAGTCGTTCAATGCAACGCTGTAGACGACAGGCCGAAACCAGATCCACCATCTCCACGCATTGGTTGAATTGCACGAGATACAGTGTCCACGCATACACATGTCTCACCATCTCCCGTCTCCACCTCTCATCCAGTCTCAACCAGTCTCACGCAGCTACTGTCCTCTCTCACCCCTCAAAAGATCATACCTCAATACCGCACCCATCAAAACATTCGCCCCATCCGCGCAAGCCTCCGGACTCGAGTATTCCGCTGGGTTATGACTGACGCCATCTCTACAAGGCACAAAGACCATCGTCGTAGGACACCTCTTACTTGCATAAACCGAATCATGACCAGCTCCAGATGTCATAAATTTTCCCCAAGCCCCAATGTCTAATCCTTTGACCTCGCTCTCGCCGCAAAGGGCACTGCCTGCGTCTTGTACGCATTTGATGCAGTCCTCGTGGAAGTATGTCGCGGGAGACACGAAGTCTGTGCGCCAGGAGACTGTGCATTGGCGGTCTGAGGGAGCACATTCGGCGTTCACACCTTCGACGTCTTGGCCTGAGGCGATTGCCGAAAAGGCGGATTTGCATTCTGCTTCCACGGCTTCGACGACTTCGTCTCGAGGGGAGCGGATGTCCAGGGAGAATTGGACGTGGCCTGGGACTGTGTTCGTGGAGCCTGGTCTGAGGGTCAAGATTCCTGTAGAAGCGAGGGCGTTGTGGCGGTGGGCGATTCTATGACTTGCAAGAATCATTTTCGATGCTGTCAAGAGGGAGTCTGCGCGATGTGCGAAACTTGTTGCGCCGGTGTGGGCGTCGCGGCCTTTAACGGTGAGGGTGAACCACTTGTATGCTTGGACGCCTTTGACGACTCCTACGCGGCGGTTTTCGGCTTCGAGGATGGGGCCTTGCTCAATGTGGAGTTCAAAATGAGCAGCCATGGGTGTGGACTTGTAGCTGGCGGGTGTACTGCCCAGGTAGCCGATCCGTTCAAGTTCGCTCTTCATTGTGGCAGTATCATTGGCGGGTATCACAGACTTGAGATTGTGTGCTGTCTCCAGTGGGACAGACTCAGCCCAAACGCCGGATGAGACCATGGACATTGGAAATCTTGCACCTTCTTCATTGGTCCAGTTCACTACGCCTACGGGATAATTTGTCTCGACCCAGTTGTCGTTGAGGGTCTTGAGCATTTCTACTGCAGCTGTCACGCCGAGGATCCCATCATAGCGACCTCCACTAGGCTGTGTGTCGAGATGGCTTCCAGCAAAGGTCGGGTGGCCTTCCTTTAGGCCAGGCCGGACGGCAAACTGGTTACCCATCGCATCATAATGGACCTTGCAACCGAGAGCTTTCGTGGTTTCTGCGAACCAGTCCCGAGCTTGTTTATCGGTATCAGAGAGCGATAATCTGGCCATGCCGATTTCTGTTGGGCCTCTGGCAGATATGTCAGCGAGTTTCTTGCGAACCAGCTGTCCAAATCGAGAAAGTGCAGAATGTATGTCATTTCAGTTGGCCGTTCGAACAATCACCAGTTCCCCGAGACGAGGATAAGACAATAAAAATTGGTGTGCATATTTCGAAATTCATCAGGTCATTTTGCCGGTGGGCGTGGAGTGAGTGCCACGCCGCCAGCAGCAGGAATGGAAGGGTGATGACTTACTCGCCCCATCGCTCTCCCTTACCCCACTCGCTCGTGGAATGAATATCGTTCATCAGTCGTTCCTGGTCAATTTTGAGGCTTGACAGGTCGCGTTCAGACATCTCCGAGACGGCAATGTCGCGTCTTGGAGTACTGGCAAATGCGCGCCATTGTGACTGTTGAGAGGTCTGAGCCGCTCTCACAGACAGTGACGGTGTTCGAGTGTATCTTCGAGCCGCGGATGCGGCATTCGCGAGGCGTCTACATGTTGATGTTGATGCAAAGGAGAAGGACATGGTGCAAGAGTTGTCGAAATCCGGCGGTCGGTGGAAGGTCGGATGGCAAGTGCTTTTCTCTTGGCACCTCTCAGCTCACCGCGAGGTCCGTGTCAGCAAAAGACAGCACAAATACTGCTTGATGATTCCCGAAGAGAAGTTGAGAAAAGCTATCAATACACAATGCAATGCTAAATGCACCGGCCCGGTACAGATATTGCACGAGCGTCCAAGCTATTCTTCCAAGCCTGAACTCGTATTTCTTAGTCATGAGATAGCTTGCCCGCATTCAATCGATAGGGCGTGTTCGGCACAGTTGGCAACGAACGAGAGAATCCGAGAACATCGCGACTATATGAAAGGCAAAGACACGAGAGTCAAACGTGAAATCATGGCACCGAGTTACGCCAGCAAGACTGGATTTTCTACGCTTACGTTGTTTCAGCCAGTCGGCGGCTTCTCCTCGTCTAACGCAATTTTTTGGTTCATGATCTGTACTTCGTCCAGCGCATCCGATGCTTCAGGAGCCTGGTTTCCTATCGTCGCCGAGCCATTGTCTACCATCCAGCTCCGCTGTCAACGTTGGACTCGAAAGTAGTGGTACCGGCGACGTTCTCCGCCCATCCACCTGACGCATCTTGCTGCTTGGCCTCAGCACCCCATTCAGTGTCTTCCTAAGACTGAGCTGGAGGGGCACCACGACCACGGCCGAAGCCACCACGGAACTCTGGGTTGAAGCCACCTGGAGCAGCACCGTCCTTGTTCTCACGGTCGCCGAAGTCACGGCGGCGGTATCCACCCTCGCGGTCACCACGTGGGCCACCACGGCCACCACCACGACGCTCGCGGTCGTCACCGCCCAACATGCCGCGCGGAGGAGCGTGCGAGCGCTGCTGCTTGACGTGGGTCTGAGGAACGATCTCGGCTGGGAGGTGGAGCCACTCGCGGAGGTAGTCGAGACCCTCTGGGGTGAGGGTGTAGTAGTAGTACTGCCACGAGAACTGAGTCTTCAGGTAGCCACGGCTGGTGAGCGACTGGCAAGCCTTGATGACCTGTGCGTCTTGTCAGTGGGCCATTGCAAACTGCGACGCGCTCTCGAAACGTACGTAGAGGTTCTTGGTGTCAATCTCGCCATGCTTTGGCAGGTTGAAGTCCTTCTTGGCCACGGCCACACCCTCCTTGAAGAGGTACTCGTGGATCTTCTTGCGGTCCTCCTTTGGAATCAGCCTGCAGCGCGTTAGCGAAACTGTGTCGCCGCGTTGGTGTGGCGCATAGTCGGATCGTACATTTTGGCGGTATTGGAGGTGCTGTCGAGGGTTTCGTTGGGCGACTGTCGTGGTGAAGCTTCAAGGTCACTTGTTTCTGCAATTCATAAATCGTACCTGCTAGCGCGTGGGCCGCGGAGCCGCATTGGCTTGGCTTTTTCAAAGGCTGCCTGAGGTTGACAGCATCGGTCACCGGTGGAGCCGACTCGGTTCAAACTTGCCCGACACAACTGCGGATTGCTATTAAGCCTCTGAGTGTTTACTATTAAGCCTCTGAGTTCCAAGGGCCTAGGGTAGGCTCCAGCAAATTACACAGCTTTTACTGCCTCTTGGACTCCACACTGTCTTCGGACAAGCGAGGCGAGCTTGCGAGCGAAGTGAGTACTCGGAGCTGCGAGCCTGCGAGCAATAGCGACGACG